CGAAAAAAGGAAGAAAAAAGCCCTCAAGGAGAGACCTTGCTCTGATCATCGTCGATGACAGCGCCCAGAGAATCGGCCTGCAGCTGTAGCTTCTTCACTTCCCCACCCACCTAAACTACATTGGTGTGGGCATGCGCCATCTCCTCAGTTTGTCTCAGCCCATATTTCACTTCCATGCGATCTAGCCTGGATGAGATCTAGCGTCCGCGGTCGGTCCGATAAGGCATGCAACCGTTGTTTTCTTCAGCGCACGTCGCCTGTCTGCAGCTCTGCATGTCTCGTAGTCTCAACACCTGCATGCAAGGCTGACAGGGAGGGGGATTTGGCGTGTCTCTCACGACCTTATCGGCTCGGAGAAATGTCGTACCTACGCTAGACCTTGTTGACGAAGACCATGGAATGTGTGAAGTACTCGATTACTGATAAAGCCCTGCTGGGTTTCCAAACACCCGCCGCGAAGGTGACGAATCAGACAACCATGATGGTGAATCGGCATGGCCCCCCGGCATTGAGTTAGGTGGCAGCCGTCAAGAACGGCGCGCCCATACTTTCCATCTCATTTTCTTGAGGCCGTTTCAAGGAATTCCGGGTACTTGCTGGCAGCCTCGTCGGCGCAAGGCACGCGGAACTGTTCACCCGGATGGATACCCCTTGCCACTGATGACCAGTCAGAGCAGGGCTGAAACACGATTGCCGCCCATTGCCGTGAAGACGCATTGTAGTATTAGGAAGTCCTAGCAACGATACCGAGGGGGAACCGAGATTTCTGGGAAGAAAAAGGGAGAAAGAGAGAAATATGTTACAACCCAAATCCTGGTTCCGAAACATTGCAGCTCTCGGTGCCGGACAGACCGGGGGGGGGTCCCGCAATCCGAACGCGGTCCATCCCAAAAGCACCGTGGTACACCGACCCGAACGCCATCTCAATTCCAAAACCCCGTCACGCAAACAGCCGAACCGTTTCCCGCTCCGACCCACGATACCCTCTCGTATAAGCACACCGCACGCCGCCTTGGTCCTTGCGACGAGGAGCTTCAGAGCTCCTGCGAGTTGGGGCAGTTACCCCGGCACTTCTTGGGCGGGTACCGCACCTGCGAGGCGCAGTTGTTGGCGTCCCCGTGGCTCCCGAGGTCATCGGCGGGGACGAATTGACCCGTCTGCAGGCTCCCTTGGAGGAAGTAGCTGTACCACGCCTCGTGGAGCACGTCGTGGCCGCGGCCCTGGCACCGCAGCACGACACGGCCGCCGCTCAGGGCCTCGAGTGCGCGGATGACGTCGGCGAGTGGGTAGCGCTTCGAGTGCGAGGGCGTGATGCCGGCGCGCTCGAGGGCGGTGAAGGTGTCGAGCTGGCGGAAGAGGGAGAAGGCGCGGGTGAAGAAGTCGACGACCTCGATGCCTGGCGTGTAGGTGTCGGCGTAGCAGGACGTCGACAGGGTGTTTATGCAGCTTGCGTGCTTGTTGTACTCGTGGGCCCAGAAGTGGTCGTTTGAACCGCTGTTCGGGGAGGAAGAGTGTGTTTGTTAGTAACGGACACTTGCGAATATGGGGCCGGTGACGGGCCGGTCGGTATACTGCTGACAGGAAATGCAGGTGGACGGGGACGGGGAAGGGCTTACTATGCAGGGACCCAATATCTCTCCATCGAGGCCAGGAGGTCGCCTTGGTCGTAGTGCTTAAGGATATCGCTGATATTGTTGAAGTGCGGCGTCATGCCGCAATACGCCTTGTAGCTCCCGTCACAGAGGTCGGGCCTGTTGCATACGTACGGGTTTCGGTCAGCAATCTCTTTTCCCCTGACGCGTCATTGCCCCCAAACACGCCTGTTTCCCGTAGGCAGAGCAAGAGCCGGGGAGAGAAATACAAACTCACCATAGCCCGTGGACGGTCCAATCCTCCTCGGCGCCGCCGGCGTGGACGGTATCGTCCCAGAACTGTGTGAGCAGGAGGCGGCCGGAGGGGTAGACGAAGCAGCACGAGTCTAAGGGGCCGCTAGTTTTGTGGCAGCTCAGCGGACCGTCGATGGGACACGACGGGGCGCCGGAGAGGGGCTCGTAGGGGGTGACTGCGATGCTTTGACCGCCGTCGCTGCTGTGGCCGCCAATGCTGTCGCCTGCGAGGGGCGTTTGATGTGTCGGGAGGATGGCCGTGAGGCGGGCGAGGACGGCGCGGAGGGAGGGCGCCATATTGGGCTGGTTTGTTTCGTGGTCGGCGGCCTGTTTGAGAGTTTCGGTAGTCTGACGACTGGTTCGGATGGGACTGGCTTGATTTGAAGGGTAAAGAGGTTAAGGAGAGGACGGACAGGTGGTTGATTGTGAGGGTATAGATTGGGACGTCGGTTGATGTCGAGACGGAGGCGGAACTTGCGTGGTTTGAGGCGGAGCATGTCCGGGGGAAGAAGGGTTCTGCCACATCATGTGGGGACGGTAGCGGGACGGGCGCAGCTGTAAAGAGTTCACCGCCTTGCGGGAAAGGGTTTTGATTGGACAGATCTGCACGGGGCGCGCCGTTTTACATGGTGTATGATCCCCTTTGGGGGTTGTGGGGTCGGTGACATACAGGTGCTTTTGCCTGTGCGTTTTTGAGAGGAGGGAAGTTGGCTTCAAAGTCTTCCCTTTGAGAGAAGTTCCGAATCGAATCGCTGTCGAAAGGATAACAACAAGGTGTCCTTTCTCGGGTATTTGGAACTACATCAACTCAGTAGCGCGTCGTTCCCGAACAATACGCGAACCGTTCCTCTAGTAGCGATTCAAGACTCTGTTCACCACTGAAGCCGTGGGGGATAGCCTCGACGACGATCCGACTCAGTTCAGTGACATACCCTCGAGTTTACTCACATATGAGCAGCTAACTGAATCATGCCGTCAATGGAACGAGTCAGCCCGGTCTTCTATTTGTTGTATCAAGAAAACACAGCATTGCCATGATTGATCTAATGGTATATACACATCACAAATGATGCCCCACGTCTTCGCCAATCAACAGAATCGAAGGTTCCGGCTCAACTTCCGGAAAGTTTTCCGGCCTGGGTAGGTTTTTATACTTCAAGATCTGTTCCGTGATGCCGTTCTCATGCTGCCATTTCAATATGGGATCGTGCGCGACGCACTGCCTCTTGATGTTGAAGTCCGGATAGGGGTTCTCTTGCGTCTTCATCCAGTTATGCGATATCAAGTCGAGGGAGGGGTTACACGTGAGCGCCTGTAGCAGTATGTCGATGCAGTGCTCCAAGTGCGCCTGATGCCTCTTTGGCGCCATGGAACTGAGAGTCCACGATCAGCCCCGGTTAAGCCCCTTCGCCCCAAGGTATGTTTGAATGAGCGGTCGACTTACATGTTCTTGTACGAGTCGCCGTAGTAGTAGTCCCAGTACGCGTACTTGCGTACCGCGTTGAGGCAATGTAGCTGGTGTTGCATGTCAATCTCAACCAGGTACTTGTCGGGGCCGACGCCCCACTCCTCGGGGATGGACACGGATATCTCGGGGTCCTTGCCCATCTTCCTGAGAGCCGCGCCGCTGACGCCGAAGTACTCGATCCGCGCCACGTCGTCCCAGGCCTTGTCGACCTCTTCGCTCGGCGACCCACGCCAGATGCGCGGCGGTGTGTAGTCGTTGAAGAGCGTCCCCTTGACTTCAACCGTCTCCAACTTGATCGGCAGACTGTCCAGGACCGGGCCTGTAGCGAGGACCAATGTCAGCGAAAGGATAGACGGGCAGCGGTTCGTAGAAAAGGGGCTTTTGTACTGTACGGCGAAACCCGCTTCATCAAGCGAACCGGGTCATCGAGCCATCTCCACGAGATGAATAGCATCCCGCATGACGCGACAAAGAAGACGGCGTTGAGAGCCGTGATGAGCTTTGACCGGAAGCTCCACTCATCTCTGATTCCTGGGCGTGGCAATGCCCATTTTGTCTATAACGGGCGTCAGTCAGCTCCCGTCAGGCGGCGTTGCGCGGCACGCTTTACGTACCTCGTTTGACAAGTCTTCTGATGAGTCTTGATCCGGCACACTCTGGTAAAGGTCCTTCATTGTTTTCGAAGCATATCAGATAGATGCGGAAGTATATCATTCTAAAAACAGAGGAGGAGTTGCCCGGCTGCTCCAAGTCATTGCTGTCTCTCTTGGATGAGCTGTACCAAGGGCGGAGACGAAATCGTCTGACAGTTCCGCAACCACGCTAGACAATGAGATACAAAGCACCTGCCGAAAACTGTCAAGTCTTGTACTCGAAGCTTCGTTCCAGCCGCCGCTGTGTCAGCGTCGTCCAACAGCCTGACTTGAGTGAAACAATATCCCAGGCGAAGGATCTGCCAAGACCCTGAAGGATCCGCCAAGAAACGAGTAAACGCTGCGAAAAGATAGTCTCACTCCACGGTGAAGAGGGGCTTCCTCCCGGGCTGATGGGCGATGACTGAACGCAGATAGAGATGAGTGCCTATAGTGCGCCAAGTCAAAAGATGAGTTGAGCAACAGCATACTTGCCACGGTAGCTTATCATAATCTGGAGAAAGTTGTCGAATTCTCAGCCTGGTCAGCGTTCTAGACTACTTGTTCGAGGTCTTGATGCACCTTCTCTATTGGGTTAGGGAGTCTGACCCATGCTCCCGACATCAGCCAGTCGCGACCTAGACAGTGGAATCTGTAGACTTCAACCCCTCTTGAAAGCTTTACGAATGGCTCCTTTGGCACAATTTCGTGATGGAGGATTGAGGCGAAGGATTCTGGGCGTGGCACGGAAGGCGTTTATCTCGGGTTATGCGGGATACAGGCGGGTGTCGTGTTGTATAATTGACGCCAGGGGTATTTGCGATTTAGACACCATTCTTTGCGTCCAGGTAGTCGAGAAAAGACCCATGCATGAGGAACGTGGCTTTCGGGAAGGACATATAAACGCTATGGCGACCAGCCAGCAGGGCAAACCCGAACCACCATCGGGCTACGGTTCTGCAGAATCTCCTTTCTCAACGCACAGTCGACTCAACTGCCATCATCTCAACCGCCATGCGTGCTCAGACTTTCCTTGCCGCCATTGTGGCCTGCGCTTCCGTGGCCTCTGCCGCTCCGGTCGCCGTCGAGGCCTATGGCCCTCCCATCAGCCCTCACATCATCTCCAAGAAGGACACGGTTGAAGCCTACGGACCGCCTGTGAACCCCCACATCCCCGCCGTCGAGTCAAAGAGAGACGGCGTCGAGGCCTACGGTCCCCCGACGAACCCTCACATCATCTCGAAGAAGGACGTTGTCGAGGCTTATGGCCCTCCCATCAGCCCGCACATCATCGCTAAAGAGTGAGGGCTCTGACCTTTCGACCAAGAGGAAGGACGTATGCCAATAGAGAAAGTATGCTTGATGGGATGCAGCGATGGACCTTCTGGTGCACGGTGGTTGTCAAAATCAGAACGATAACTTCGAGGGCTTAAAAAACATCATGTTGGCTACTATACCGCATGAGACGGAAAGATGGTGGGGTGACGGTCGTTAATAATGATATAGCGTCCGTCGACCGTGGGTTCACCGTAAATCACAGTTCAGCCAGTCCGGGGCCGCCCAAATGGCTCTGCATTCAAGTTAGTCTCCATCTCCAGCATGTCACATAGGTAGAATACATGGTTGTTGATATACACATAGGAACAATACTGTATCCCGATGTTGCAAGCGGTGCACCAAAGTGAGGATGTTCGTGTTGTAATTGTTGTTGATCTACAAGCAAGGATACACTTCGTGGTGGGGCTGGCTTTTCTGCCATGGGCAATGAGTCACGTGAATAATCGCGTGACTCTCTCACCGGCGTCGTATTCTAACAATACTAGACATCAGATTGACTTTTGAGTTAGGAATAACCCTGCGTTTCACAATAGATATTCTTCTAAGAGACATTGGTGCTTGCAAATGTTGCCTCTAGATTCAACATGGTTACATGGATATTGATCACCTAGAAAAAGATGCGCATTTAGATTCGCCCCCCATCGGAACACGGCTTTGGCAACCATGGACCATCCAATTCGCTTACAAAACTTGCGGAATGACGACACGCAATACCCTTTTGATGCGCACGCAAACTTTGACCGAGCACTTGCGCACCTTGCGAGGCAATAGCACCAGCGGATCTCAACTTTCTCTTTCCCCCAGCAACTGACATGCATATCTGAAGAAAGCAGAAAAGATGGGCGACTGCATTGATGACGATGTCTGCACGCCGATCAGAGTTATGATTGTTGGCGATTCCATGACTCAAGGTCGCGAAGGGGACTTCACATGGCGATACAGGCTCTGGCAATGGATGACAGAAGAGGGGGTCAACTTTCAGTTTGTCGGCCCATACAAAGGAACGAAAACACCACAAGTCTCTCGTCCTCCGCAACCATCGGCATCGGAACCCGAGCCAGCATTGGATAGCAATGTCCCGATTGACCTCGGCGGCTACGCTGCGGGCGTAATATTCGACTCCTGCCATTTCTCAATATGGGGACTACAAGCGACACAGTGCAAGAACTTGGTGCGAGACCAGGTGGAACGGTTTCGACCAGACTATATGTTGGTCATGCTCGGGTTCAACGATATGGGATGGGGCGTTGCGGACGCTGAAGGCACCATCGCTGCCATGGAACAACTGATATACAGGATACGCGCTGCGAACCCGACGGTCAAGCTCGCCATTGCTGACGTGCCGCAGCGCACCCCTATGGAGGGGACAGAAAAGTTGGCCCCCATGGTCGACAGATACAATCAGCTTCTGCGGACCTCGGCCAGGAACTGGGGGACCCCGCAGTCTCCCGTAGAGCTGGTCGAGATTCGCAACAACTACGACTGCTCTCGCGGCAGTTATGATGGCCTGCACCCCAACGCGCTAGGGGAGTTCCAGATCGCCAGAGCGTTTTCCCGGACCCTCGTTCGCGGCTATGGTATTGGAACACATGAGCCGAGCATCCCGCTGAAGATACCGGAACGACCTACTCCGGTACTGTCGAACGTTGTTGCGCAAGCTGTCGCGTACGGCGTCGCTGTCACCTGGGATGCAGTGTATGGTGCTCTCGGCTACGACGTTAGAAGCCGTGCAGGCACGGGCTCACTTTGGAGCGAGTGGCGCACCGAATCGAACCGATACGATTCGACTTGCACTCAGGAAGGGCTGGAGTATCACTATCAGGTTCGGACTTACAATGGTGATAGTCTTGTATCCGCTTGGTCAAAAGTAGTGTCTGCGGTTTCACGGCCAAAGTCGGTTTCTGGACGCGGGGATATCGTCGCAAAACAAAATGCAAGACAGGTAAACTGTTGAGTGAGAAAAATCACCTGGATGACGGAACATCAATCGTTGTGATGATGCCGCTCAGACAGACCAGTTGTCGCACAGATGATTCCCGTCAACTTCGGGATTGAAGGAGACACAATTTAGTATATCAGTTGTTTAGTAGTTGTACGAGAAGCAGATTCAACCCTTTAATTTTGTCAATGTAGCGCTATTATTATTTTATACAGCATGTGTCACTTTCCAACTTTTCAACTTGTTGCACTAAAAACAACACTGTTAATTGCAGACAGCACAACTAACGCCTTATATCACCTCATGACATACCCCCCCCCAGATCACAGGTAGCCCTGCTTATATAGATCTACTCTAGGAAGGAAGCCTCTATAGCCCCTCCAAAGGTACGCACTCCCCTAGGGCGGATACTGCTACAACTCTTTAACCTTCTAATTAGGTACATCTCGCTAAAGTCTAGGTGGTTGCCGTCTGACCAGTGACTTATCTAGGTAGAGTATTTGCGACCTATCCCTATCCTTAACGGGATTTAAACCTGTAGGGTCTATAAAGCTCAGACGCTAGCTTAAGGGATGTACTATTAAGGCATATAGCGCAAACTAGGCTTATAACTGTTGCGCTAAAAACAACGCCGTTAATTACAGGTAGCACAACTAACGCCTTATATCACCTTGTGACAAAACTTGAGTAGACTTTCACATTGTGTTTTCGTTACCCATTTTTTATTTTCCATCGATAACTAGCTCTGCTGGGATAGATCGAAGCTAGGAGGGTCTTGTAGATGATCCATCATTGCCGTATTAGAGTAGAAGAAATCTTCCAGCTGGGCAGCGTTTGCCATCCAGATCATTGGGTTCCCTGGCCTCATGTCTTCATCCATGCCGTCGACGCTCATGCCCGTGATCCCAGGAACTGAAAGAAGCTCCGGGGCATGGCCGGTGTTTTGGTTGAAAGTGGAGGGCTGATCGTGGTACGGCCTTTCTTCCACTGTTCCCTTCGGCGGAAATCCTAGGGCCGCAAGATACGCATCCATTTCGGCACTCGCCTCTGTTTTCCTGGACTGCGGTGTGGTGGCGCGGAACTCTACAAAGCGAAGGGCGACGCTGTACAGAACCTGGAAGAGGCGCGACATCCTGCCTGCCGCATCGGATATGGTCGCCGTTTCTTGGAGAAAAACCACGAAAGAGTGAAGGCGCGCCAAATCATCTCTATCTTGAGTCTCAATCACCTGGCAGAACAGGACGATGAAGGGGATAAAGGGCGAGAACAAGACAGTCCTGCAGTCAAACATTAGCTGATGCGGCGCAGGTGGCCATTCATAAGAGCCTACCAATGCATGTAGGCCGAGAAATAGACATTATGGGATTTGCGCATGATCGCAACACATTCTCGATGTTTCTCAAGGGCAGCCCGTGCAGCTTTGACGCATTCGGGGCTAAAGGTCATCGGGGAGCCTTCGACGCGTGGCGCGGCCCTATAGACTAACGTAAGAAGCGACAGACGCAGAACACTGTCCGATGACACGCAGAATTCCGAGAAGCTCTCTTCTGCAACATCAATGCCTTTGGTACGAGTGTTCGCCTTTGGAGTTTAGTAACGCCAACACGAGGATTAAGGCTGCAACTTACGACCAGCTCCTGAGTACGGACTTCTATATCATGAAGCGATGAAACTAGCTCGTGAACCCGCGTTTGCCGGACATGGTATGGTTGCGTGATGGAGTCTGGACTGTAGAGCTTCTCGTAGATCTGACCCTGGCACTTTGCCGTCTTAACCCACAACACAAGGTACGGCAGGATCAGACTAGCCGTCTGTTCCTTCACGGTAGGCAGAGGCATCGTGATGTGCCAATCTGGAATCGTCGACGCTCGCCCCAGTCGCAATGAAAGGCTCTTGTCGATGTAATACACGTTCCAGAAGAGAAATTGGTGCCAATGCATCCCATGAACCGTTGCTTTGCCGTCACTCTTGGAGCACTTGAGGGATTCAATTCGATGATAACCAAGGGTTTGGCACAGTTCAGACGCTTTTGAAACCAGCGTCCAGGCCAGTGAAGGCTTAGAGATCTCGACGGCATGGAAAGCCTTGAATATAGTCAGCTTAATTGATGCTCGCAGAGTCAAGTAAGTAAAGAGGCTAAAAAGAACCGTACTTACGCCGAAGAGAAGTGCAACGATCACATCAGAAGATGCCGGAAGGTGAAGAGGTAGGTTGAGCAGGAAGGTCTCTAGGTTTACTCGGCATATTCTAGTAGCGTTAGACGGGTATTCTGTCTATGGTTGTCTGAGGCAGCTTGCTCACTTTGCATATTCCATGTACTCCTTCCTGTCCTCAACTGGGATCTGTGCGGCGTAATCTGTGAAGAGTGAGTAGAGACCGCCGTTCACTGTAATGAAATCGTAGTCTGAGTAATTATCCGAAAAGTACACATCCAGGCAAAGGTCTGGAAAGCGCCGAGACGGTAGGAAGTCGTAGATCCAAGCCAGTCCCGAGAGGCGTTGTCCTGAAAATTGAAACTTCGCTTAGCAAAGACGGCATAGGGGTGATGATATGAGATTGACGGAGGGCTATTCACCTTTTGCAACTCGAATCGTGCCTACCGCTTTTTCTATGGGGGGCATCTCAAGTCCCTGAATACGAAGCCGGCTGACTGGCTTCGCATGAGGGTACGTCATCTCCACTGCGGCAGCAGGCTGCTTCAGTGCGTGGACAATTTGAGACAATGCTTCAAGAGTCTCGCCCAGGTCTAGACTCGAGTCCTGAAGAGACTCGGTACTGACGACCTTCTGCACGAATTCTGTAGCGAATACGGAATGTGCAGCGAGGGAAGAGTCGCCCTCAATAACAGCACCATCATCTTCATCTGACTGGTGGGCATGGCTAACCAAAGTGGCGGGTGTTGATGTATTAGATGACTGCAGATGAGCAGATGATGCGGCACGTTCAGCTTGGGGGACAGTCATCGTAAAGCTGCTGCTGTCCCCCACCCTAGTATTGGAGGTTGGGTGCACCTTCATATCTTGTAGGAGCCGGACGACCGTTTCCAACCGGCGGTCAATTTGATCAATCTTCCTTTCACTTCAAGATCCTTGTCAGCCAGAGAAGCTACGATGTGGGTTCACAGCCTCAGTCCCAAGCGGGTGCGTCACCAAGAGATTCCGGGCGCCAAGCGTAGGGCAAAACGACTTACTATTGAGGGGTGATGAGAATTCTCGTTCGCTTTTCTTTTGGTTTGTTGTCTACATGAGTGCATTCTATCTTGGCGTGTGTACAATAAGAACATGGCAGTTCTCTGTTGCAGCGGATCTTGAAACCAGTCAGTGATATTCACAGCGCGCACTGCTTTTAGCACCGGGTGGGAACACCTTTCGAGCACGACATGCATCACACTAATAGTTTTGCGTTAGTGATTTTTATCAGATACAGAGAGACAGAAATGTTGCTCACAGCTCTGCGAACAATTGTTTGGGGGTTCGCCGAGGATGATTCGGGGGCCTCTTCAGGCCCATCATTCGTAGCGTCCTCGTAGCCGCTACCATCTAGATGGCTATCGTCCATCTTCGTTAAGCAACCTTTGGCAAGGGGTAATACCTGCGGCGCGAATCGTGGTATGGGGAAAACAGCTCGTCGGAGCACGCTCGGGTGACGCGGGAGCCGTTCTAATTCCTGGGAAGAGAGAAAAGATTGAGATGAGTGTCGGAGACGATGAGGTCGGGCCCCGAAATATCAATGACTTGCTGGCTCTGCGCTCTTCGCTCAATTAGGAAGCATCAGGACATGCTGAGTTTCTTTATCGTTTTTTATCGTTTTTACTCTTCTTTCCCTTTATGCAGTGTTCTCGGGGGCCGCGCGCTCCGCTACAGGGATCGGCGGATATATTTGCCTATTCGGGCAACTAGCTGCGACTATTACAAATCGCAGTCGTTTTTGGACACTTCTTTCAAATACATGGCTACTTTCTCATTCAAAACACAGCAGTATCGTCACTTGAGGTCAGTTAAAATCTGAAATACTCCCTTCTGTTCGAATTTTTTTGATACAGGGGCACAGGGGCCTCGCCACTGTTATGCTATGTATTGGTTAACTGGTCGAAACGAGTCAACGGTTTTTTGTTTTTTCTTTTTTTCTTTCTCTCTTTTGCTCTCTTTTGGGGCACAGAGTATGGAGTCACTGCTTAAGACGTACAGCTATATGTTGAAACACTTACAAAAGCCAAAAACGTCTGCAGAACATCATCCCCTACCGACCCACCTAAAATGCTCTGTGTGGAGTGTATCAGCTTTATGGCTGGTAGGTATCAGTTTGTGGAACGAATGATAACTGAGAACTTGCGAGTAGATATTATAGTATTGTGCCATGATAAGGCTGGGCATCCAAAACACAAGAGGTTTACTAGCGGAGAAAGCAAAGAGACCAGAGCGCACCGGGATGGAGACAGAGTAGGCAGCGAGGATGAAAGCGCGGGAAGGAATACATGGAAGAATAAAAGTGGAGACGGCACATCAGATTTCCGAAGAGCGCATCCGGCTGGTCCGCGCTTATTAACGGCGTGAAGTCGTAAGACATCAACCAATGCTATAACAAGATCTTAATCCTGTATCGGGCCGGAACAGTATCACTGGATTGAATGGTCACCATTGGACTGATCGAGAGAGGTTGCCGGGCCTGGCCTTAAGCAGAGGACCGGTGCCGTACACTGTATGCCCCTTGGCGAGCTTGTAAGGATCCATACAAGATAGCTCTACATAACGCCAGGCAATGCAAGCAAGGTCTTTCTTCTAGGAATCAATGCAGTGTATTAACTGCGCCCTCATGGGCCTAGAGCAAAACAAAAGAAAGCCGCCTTCCACCACAATGTCTTCTTCTAAATCCTTTTTGCCTACCCCCATGTTAGCTGACACTACTGAAATTCTCTGAGGCTGGCCAGACATAGAGATAAGCAACTGCATCCAAACAAAGCAGCCACCACTCGAGCTCATCCTATGCCTTCCAGACATTTGTGGTGTTGTAAGAACTCCCATATCTCAGCTTCTGCGCCTCCTCGTCGCGCAGATTCAGGCCCGGTTCGCCAACAAGGGTCTCCTCGTCAAGGTGAAAGCACCTGGTAGTGACCGAATCCGTGCAGAGGGGGTACAGCTGCTTGTGCTCCATATCGCAAAAGACGTTTTGCCTGGTCGAAACGATATCCCAGCCGTAAGATGTCTCGGAATTGCAGATCTCGCTGGCGTTGGCGTTCTGGTTTGAGATGATGAGGTGAGAGGGGTCATGGTTGGCGCTACCACCGTTGTCACGCGCCTCTCTTTTGGGCCGTTTGACCTTCGTCGGTGCCATGTAAGCGCTCTTATCCCAGGGATGATTGGAGTCGTCGAGGACCTTGGTTCCATTCTTGTACTTGAGCCTAGGCTCGAAGAAGGGCGGCACAGCGTCGGGCAGCAGGTTGCTCCAGAAGGAGAAGCGCGGCGTGCTCTTGCAAAGCGTGTCGAGATTTTCGCAGTATTGCTGCATTTTGTCTTAGTTTGGTTGCATGTCATTGAGGTGGAAGCTGATAGCCCGCGCGTTGATTTTATTGTCGTGGTTGGCGTCCAGCCAGACGCAGCGCGGCGTTTCAAACCCGGAGCCGATCCGGTTATCACTCGCAAACCAGGACTGCCCGCACTTATACCCTGCGTCGCCATAGAAGGCGCCAGAAATCTTGCCGTTAGACACCATAACGGCCGAGATGCAGACAGCATCGTCATCGAACTTGGAAAGCATGACATGATAAGGTTCAAGTTCTTTTTTCTTTTAAGAAAGCTATTTGCGTGCCCCATTACTTGCCGTTTTCAGCTATATCCATAGTCCCTAGCTCTACAGCGAAGCCCTGGACGACTAAAAACTGACAATACCCAACCGACACAGCTGCATCAGAATGAGCATCCCTCAGAAACTACCGGCCATCCTGGCCCTGACGGCTAGCATCACCATTTTGTTGAGCTCAATTCTGTGTCTTGCTTTCAAGATGACGGCCTTCACCTCGTACATGGAGGATACTAACGGAGACACGGTCATGAGAGGAATAACAACCCCCAGCTACGAGCGATTCAGTTGGTTCGACGAATACTCCCAGTACCTCATGCCTGTCGTACGCGCGCCGCTTATTATTGCCGGAAGCTTTGGCCTGGTAATAGGACTAGCGATAACCTGACTGATAGCCAGTTTCTTTAGCAGAGGACGTGCGTGGCAGGTATGTTACTTACGACTTATCTGTATGGGTGGCGAGAGTCGAGCTTATTGACCCTAGTATGTATTAGTTGTACCATGGTCAACGAGCCGCACTCATCATCATTCTGGGTGCTAATGCGCTTTTGGCGACAGTTTCCCCGATCAACGTATTGGTGAAGCACGGCCGCAGCGCCCACATCGACCCTGAATACATCTCACCTCCACGTCCCGCTTCATATGGCAAGGGATATTTCAGCCTGGAGGAATGGGCGCGCGAGATTCCTCATCACATCAAGGAACTTGGGACACTTAGCCTTGGGCTGCAGTGTGTGGGCGAAAGGGTCAGCCGCATCTTGATAGTTGTCATGTGCTTTTTCAGTCTGGCACTGACGGGATTGTTGGTCTGGGATCTCAATACCACACAAGTTGCTGTGGCAAGGCCGAAGACAAGGAACAGCTGGGAAGATGACGACTGGGCGTAATACTATCCCATCACCTGTTGAGCTCACACCAAGCATCACGCCACTACGTTCACAGCAGTTGCAACTGGGCGAACAGGCGGTTGAAGCAATTGAGCTTGAACAACTGGGTCAAGCGCCACCATACACATGAATTGCGAACCCAGTCGTGCCCTTGGCATCTTGCAGACAAGACACTTCCTCTGTGAATTTACAGAATGCATTGGGCGGTGAGCGCCCACCATGCGCAGGCTGCCGTGATGGGCTGGGTCTCCTTGACGGCGCCTCATCTTTGTACTGGTATCGGAGTCGACCTTAACCGTAATTCATTGATGTTTCTTTTCACCAAGGTTCCGGTTTGACTCTTAGCTGCCGCTTTCTGAACGAGAGGATAGCTCGTAGCGGGCAACTCTGGTCACGATCTGGGTGGAGCTGAGCTGTCAACGGGCTAGGTCCTGGTGCAGCAACACGACGGGTGACAGCGACGGAGACTGCTAGTCCCGTATACCTGGACTGAACCGAGAAAACTTTTTTATAGAGAAGCTTCTTTTAAAAACACATGCAATGGTGCGTAAATCCATGTTCTCCATGCACCCTCCAGCGGCACATAAGGCCAAAACGACAATGTTCAGGGGCGCAAGTCATAACCACTTTCAAATAGCGGGCGAGACGTGTGACGCACAAAGGCGAATATCTCTATCGAAACGGGACGCCAAACATCACTACTCTCTTGGGATGAGTGCTGGCCCTGTCGCAGCAACCCACCCGACCGGCCTTTCTCGGTTGACGACGGATCATGTAAAGGTTTCATGGCAGGGGCAGATCTGATAAGATAATAGCAGGGCGCCCGTTGAGAGGCCGAGGGCACCGGTGGCCCAGGTTCCAGACGAGAGCGCATGAGACTCACTTCGCAAAGGTTCCTTGTTAGACTCAGACATTTCCCAGAATACACTGCGGCCAAGATTTCCGTTTCTTCGCACTTGAGGATAGTTCATAAAGAAAGCGTTTTTTCCGCGACGATGGCCTGAAAAACCATTGGTATCATGCCAGAAATGCTCTCACCGAGTCGAATGTGCGGTTGTGGAAACCTGGCATTCTTGAGGATCTTCTACCATCAGGCATGCATCCAAAGGCTTGCGAGGTGGTCACGACAGAGTTGGGCCTGCCTTACCCACATCCACCCCCCGCTAATCCTCTTTAGGCATTGAAGATTGTATCCCTGCAACATAGCCGATGGACCCCCCCTTTCCCACCCCCCATCTCCGCTGCCCGTCTTATTTCGTGCGCAGCACGAAGTAAGCTTACCAGCTTGAACAAACCGATCGAATTTCCGGGGCTCGGCATGCGACGGAGTCGGTGAGAGAGCTCAACGACAATTTCTGATTGACATACGGAAAGTCCTGCCGTCCAGACCAGAGCCGCCTGTTGTAGGAACTCGGGATCGTGCAGATCCGTCCGGACACCCCCGGCTCGACCATGGCCAGCATCTTCCGCCAGGCCGTATCGGGCGTCTACACCGTCCTCGCCGTCTCCATCCTCGGCGCCTGGAGCCTCATCGTGCTGGTGGGCGTCGGCCTCACGGCCGTCGACGCGAACGCGAGCCTCCTCCAGCTCATCGCCCTGCCGTCCCTGCTGACGTTCCTCGTCGCGAAGCTCGTCGTCGCCGCGTCGCCGCCGCCGCCCAACGCCGGCGTCGTCACCACTAGACAGACCCCCGGACCCGGAGCCCGACCGCCGGTCAGCAGCGGCAGCGGCAGCGGCAGCGGAAACCTCGCAACCTGGCTCGCGACGGCGGACCACGGCTCCCCGCACGGCGCGCTTGTCCTCCTCCTCTTCTCCGTGTCGTGGCTCCTGCACCTCGCGCGCATCTTCTTCGCGCTCTTCCTCGTCGTGCTCATGGGCGGCTTCATGGCCTTCGCCGCCACGCTCGACGACGCGGGTAAGGGTGGCAACAGTGGTAGCGGCGACGGTGAGACGACAGGCGGACGTGGGGGGGCGCTCTTCGACAACGCCGATGACGCCGACACCGGGGGCGCGCGCCAGAACATGACGACGGCGCTGGCGCAGTTCGAGGAACGGGCGGGCATGGTGGGGATCGGGGACTACCTCAAAGGGAACCCGTGGATCGTCTTCCAGATCTTTGCGGCGCTCTGGGCGGCGTGCGGGCTGCTGACGGCGTACGTCACGGCGCACGCGTTCGGGGCGGCCCGCACGGTGCTGACGACGCCGCTGGACGCGTGGGTGAGGAGGGCAGGCGGCGGCGGCGGCAGCGGCGGGGGTACACCTGTCGTCGTTGTTGTGGAAAAGGAGAGGGTTGTCTTGCCTGCGGAGGCGTCGAGCTAAGGGCTGAGTGCGGGCCAGTCACGGCATATCAGAGCTGGGAGTACTGTTTTCCTTCCTCCCGAGGAAGAACGGCCAGGGTTAGTGGGGGGGGGAGAGCAGGTCGACGGCCACCAGGTGCAGTCGAGCTCGCCGAGACCCGTCTCTAAAGCAAACAAACCGGGGCCCGCTCTGCAGCCTTCCGTTGCCGAGCCGCCCGGGAGCAGGCCGGAGGGAGACGGCGCGCGAATGGGAGGGCGAGCTCCGAGTGGGTCTCGGGCGCCTGCCGGCGTAGTGGGGGCAGGGCGGGGGTTGTCCGGGAAGAGAAAGCAAACAGGAAGGAGCGACCTGCACCTGCACCTGCACCTGTGCCGCAACTTCCTGCCTCACTCTACAACAAGCAAACGACCGCCCTTTCCCCTTCTCTCCTTCCCTTGTTCAGTCCCTTCGCCGTCGCCTCCAACAACTCTCAGTACGAAACCACAAAAGGGCAACCGTGGTGCAGTGGTTTAGCATTCCAGCCTCCCATTCAGGGAACCAGCTGGGGACCTGGGTTCGAACCCCGGCGGTTGCAGCTCTCTTTCCCTTTTTTTGCGCTCATCGCAAATTAGATAGATATAGATATTCTTTCTTTCTTTCTTTCTTGGCGTCACTGCTTGGCGGCGGTGTGTATGGCTACAGCCGTGGCCGTGGCACTTGTCGAGCCGTGTCGTGTAGTTGCGAGTTGTGATCCTTGGGGGACGTAAACAAACCCCTTGGAAGGGGATGAACGAATGCCTGGTGTATTGCACACCTTGTGTGTCTATTGTGTATTATTCATCGCGTATTCCGTCTATCGGAAAGCGTCAAATCTAATCCCAAATGCCAAGTTCCTCATCGTCGCATTACGCCGCAAATCCTGCCACCCTCCACCTATCTACGCCCTTGTAGAACCCCCCCCCCCTTCCCCCCTCAATCAGCTCTCTCCAAGATCCTGCAAGCCTCGAATATCTTCTCCGTGATCCCGTCAATGTGGCCCCAGTCGAACATGTCAAAGTGGTGCCCCTCCGTCATCAGCACCTTCTCGACGAAGCCGGGGCAGTACCCGTCCCACCCCAGTTTGTCGTCCTCACGGTACACGTCCACCGGGCTGATGACGCCGGCCGTCGACGACGGCACGCACGCCTTGGCCTTGACCAAAACCGCCCGCGGCGGCCTCTCCCACACCACCTCCGCCGTCTCCTTCTCGCGCTTGCTACCGTAAAAGCCCGTTTCCATGCCCCCGTGGCCGTCGTCGTCGTCGTGGTTGTCCCGGCCATCGACGTCCCTGTTCGGCTTGTTGTCGCTGACATTCCCGCCGCCCGCTATCCTGGGCACCGTCACAGCCGCCGCCGCCGCCGCCCCGCACCGGGGAATCTTCCACGCCCGCACCATCCCGCCCGCCATCCCCATTGCCCGTCGTGCTAGCCGCAGGTTCTTCGTCTCGGGCTCCGGCCCCTCAACGAGGCGCCCGATCTTGATCTGCAGCCCCTCGGGCCACACGGGGTACACGCTGTCGACGATGACCAGCCCGGCGATCTCAATGTCCTCGTCCTCGTCGCCGAGCTGCCGCGCAATCTCCAGCGAGAGCATCCCGCCGAGGCTCCAGCCCCCCAGCAGAATCCTTCTGCGGGGCTTGCCGTCGCCGCCTCTGCCCGCGGGCGGCGGCGACCGCGGCGCCTGCGCGGGGTAGTCCCGGCCCTTCGTCACGGTAGCCCGGATCATCCGCAGGTACGTCGCGGCCATCTCGGGCAGGCCGCCGTCCCAGGGCACGCCCGAGTGGAAGCGCGGGTTGGCGATGCCGAAGACGGCGCGGTCGAGGGGGCCTAGACAGTGGTATGCGAACGTCGTGCCGCCGCCGTCGTGGACGAGGAAGAGCGGCATCAGCGTTCCGCCCCGCGGCGAGGCGGGCTGAACGAGCTCGCATTCTTTTGGCGCCGGGTGGTACAGCATGGCTGCTGCTGCTGCTGCTGCTGCTGGTGTCCCGAGGCTTAAGGTTCAGGCTGTCGTTGAGTCAGGTAAAAAATGCGGTCGTCGATGAGAAAACTCCCGGGGGGTTGTCTGTATGTGCGCAAGATGGTGGGATCGCGGGACCGAGTGAGATATTCTCGCAAACGAGAGATCCTTGCTGACGCACAGGAACGGGGAGAGAGCTGAACGAGGATGTGGGGTCGCCGATCCGACCAACCACCGCGGAGGAGAAGGAATGAACAGGTCTCGCAGCAACGTGATACGTGCCTAGAGTCGCCCTCGAGAGAAAGATGATGAACCGCGAGTGGAGATGTTGTCAGTTAAAACAGCAACCAGGGGGGCAAGTAAGTTCTAGTTCCCAATAGTTGAGTGGGTCGAGAGAGCGGGTGAGATGGAGGCCCTCCCACCAATGCACTTTACAGTGACCCCCCACCACCCACCTTGTTCTGGTACAGGCGAGAGATATGGGGAATTCCGCTTCGGCGTTCGGCAGTCATCAAGCTTTTCGGGGGGGGGGGCGAAGATCCCCCTAGGTTCGGGCTGCTTCTACCAATGAGTCGTGCTCCGTCCCGAGTCGGCGTTGCATTCGCCAATCTTTTTCTTCGCCGATCGCGCATCCGCAAAGAAACCTCTTAGCTATACAGCGCCGAACCCATCAAGAACATCATCGACATCCAAACGGCGTGTGATTCCCAGATAAACATTGCGAGGGCCAACAGCGGGACGGGCTTCGGAATACGCACCAGGTCAAATTCGTATCATTTCGTCTACCGAAATATCCAGACAGCCAGAAGTAAAGTCGTTATTGGACATTCATCGCCGCAATTCGGAAAGAAAAAAAAGAAAAAAAAAAGGAGAGAGAGACAGGTGCAATCTAGTCCATAAGGTCTGCCCACAATGTAATTTACTTTTCTCGCCGGAAACACAAACCCCCTCCGTCAACCGTCGCCCGTCGCCTTGCACTTCTACCTCACGTCCGGGGCTTGAACTTGAGAAACATCTTCTCCCTAGGCTTCGCCGCCGAGTGCTTGTTCCTGTCTATCGAGCTCTCGGGCACCTTGTCCATCTTGTTGCCATTGGCATCGGCGAGGTAGAAATCGAATCGAGCGAGGAACATGGCGGTCGTGACGGCCATCTCCAGCTTGGCGAACTGTGTATCCCCCCCCACCGGGTGGTGTCAGCAATGCATCACATGGCAGACAAGAAGAAGAAGAAGAAGAGGAGGAAAAGACAGAGAAGACAAGACAGAGAGGTAGACTCACCCTCATGCCCAGACATGGGTGCCGGCCGGTACCCCACCCGATGAAGGCGTGCGGGTCCTTCTTGTCCTCTTCCCGGCCGGGGAGGTATCTCCCCGGGTCCCACCGCGACGGGTCCGTGAAGAATTCGGGGTCCATGTGCGTCGAGTCGAACTGGTAGACGACGTACGCTTCTCGCGGCACCACCTCGCCCGTTTTGCCAATCGGCAGGTCCCTGCCGCTGTTGTTGTAGCGGAACCCGCAGCCCGTGAGGGTGTGCCGGATCACCTCCTTGAGCCCGAGGTCGATGAGCGGAAACTCGGCCTCCCACTCGTCCATGGTCATGCCCGCCAGGATCTCGTCGGCCGTCTGCTCCGCGGACCGCCGCCGCCGCGAAATCACCCCGTCAACCTCGCGCTGGAACTCGCCGTACCAGTGCGCGTCCCCGGCGATGAAGCACAGCAGGTACGCCGCGTCGATGCCCGTGTTGATGAGGCCCGCGAACAGCGCGCCGACGAGGAAGGCCACCATCTCGATGGTGCTGTCGCCGTTGTCCATGAGGAACTGCAGTGCGTCGTTGCCCGGCACCCCGCGCGCCTTGCGCTCTCGGATGATCCCCTCGAGGATCCGGTACATCCTGCCGCCGCTGATGACGCGCCGCATTTGGCCCACGGTCGGCATCCAGGGAAACATGATCTTGGTCGCCGTCGCCGCGCTATCGATGCCCTCGAAAATGCGCAGCATCCGCAGCAGGAGGACCGGATCCTCGGCTACCTCGTCGCAGCCTACCATGCGCACGGTTAGCTGGAACACGAGGCGGTACATGTCCTCGAAGGGGTCGCTCGTGCCGAACTCGGACGACGGGCCGATGCGCGCCGCAAGGTCGTCCATCGTGCCCCGCGCGTCCGACACGAGGATGTGCAGGCGTTCCGACAATACGTCCTTGCGCAGGAGCCGGACGAGGTTCCGGTTGAACTTGACGTCGAAGCTGTCATCCGAGGACCGCTCGCCGCTCGACAAGTTGATTTGCGGGGTGGCGTTGAGGAGGGCGCCGTACCTGTGGCTGTGTAAGTCCCCGACAATTTCTTCATGTCACGCCTCCGCCCCCTTCAGTCACAAGAGCCAATGACGTGCAAATCGTCCCATGTGCACTTATTGAAAGAAAAAGAAAAGAAACAAAGAGTCTCTAGAGAAAAGAGCGGACTCACCCCTTTGTGAAATCCAGCTCCCGGCTCTCGAAAAAGAGTCGCCGGCCTTCGACGCCGCTGAGGCCGACGATTCTCATCTTCCCAAAGTAGAAGCTCCAGTTGCCCGATTTGGCGAGGCGGCGGCCCTCGGTCATGAAGTTGCCGCGATTCGAGAAGAAGCGCGGCGAGCCGACGACGGGGTGGCTCTTGAATAGCTTCGGAGCGCTTTTCGGGAACGAGGGCCGGTGGACGAGGGCGCCGACAGCGTAGGCCAACCCCGTCAGGAGGAGGACCCAGACGCCCATCGGCCAGTCGTGCGGGCGCAGGGCCGCGGAAGCTACCGCGGCGACAGACATGGTGAATTTTTTCCCCCGTTTCTTCAATTAAGCGGACACAGTTCGGGGGCTTTTGGTGGTCTCGTTTCGTATTTTTCCCCCGTCGCGGGTCGATTGAAGAGGGGTAGGAGGTTCCAATGAGCTGGAGACTCGATGCGAGATGAGACGGAATCCCGAGATGAAGGGTGGGGGCGAACTACACTAGAGTACAAGAAGAAGGAGAGCAAGGCGAGGAAGCTCGAGAATGGGAAAGACGGCGACGCGTATAATATTATAATTTGTATTCGTAAACGAAACAGATCTGGTTATCCAACCCCTAGCGCCGCGATCTGAGGAGAGGGCCCGACGGATTCGAAACGTATGTGGCAAAAGCAGCGAGGAGGAGGAGGAGGAGAGGGGGCAAGCTGGCAGCGTAAAGAGCCTTAAAGGAAAGGTAGGTTGGAATGGACATCCCGGTTGGCGGCAGCGACTTCAAAGCACGGGTGAAGAGGGTGCCTTTCGATCCGAGTGTTGTTTAGGCTGGAACAGGGATCCATCACGACAGGACCACCAAGAAGCTGGTCGATGGACAACGAGCTGGTACCCAACGTGGGACATGTCATAGTAGTTCGTAGATTCCGTCTCTTTGCCTCCCTCCTCCCTTCGCTTAACCCTCCAAACTGTCCTTGGGTATTGGTGCCGAGGAATGAGAGGCTCGCGAATACGAACGGCCTCGATCCGATTGGTTCGCGTCCGCTTCCCTCTGATCCCATCTTTGCGTTTCCCAGGGTCCCGAGGTCCCCCCCAAGCGAAGGCGGGCGAGGGTGATGGGGGCCCACGCAGATCAGCCGTTTAGACCAGGAGACGGTGCGCGGCAGTTGGGGTGGCCGAGCACTAAACTTTCCGCGTCCAAGGTTGCCATTGGAGAGGAGGGGGAGGTCCAGGGGTTAGACGGGGTAGTATCCTGGAGGCTTTCTGCTTTCCAAGACGACGGCAGCCAGAGTCCGGTAGTATGGGCGATAGGTTCCATCGCATGAGAGCAGAAGATGGTGTATTTGGACTGGAGAAGTGATGTTGCACGAGGGAAGACCCCCCGCTCTTCTCTCGTATTGTGCCGGAAGGTGCCCATTTATGGGGTCCGATTGCCTGTTCCTTCCCACAGCATCTTCACCAGCACCTGCTGTTTGACTTCCCCAATGCATAGGTACAAAGTACATAGGTAGGCCACTATCAACAAAAAGCAAACCGTCCCTCCCTTCAGATATAGTTCAGTGTATATCTTTTATCGTGTGGTGTTCGCTCTGCTCTTTTTGGGCGGACCGTTGGCCCGAGGTTGGGGAGATACAATTCGGCTTTGGACACTTGTTTGGGAGAGGGGCATTGTGCTCATATGCCAAGCACACGACAATATACAATTGCTGTTTGTAAAACCATCGTCCTTTTATGCTTTTCTGATACGAGTGCCGAGTCTGCACACTGCATGCCGCATACCACAAACTTCAACGACGGCGTACCGGGACCCCTTGTGTCCCCCATGTGTGTGGCCGAGACAAGGGGCCCTTGTTGGCACAAGGGAGAGAGAGACGGACAGAGAGCTGCCCGGGTGCATTGCATTTTCATTTTCGGCCGAGTCTGGGATAGGAAAACGGCTCTAGTAAGTGTCCGGGAGAGGGAAGGAGGGAGATTCTCAGATGGCCGACGCTCTCAGAGATTCCGGTGGCCTGAATCGCCATCTCGGCTTATCCCCACCCCGCCGCCCTTTCCTCGTTGCGGCGATCATGATAGAAACTCGTGCCGGCCAGCCGGTAGCAGAACGCCGTCCGTCCCAAAGACAAAAATTCCCAACATGAGGGATCCCGTGCGTTCGGGCGATGGCCATGAGACGAAAAATCATATCCCCTATGCTTCCCCCGCGCGCGGAGAAGATACAGCACCATCGAGTCGCGGCACTTACACTAACCCGGGCCACAGACAAAACAAGGTGGCAGCCCAGGACTCTGCCTAGCTGTCCCGCTCTGCTTTACTAGACCAGAATATAAACTCACCCAACTTTCTGTCATTCGCGTCGCGGTGCTATCGTCTCCTGTCAGGGCGGCTCAACACCGCCATGTGGGCACGCGAGGCCATGAAGCGACCAAACCGCCCAGAATGTATACATCTAGCAAGCTACGGGGGGGGAGGGGAAAGGGGTATCGTCTAACAATGCAAGCTACGCCACTCTGATCCTCTCTCTCTCTCTTTTGGGGACCCTGTCTAATCCCAAGCCATCGCGTCTTTTCCTTCCAGGATTCTAGCACATAAAGTCCAACCTTGGTCTCTTCTCGTGTCAGCAGCCCGTCGCATGTCCTACGAAGCCCGCAACCTCGCCGGGCCGAACAAGAAAGCTCACTAAACAGCCTCCCAGTCCATGGCCTCGACCATGAAGTCATACTCGTCCTCCTCCATCTCTTCGGCGCCACCCCCCGCTCCCGCTCCCGCTCCCGCCCCCCCTCCTCCACTGATGGCCGCCTCCTCAGCGACCCGCCTCTCAGCAACCGCGTATCCAGCATCGAACCCGGCAAAGACGTGCCTAAAAATCTTGTCCAAGTCGTAGCTTTCCAGCGGCGCCGTCCCGGCCCTTTCCCGCCCCGCCTCGCCGTTCGCCCTGGCCCTGGCCCCCTCCTCGGCGTACTTCCACCGGTTCCTCAGCTCCTTGGCCCTCGACAGGTGGAACAGCACCTCGCCCGTCCCCAGCGCCTCGTGGAGCGGATTGTCCTCCCTCTCCAGCGCCGCGATCACGTTCTGGTGGTACGTGTGCGTTGCCTGCTGCGCGAAACCGCCATCAGCCCGCCGCGGCGCCGCCGACGTAGTCACCCAGCCGTCTCGCGATACCGTGATCCCAAACACGCCCATCAGGTGCACCAGCGCTCGCTCCAGCAGCATGTAGTACTCGTAAAAGTCGAGCTTGAACATGAGCTCCGCCTCCTCGGCGTCCGTCTCGCCCCCGTACAACGGGTCCCCAGGCCGTGCTATTGCGTGGTGGTACCCGTGGCTCAGGTACGGGAGCTTCCACTTGAGCCGGCGCACGATCTGTATGTACCGCCTAAACTCCTGCTGCGCCGTCAGCCCGTCGTGGGTGGCGGCAGTGTTCTTCTTAGCGCCGTCGGCGGGCGCTGAGGAGGGCGTGCTTGCGTTCGCCGCGGGGCGGAAGGAGCTGGCGCTCTTGGCTGGCGACGGAGGCCGCGGTGCCGCGGGGGTAATGACCGAGGACGTATCCTGATATGTCCGTGATCGGTATACAGAGGCGGACGAGCTATTGGAGTGTTGGGCTTTGCCTCTGGAAGCCCAAATGGAGTCGCCCAAGCCCTTCTTCGAGTTGATCATCCTTGTTGGTTCGGACGTATGGATTGCGCGGGAGGAGGGGCGTTCGGAGGGGCGTTCGGAGGAGATGCTGGGACGGAAAAAGCAAGAGGCTGTAACGACTGTGGCTTGATCTCGTCAATTGGAGATCGCGGTTTGGGTCTGGGGTTAGCGTCGGGGAGGTTGTCGGGCTGGGCGAAATGAGGGATCGGTTCTTGGAACAGAAACTAGTGACTGCATCAACGTTAAAGAAAGAATGCGGGAAAGAGATACAAAAGGATGGTCGAACGAATGCCAGAAGCGATGTCTCAGGCAGCAGGGCGTAACAGAAAAAAGGAGGGGACGGGCGGCCTCTGCCGTGTTGCTCTTCCGAGACTCGTAAGTTGGTTCGTGTTGGTCCGGTCGCACATCTGGCCAACAGCCAAAGACGCAGGGGGATGAAATATGCGATGTGAAGATGAAAGAAAGCTGTTGGTGGTGTTGGTGGGGGGATGAGGCGGGGTAGCACAGATCCCGGGCGGCTAGGGCAGCTTAGAAGCTTACCTACATAGCTAGGTATATAGGTAGTCGCCTGTAACAAGAACTTTGTCCTAGCAGCCTACATGCCCACAGTGGGGAGAGAAGAGGACGAGAGTGCCTTTGCCAGCCTTTGCCATATGTATACTTGGCCGCGTGTCTCCTTAGACCACAGCAACTTTTGGGACACAGACATACATACCTCAATCGCACTGCAGTCGATTCTCAATGCCTTGCTATGATAATCCCAGAACGATGTCTTCTCGATCTTGCCATACCGCCATCAGCCTGCTGAAGCAGTCTTCAAATAGCTTGGCAAACCACTCCACTACATCGCCTTCGGGTCCGATTCCAACGTCGTCGAGCTTCTCTCGTAACTGCATGCCAAGAATTGCAGACCCTTGTTGACCTCCCGTCCCAGCGATTGAACTGCTACCACTCAAATAGTGGGGGGGGGGCACATACCATGAACAGTAATAGCGATTTAGAGATGCCTTCGTGGTTACGGAAAAGATTGTCCATGCCATTTAAATCGGTTCAAGTTGATGGCCCTGTACTAGACAGACACAAAATTGTGCAAGAACTTGGAGTCCCTGTTAGGGCTGCTTTACAACTTGGCGATAGCGCGCAACTCGGCTTGCAGGCCGAAGACAAGGTCTACACCTGTAGCTGACTAGTTCTTATCTTATGGCTATTTGGCAACCAACGTATAATATAGGCCGTTGACTAAAACGAAGTAAATACAGCATAAGGAGCAGAAGAAAACTAGGTACAGAAGCGTAGTAAGAATCCTTCTACATACAGAGAGGGATTCTTACTATAAAAAACCCAAAAGTGATTTACAGACCTGATCAGACTAGTAAGAGTCTTCCAGGCCTGACCAACGAGCGTAGAGAACTATTTCGTCACAACATCAAATAATAAACTTTAAGTCAACAGTATAAGTGCATTGATAAGCATGCCTCTAACCTATATAATCTTACTTTAGGTATGTTCTACGTCAAATTAAGCCCAAATAATCCAGCTAGGAGAAGTGATAATAGAAACAAATTCTCTCGCCGTATAGAACAAATACTTGCGCCATCGCTTTTGGTCTCGCCCTTTAGAAGCCTTTGGACGTTCATGCCAAAAGGCGCTACACAGAGAGCCCGCATGGCTGTCCCGTTTTCTGCTAAATACTCGACAGAGTCCATTACATTCGGACAACAGACTTGCCCGTCGGGGCCCATTTGCAGCGGCGCGCCCGATCCGGTAAACGACCCCATGAGCTGATAGCTGGGCAGCGACGTTGAGGTGCACAAAATGCGAAAGCCGGGTATATTGTCGACACGTTCCCGCTTATTGGAGTCCACGTCATGTTGCCGAGTACGTCCAGTTTACTGGAGCACGACTGCTCAGGCGCGATGTTCTTCGAGCCCGCATTGATATCCACGCAGCACCCTTTCCGGCCGAGGAAGACGCCGCATTGGTGGCCGCGGTAGCATCAGGTTCCGTCTCCACAGGCACCGACATCTGTTAGGCAGGTGCTCGTTGTGCTGTTGTCTAGGCATGGTTGACGTTCTTCCAGGGCGAAGAAGTAAATTTGGGACTGAGGCCGGGTTAGAACAGTGGTTTTTGCCGCTGTGAAGTGCGCAGAGGCCGCAAAAACGGCACTAAGCTTTGTCATGAGAGAGCTCGAGAATCGCATTTTGGTGGGAACTAAGTTATTAGGGAGACGAATGAGATATCAAACAGGAGTAGTTGTATTGCTACGGGCCGTAGGATTCTTATCGAGTTTAATCTATATTCTGGTCTGGGGCTCTTGTTTAATAACCTCCTGGTTGTGGCGAAACATCGCACTCGGCGACAAGAGTTCGCTTGATGGCGCACTACTAGGTTGACCGAGTTCGGGGCTGATATCTGGTGGGCAAGCTTTTCAGCCCTCATTTCATCTTTCTTGAGTTGTTTGATAAATGTATTCATCACTCGTTTTGCTTAGGATGTGCGATGAGTTACAATATAGCCCTTTATTCAGCCGCACTGCACTACTGTACAACTAGAGAACAAACGCTGTTGCGCCGCTTCTAGATCAGTCAGGAGGGGCAGTACGAAACCATAATCCCTGGTGGCTCAAAGCACAATGGTGCACAGGAGCTCGGCACCACTAATTGTGTAGACATGGTCTGGCGTATCGCTAGTGGTAATGTAGAGTGAAGCCCCGCTGGGCTGTGTCCAGTTGAAGCCTGGTCTTCATGAGCCATATCGGGTTTGTTGCTGTTGAGGTCGCCAAGCCAGCGGCAACAACGGCTTGTGCGTGGACGATGGGATTATCTTCATTGCATCGCAAGTACCAGGCCCCAAGCCGTTTGCAGTTACCGTACACATAGAACTTGATGGCGGTTGCAGGAACTACACCAGTCAGGCTGGAGCCAAGGCCACGAAACAGTGCGTGCCGGCCTTCATTGTTCTTATTCAAACCGGGGATATCGAATGTTTTACAGATATGCCGGAAAGGGGTGCCAAGTAGACATAGCATCTTGCAATATGCGTATTATTGTACTATCAAGAGGAAGGTTAAGTGATAGAGATCTAATTAAAGTTGGATTCTGAGGATGTTAAGAGGAGATATAAAAGTGAAAGTTGCGGTTCCACCGCTCCTAGTGGTGGTTAGCAAGGTGTTTCTTAGTAAGTAAGCGGGCAATTCTTACGCGCTAGCATCCAAATGCACCTAAGATTGTGCTCTTGCTGTTGTCTCCTCTAAATAGTATCAGGAAAGAAGGTTAATCCTGCAATGCTAGCAACATCATGTGGCTCAGAGGGTTGCATCAGTGGCCACCAATAGTCTACACATCTCATCCTGCATATACATCTTCCTCACTTGAACAGAGTGTTCACGCATCACCGTCTTTGATATTGTGCATAAACTGCCCTTGGGCGTGTATTGGTATGTCGAAATCGTACTTGTACGTATTCCTAGGATATACAACTTCAACAATGGCCCCTCTTCAATACTCGCAATAGATACACCCCAACGCCGGTCAACATAACGACTTTAGTCATCCAAGAACGCCTTCGTCAGCCGGCCGGCTTCTACGCCTTCTTCGTAGCCTTGGCCGTTCCGATATGGGTATTATGAACCTGTTGCGCATCGTCAGCATCGTGTCCCCGACAAGACAATCGCTGGCTCTTGGTTGTTGCCACCGCAAAAACTCACCTTGGTAGCAAAACGCAAACTCGTCACTGTCTCCTTGAGGTGAGCCTCCAACGGGCTGACCATCACAAACATGAGCGTCTTGCTGTTGCCCCCGAGCGAGTACTGCAGCAAGTGCGTCAGTTTAGAATTGCGGTACGGGATGTGCCCGCTCTTCTTGCCGAGCGCCTCAATCACATCCCCGAGGCACGACAGAGACTTGTTGATGTTCTGTGTCTCCTTCATCCTGGCGCCCTCGGCTTGCGAGTGCTTGAGACGCTCCGAACCAGCCAGGTCCACCAGGTTCAGCGTGCCCTCGCATCGCTCTCCCGTCGCAGAGTTGAACCCCGACAGCTTCAGGATGAAGACGCTGTGCGACCGCGACGACCGCTCGTTGGCCTTGGTTGATGCCACCGACCGGTTGTTCTGCGCCTCGGCAAGCATCAACTCCACCGTGTCGGCAGAGTCCAGCGAGACCGTCTTGCAGTTGAGGACCGAAGTCTGCTTGCGCACGTCGTCGTGTCGGATCTCGAGCTTGCGCGCCTTGCCGCCGTCCGACTCGCGGCCGTTGGGCGTCAACAGGTCATTGAGCTCCTCGTTGTACACTTCGATGAAAGAGCCCTCCATCTTGTACGTCCATTGCTTCTCCTTGAGCTTCGTGACCGTGTCATAGATCATGTGCGTTGCGCGAGGGATCATGCCGTCCGCTGAAGACATGGTGTGCGTCTTACCAGATCCTGTCTGGCCGTAGCAAAAGATGCACACGTTATATCCGTCGAGGGCGCTCTGTACGAGCTGGGAGATCTCATCAAACACGTCTTGGTTTTGCGCGGTTGGGTCAAAGACACGGTCGAACTCGAAGTTGATGTTCTTCGTCGAAACATCGCCAAAGCTGTTGACCTCCTGCGTCTGCAGCGCAATCTCGGCCGACGTCTTTTCGTCGGGGAACGTCACCTTTGCAGGCGTGCCTTCCGACGCGCTCAGCACAGGGCGTACTCTGCACATGACGCGGATGTTACCCTTGAGCTCTTGGTACTTGTTAAAGAGAACGCGGCGTTCCATCTCTTCCTTGATGAGCTTCTCCCTGGCCACCTCCGCCGCCTTGAGTGCTTCCTGGAGTCTCGCTTCCATGTTGGCGAACGAGTCGGATTGCGCCTTGCTGTCGGACTCGAGGAACTCGACGTGTGATTTGAGAGAGTTGATCTTGGCCTCTAGAGTGACGTTGGAGGCGCCGAGCTCCGAGATGCTCGCCTCAAGGCCCTTCTTCAACGTTCGTTCGCGGTCCAGGTCACTCTTGAGCGTTTCCACCACTGCCCTCAGGTCGGCGGCTTCTCTGTCCTTCTTCTCCAAGGTGGCGTGGAGGTCTTGCTGCTCGTGCCCGAGCCTCATGCGGAGATCCTGGATTTCCTTTGACTTTTGGTTGCGCTCCTCGTCGAGCTCGGCCTTGAAGTGGCGCTCGAGAGCATCCAAAGCCTCCCGGTGGCTCTTTTCCGTTCTCTGCGTCTCGTCTTTGAGCTCGCGTCGCAGCTCATCGAGCTCATGACGGTGCTTTCGGGCCTCGTCTTCGAGCTCATACTTTTGGTTCCGCTTTGCCGTTTCCGATTCGATCGTCAGCTTCTGCATCTGATCGCGCATGCTGTCGATCTCATTTTGCAGGTTGCCGTTGCGGTCCTCGAGCTTTTCTCGTTCCGTTTCGAGCTCCGATACTGTGCCTTGTCAGCCCGTCTTTTACCTAGAGTCGATTCGTCCGAACTCACTTCTCTTCTTATACATCTCCACTCTCTCGTCCATCAACTCTTTGTCAGATAGCATGACATCCATCGTCTCCTTGACCTGCTTGAACTGCGACTCGATGCCCGCCACCCTATCCTCAACATCCCAGCCTACAAATTGAGTCAAGTTAGAATCTTTTGTTAAGAAGTACTGTCTACTGGGAGAAGGGGATCTAGCCGGCGATCTGGACTCCTTGATCGTCATGATTGTTTCTCCGAGTCTTTCCATCACGGCTCTTGCTCGCTTAGAGTCTGGCGAAGGCGTGGCAGGATCGGTCATGTGACTGGCCTGCCTCTTCTTCGGCGACAGTTCTGGCGCTCTCATGAAAGGCTTCTGTGATGCACGCATAGTGACTTGCGCGGTGCTCATTGACGTCGACAGGGAACTGACGCTGTTCGCCCGACTGAAAACCACTTGATCTTCATCTTGTGTGGAGGTTGTGCTGGTGTCGTCCTTGATGGATAGTGCACCGAACCGGCTGCTAAGAGAAACTTCTCTCGGCGAATTCATTTGCGATGTGGTATTGGCAAGCCTGGTTTTTCTAGGCTGAAAATCAGGGGGTCGCGGAAAGTTCAATTGCTGGGAATGTAAGACCGTACCGTGCTGTTGTTCTATTGGTCCATCGAATTCTTCCTCCGATCTATGACCGTATGCCGTGCGTGGTCTCGCATGCTGATTCGTGTTTCGGGTGCGAGGCTGCCCGTGTACGGACTTTGAATGAGCAAGGGACGATTTCGAGCGCTCATGGCCCCTAGGGCCGACACTTGCGGAAAAGCTGCCGCCGGTATTGTATCGTGAGGTCGTTGGTACGTTTCGAGGTCTAATGTTGTTTGGGTCCTTGAGCTGCTGAGAGTCAGCGTATGCACGAAAGACGGTCAATAATGAGCAAGCATTGGGCGGTACACAACGCAGCTCATCCCTGTCGCCAGTGTCGTCATCGCAGTCAATAGTCCGATCGTCATCTCGCACCTCGGCGTCTAGAAGGAGCTGGATACACCTGTATGCGCTGTCGCTGTCATGTTGCAGCCCCAGCCATATTTGCAGCTTGCCCGTAACGCTGCGCAGATATGTCGAATGAGACGCCAATGGATGGCTTGGGCAGCGACAGCAAGCTCGATCCAGGGCGCATCCTCCATCAGGTTCGTCTGAACTATCATGGTCATAGCGGAGCGAAAAGACGACGAGGAGCCTTTGGAGGATGGATGGAGGGATGTTTCGGAAAGCCGACCGCAGGATGATTCGCAAAGTGCGGAAGATATGACCCGCGACACAGAGGGCAATCCGCATGGTGTCGTTCCAGGGCACGGTATTGAAGGGCGGGTTCGGCTTGGAAACCATCTCCATAGGTCCGACGTGGTGTTTGGGGATGAGATGCGATGCGATGTGGAAAGAATCCAACGGAACTTACCTCGGCCAGTGTTTGTCCCCTGACGGAACGCGACCTGACAATGCTGGAGGCACCTGCCGCGGCCGTCGAGGGCTTTGTCGGGAATTCACCTGCCTGCTGGGCGAGAGACTTCCTTTCAATGATAGACTTCTGATACTTGGAGGCCGGCAGCTCAGCTGTGGAAGGGGCAGTCAGCAGCCGCCACCATTCCCATCGTCGCTCAGGAAGAAGGAACCAACCTGGCTTGGGGACATCGCGCTTCAAGGCGCTGTTGAGCGATCCCATCTTGGCCCCGGGTGGCGGTATCATGGACTGGTGCGCGCGCGCGTTGTGCTGAGATTCGTTCATTTCGGTAAGGCCGATGGTAGAGGAGATGGCGCCCGGTCGCGGCAGGTTGCTCGGCCGCATGACAGAGGAACGGAAGTGGTGTTGCTGTCGATATGAAGGTCAGTTACCTAGTTCGCAGCAAGTCCACGCACTCGGAGCTCCTGCGACGGGGTCGCGCAAGCTTCGGCCCCCCCCGGAGACACCAGACACCGGGGCACGCACCGTATTCTCCGCGGTGTCCATGTTGACGATGCTATCGACGCGACGAGCAATGACGGGAATGATGATGTGGGACACGAGGAGCAGCGCTCCAGTTTTGGAGGTGGCAGGAGACGGCGTTGTGAAGTTGGAGCAGGCCTTCAGCAACAGTAGTAGAATCGCAAAAAAGCCCACATCTATGATTGAATATGGGGAGGGGTGTGGATTATGGCTGCTTGGGCTTTGTTTGCTGCGCTTCCCGATTGGGGGCGTGGAAGAGGAGGACAGGGCCTAAGTGTTTACCGTGAAGTGTATCCGTACACACGCCGCAGCCGCCGAGGGGTGGCACGGTTGCCCGGCAACAGATCAGACCGTTAACATAATCTCGTGCGAGTACAGTGTCTTACGTAACGCCGCCGTCTTCCCGTGTTTGTCCAATCGACTGTTGCCTCAGGTTGAAGCATCACACGTGTGCTCCCTCCCCCTAGAGGTACCTAGGTACCTACCGGTACCTATCAAGCGCCAATCCTCAATTTTCATGGCGAGGTACCTCTATCCCAATCAGGAAAGCGGTCACTACAGTAGCACCTCCCTTCCCTCTCGTTTCCAGCACTCGCAGTCAGGCACAAAAAGTGTGGCCTTTTCACATGTCATTGCTACCCATCACCCACCGCGCCATGACGTTGGGAAGCTCATTCGCCAGGTCGGTTTTTGTGTCTCGTTAGCCCCCGAGAAATTTCATGCCAGGAGACGAGCAAGAGCTCCGTGACACGAGCAGCGCTCCCAACTCTCATTGAAATTCCTCAGCTCTCGGCCTCGTTCCCAACTCCTCGTATTGCTGCTGAGCTGCATCCCACCTCCCGTCCTGCCGCCCCCCCTCCTTTGGACAGAGCACCGACCCCTCGTCAGCGTATCCCTTCTTATCCCACGTTGTGAACGGAGCCTCATGTCGCGGTGATCATCCGCCCATCACTGACTTACACGAGTCTCGCCTCCTACATTGACCCGCTCGCGGGTATCCCACCACTGCCAAACCCACCATGGAGAAGTTTAGCCAGTTCCGTGACAAAGGTGAGCATCATCATCATCATCGCCACCAACCGCGGCCGCCATCGACGACCGGCATACCGCGGCATCCCAGCTGACATGCATTCACAGGCTCGGGCATCTCGCCATTCATCCCCGTCAAGACGGGCCTCTCCCCCGTCTCCTCCGTCTTCCACGCCTTCCTCTTCCTCGTTCGCCTCCCCATCTTCATCACCTATGTCGCCGCCTACTTTCTCTTCCTCCAGCACCTCCCCTTCTTGCCCGTGGCCGTCCGCAAGGTCCTGCTTTGGGGCATGATGGGCATCCCCGGCATATGGTGGGTTGATCTCCAGCTCGACGGCGTCCGTCGGGGCACCCTCGCCGAGCAGCCCCCGCAGCGCTTTCCGCACCCCGGCTCCGTCATCGCCGCCAACTTCACCTCCCCCATCGACGCTATCTACCTCGCCGCCATCTTCGACCCCATCTTTACCATCTCTTATCCCAACACCCGTTCCGTCGAGCAAATCTCTCTCCTCCGCGCCGTCTGCCACGCCTTCTCCCCCGTCCGCTTCGCCCCCCGCCCGGGCGCCCGCCTCACCGACCTCGCCGCCCTCCTGCGCAAGTACCCGGACCGCGTCGTCGCCGTCTTCCCCGAGGGCTGCACTACCAACGGCAAGGGCGTCCTCCCATTCACCCCATCCCTCCTCGCCGTCGACCCCGACGTCCACATCTTCCCCGTCAGTATCCGCTACACTCCCGCCGACGTCACGACCCCCGTCCCTGGCCTCTGGTTCAAGTTCCTTTGGGACCTGCTCTCCCGCCCGACGACCTGCATCCGCGTCCGTGTCGCCGAGAGCATCCTCAACTCCTCCGCCGCCCAGGCCAACGGCGTCTCGTCGTCTGTCGCCGATGGAGGCGCCACGCACCGCCGGGCTGCGGGCGGGGCTGACTCCGCGCTCTCGATCGAGGAGCAACGGGTCCTGGACAAGGTTGGCGAGGCGCTGGCCAGGCTGTGCCGCAACAAGCGCGTCGGCCTGACGTTGCGGGACAAGGAGGCCTTCATCGACGCCTGGAACGGCCGCAAGTAGTTGCGAACAACGGTGCTTGGATGTAGTACAAGGGAAGGGTTGAACAGCCGTGATCAGCGTTGGGCGGCAATCGTGAATTTTTTTTTGGTTCCTTATTTTTCCCCGTCTGGCGGATGTTTGCATAGCTTAGGGTCGGGGAGGTTGCCTCGAACGCGCCATGTTTCTCAAAATTGACGACAGACAACCGAAGAAGGGGGGGAGGCATTATGAGCGGCATCTGCTATTCAGGAAGAGCCGCTTTGTAATTCATGGTGTACGCTTTACGTGTGTCGTTGGAAATGCTGCATATACCACAGTTCAACCTTGGTCAAAACAGAATCTTTGGTTTTTTTTCTTTTTCTTTTCTGGCTCACTCGGGCTGGAAAATACCTAAACAACGAGGGAGGAGGATTACTATGAACGCAAACAAAACTCCGATTTTGGACTACCTTTTCCGAAGCCGTACAAGATGATGGATGGTATAACAGTGTAGAAACTCTAGCTTTCAAAACAGAAATCGCCCACTCCCTCCCCTCTCTTGAAGAAAACATCCAAGGGGAAATATCCAAAGGGGGAAAAAAAATACCTTAGATGCTGCCGTCCGTCACACATCCAGAGCTGGCGTTGCTGACGAGGGCCGAGTACTTCTTGAGGGTACCCTTGCTGTACTTGAGCGGGGGCGCCTTCCACTCGGCTTTGCGCCTGGCCATCTCCTCGTCCGAGACGTTGGTGTCGATGACGCGCTTCTCGGCGTCAATGGTGATGACGTCGCCGTCGCGGACGAGGCCGATGGGCCCGCCCTCCATGGCCTCGGGCACGATGTGGCCGATGAGGAAGCCGTGGCTGCCGCCGGAGAAGCGGCCGTCCGTCAGCAGGGCGACGTCCTGGCCGAGGCCGGCGCCCATGATGGCGGAACTGGGCTTGAGCATCTCGGGCATGCCGGGGCCGCCCTTGGGGCCCTCGTAGCGGATGATGACGACCGTCTTCTCGCCCTTCTTGATCTCGTCGCGCTCGAGCGCCGCGATGAAGGCGTCCTCCTCGTCGAACACGCGCGCCTTGCCCTCGAACCGTAGGCCCTCCTTGCCGGTGATCTTGCCGACGGAGCCGCCGGGCGCGAGCTGGCCGCGCAGGATCTGGATGTGGCCCGTGGGCTTGATAGGTTTGCTGAAGGGGCGGATGATCTGCTGGTCTGCCGGGAAGGAGGGCATGTTCTCGACGTTCTCCTTCATTGTCTTTCCGGTGACGGTGATGCCGGAGCCGTCGATTAGGCCCTCCTGGATGAGGAACTTGAGCAGGCCGGGCGTGCCGCCGATGCGGTGCATGTCGGCCATGACGTACTTGCCCGAGGGCTTCAGGTCGGCGAGGAAGGGGGTGCGGTCGGAGACGGCCTGGAAGTCGTCGATGGTGAGCTTGATGCCGACGGAATCGGCGATGGCAAGCAGGTGGAGGACGGCGTTGGTGCTGCCGCCGAGGATGTTGACGACGATCATGGCGTTCTCGAAGGCCTGGCGGGTCATGATGTCGCGGGGGCGGATGTCCTCGCGGAGGATGTTCTTGATGGCGGCGCCGATGCCCTCGCACTCGGCGCGCTTGCTCGCGTCCTCGGCGGGGCTGCTGCTGCTGCCGGGCATGGTCATGCCGAGGGTCTCGATGGCGGTGGCCATGGTGTTGGCGGTGTACATGCCGCCGCAGGCGCCGCTGCCGGGGCAGGCGTTGCGGATGATGTCGAAGCGCTGCTCCTCGGTGATCTCACCGGTGATGTACTGGCCGTAGGCTTGGAAGGCGGAGACGATGTCGATGGACTCGCCGCTCTTGCTGCAGCCGGGCTGGATGGTGCCGCCGTAGACCATGATGCTGGGGCGGTTGACGCGACCCATGGCGATGGCGACGCCGGGCATGTTCTTGTCGCAGCCGGGCAGGGAGACGTTGGCGTCGTACCACTGGCCGTTCATGACGGTCTCGATGGAGTCGGCAATGATCTCGCGCGACTGCAGCGAGTAGCGCATGCCCTTGGTGCCCATGCTGATGCCGTCCGAGACGCCGATGGTGTTGAACTGGTAGGGGATCAGGCCGGCGTCCTTGACCGACTGGCGGACGATGTTGGACAGGTCGAGCAGGTGCATGTTGCAGGGGTTGCCCTCGTACCAGACGGACGAGATGCCGACCTGGGCCTTGTTCATGTCCTCCTCGGTGAGGCCGGTGGCGTAGAGCATGGCCTGGGAGGCGCCCTGGGACTTGGGCTGGGTGATGTTGGCCGAGACCTTGTTCAGCTGCTCGTTGGCGCGTCGGGCCGCGGTGGAGGAGAGGAGGCGGCTGCGCGATGAGTATTAGCCATTGCGTCGTCCGTCTTTCTGTGTTTGCAGAGAGGTCAATTGGGATGGAGGAAGGCCGTACGCATGACCGGCAAAGGCAGGACGCCTCGTCGCAGCTCGGAGAGCTTGCGACTGGAGGGAGATGGACCGGGAGAGCATTGCGTCAAGCAAAGGGTTCACCCTCAGGGACGAGACGGGAAGGTCGGGTAGAATGCGGAGGGGGGTGGGTTGTAAGCGGAGCTGACTTGGATCGGGACAATTGCAACCTGCTCCAGCTCTTGGTTGAAATATTGTTTCCGGGTGAGTCACGGAGGAAAAGGTTCAATTGAAAGGAAAACCCCAAAATCACAGGGACAGTCACAGGGACACACGGCCACGAATCTATCGGCGACTGTTTTTTTTGGGGGGGCAGACAGGACCGGGGGCGGTTTGGGCGATGTCGGCTGCCAAAAAATTCTGGAGCTCCCCGCCAAGTGCTCCCCGCATTGAAATAGGTCGCTGCTGATTGGCTGAAACCAATGCTCCCCCAGGTCTAGCGCGCTGTATCTCAAGGTGAGCCACCGGCGCCGGTGCAGTCAGCGACGGTGAGCAATGTCAGGCCATCCCAAAGTACAGGTAGGTAGGTAGGTAGGTATATGGCTTGCACACTAGGGATACTAATGCTAACTTTAGCCACTCTCTTTAATCGTATAATCGTCCTTGGAACTGTTGCCCAGCTAGACGTTGATGAGTCTCCGAGCAGGTGTTTCTACAATGTCATCTCCCATCCTGTACTTACTTATTTCCGCTAAGCCCAGATCACTTCCGGTCCCGGATGCGCCCCGCTTTTACAGGCCGAATCTGCCGTATGTGGAGTGCAGCTACCCGGCAACGCACATGCTGCCTCCATAACTGCCACCCACTGCTTCAATCGCAGCTCTGCTACATCAGTCGCTGTCTGGCCCAGACGGTCTGAGCAGTTCGTCCAGGGCGTGATAGCTCCCCTCAGGCCAGTGCTATGGTAGCCTTTACGGCTTGGTCTTCTTCTCGTCCGTCGAATCCTTCTCCTTCAGGTCCTTCTCCTCTCTCCGCGTCAGTATCTCGTCAATGACGCCAATCTCCTTGGCCTCCTCCGCCGTCAGGTACTTATCACGCTCCATCATGTCGTGGATCTCCTCGAGGCTGTACTTGTCTTGGCCGAACGACTTGTTGATGTGCCGCTTCATGATCTCGTTGATCTGTTTGCGGATGCGCTGGATCTGGTTCGCGTAAATGAGAATGTCCGACGCCTGGCCCTGCGTCCCGCCGAGCGGCTGGTGGATCATGACGGAGCTGTGCGGCAGTGCGTATCTCTTGCCCGCCTCGCCTCCCGTCAAAAGCAGCGCTGCCATCGACGACGCGGCGCCAAGGCATACCGTTGACACCGGCGACTTGATATATGTCATCGTATCGTAGATTGCCAGTCCTGGCTCGTGTCAGCTTTCTCCGTTTCGTTGCGAAAACAGTGTGTCGCTACCTGATGAGACTGAGCCGCCCGGGGAGTTAATGTACATGGTGATTGCTTTGTCGGGGCTATCGGACTCGAGCCATAGTAGCTGTGCGACTATTGAGGCCGAGACGGTATCGTCGATCGCGCCGTTGAGGCAGACAATTCGTTCCTGGATTCGTCAGTTGTTTGCGAGACAAGCCGGACTCCTGTAGAATGGTTTACCTGCAGCAGCTTGGAGAAGATGTCGTCTATCTGCACTGTCAGCGAGGGGAGCTCAATTAAGCGGGCGTGTTCGGTACTGACATGTCCTCCAGCCATTGGACTACTCGATTAGCTTTCGCGGCCTAAGGGGCATGTTGGAGAATCATGGATGACGAACCGAGACTTCGGTGATGTAAGGCATAGGGATGTTTGCGACAGGCGGGCTGTTGCCGCCGCCGCCACCTCCTCCAATGGGGAAGCTTGGGAAGTTCGTGAAGGTTCTGACATGCTGCCGAGGAACGGCTCTCAGGGCTCGGAACAGTGTCCTTTGACAGTTCATGGCTGCTGGGGTGCGCAATGCAGTGCGTTGGTGTGTGTGTGTGTAAGGTGTGAGTGCGGTGATGGTTCTGAGGCCGAAAAGATGCAAAAGCGGCAATCGGCGGCAGGTGACGTTGCGCTGCGCAGAGACATCACGCTCTGCTGAAGCTGCCAGCTTACCCCCCTGCACTGACCCCCGAGCTCCGAGCTTCTCACGCGTCTTCGCCTAAAAATTGCCCCGAAGCGCGTAAAGCTTTTTTTCCTTTATCGCCCAGCTCCTGGTCCACCCGGTTCCCCCCAACGTCATTCGAGACCCTTCCGAACGCCGAGACCTTGCGTGCCCTCCCCGTCGCCGACTGACTCCCGCCCCGACACGGCGACGCCCCGACACGGCGACCCGAGATGAAACGATGTACGGCAGTTCGGCCCCTTCTGCGTCCTGCAGGCAGCGCACCGACACAGTTCTGTCAATGCCGGCAAAAGTCAGATGGCTTTCCCGAGAAGCCGTCACCATTCTTCAGAAGGCACGAGTTCGCTCGCAGGACGGAGAAGGGCCTTAGGGGGTACGATCAGAAGCTGAAAGTCGACTCGATGAACAAGACGATCGGGACGTCGGTGGGCGACCTGCCCATCTCGCCCGTGATGGATCCTCGGTGGATGGAGGCCCGGACGAGGTATAAGACTCCGAAGCCCAGGCGGCCTAAGGACGTGCTACCTGCGGGCCGGTTTCGTAAGAAGCTTGAGGCGAATCCATATGGTCAGTCATCATACCGACGCACCGCAAAACCCCGACTTCAGCACGTTACTGACATACTCTCACAGCCCTCGCCCTTTCGACTCCTGTCAGACTATGCCCAATCACTGACGTCCGTCTACCGAAATACTTCCTACAAGAGTTCAAGGCGATTGAGAACCCGGAAACAAAGAGCTTCTGGTGGACACCCGGTGACTTGGATGTGATGTACGCCGCAAAGGATTGGGAAAGGGACGATGAACCACACGAAGATGACGTTCCCTCAGAACCGCAAATCCCGGCAGAGACCCCCGTTGCGCAACAAAAGGCTACGCAGAAACTCCTGAGACGGTCTCCGGCCTGCTATATGCTCGCGAGGAGACCCCTCCTCAAGTCCATCAGCGGGACCAAGAAAAAGGGCCTCTACGGCGAAAAATGGAAGGCCCTGCTGTCCAGGCGGGGGGGCTCCCTCACACAGCGCATTGCCAAGAGACAGGTATGGCGGGAGGACATGGATGACTTCGTCCTCGACAACATGCGCCGGAACGTCATGAAGTACCTTGTCTACTTCGCCGAGCTCCGTGCGGGGCAGGACCACCGGTCGTACCTCCTGCGCCTCGGGAGCTGGGACAGGGCCGCGACGATACCGCAGCGAGGGTGTCTGCTGTGGTACTACGCGGAGAACGGGCCCCAGAGGCTGGGCGCGGCGACCAGGCCAGATGGGGGCGACAACGCCGCCGCCGCCGCCGCCACGGCGCTGGAGCCATTCTCCACGTACGACGTGCCGAAGGCCAAGTACGAGAAGAAGTTGCCGGTCTACGACCTCGGGTGGCTGCTGGGCGAGGACCACCTGGCGAAGCTGCGAGAGATCCCAATGTTCCGCGACAGCTCGCTGTTCCTCTTGCGCAAGCAGCGCTCAATACCCCTCCAGCTCTATCTGTGGAAGCTGCAGGCGTACCTGGCCGAGTACGACGCGCCCGAGGTCACGCACGTGCCTGAGTCCGAATCTGCGGGTGATCATACCTCATCGACTGGCGAAAAGCAATCACGGGGTTCGAGTCATGAGAACGACGCTGCTACGCTAGCGCTCCCGGAACGTGAAGGCCGGAAGGACTCGCGGGAGCTGGAACATAAGGAAGCCGACGTCGGCCTCGCCGGTTCAGGGCCGGAAAGACCCGAAGAAAGCGTGACAATCGCAAGCCGGCCATAAGAAGCACTGGACGACAGAAGTGTCTTCGTCTGAACCGCATGTTTCAGGTCGCCAAGGACTCTAAGTAGTCATTCCTTCCAAACACAGTGGCGGGACCTGTGTGAACTGTGTATACTCTGTGTGAACCCGCTTCTAATGGGAGGTTTTGGTGGCTAGGAGTAGCTTACCTGATAAGAGGCGATGGATGCGTTTAGCAAGAAGACATCGCCATGGTTGATGATCTTTTCTTCGTGTTAGATACCCGGAAATAATCGCGCTGCGTTGGCAACTCGCTGTCACAAAAACACAATCCCCCATCAGCATTGCGTTTGTTGTACGTCTTCCTCGGTAGCAGATACACACGCAAAAACAAAAGACATACAACACCAAGGATTCGCTGGTCGTCACCGACCCAACTACTAGTTTGGCCCTCACCGGCTTGTCTATGGGAGAGCGGACGGGATCCCGAATTCTCCGGTGGGTATGGTCGTATGTGGTAGACTCAGCTCCCAAAGAGGCTCATATTGTTGAGCGATGGGGTCTGAGACGCAGAATAGTCTCGTTACTCGGGTCTGGGTCAACCACAGAGGGATTTGTTCAGATAATGAACGATAATATGTGATTTGTGCACTGGGGCGACTGATAGGAGTAAGCAAGAGGAGACGGGAAAAGAGGAATGCATATTGCGTATATGCTATCCCACGCCTTGTCCAATTCCCTAGTATCCGTTCTGACGTGAGAAGAAGAGATCCCCAAGCCGGCCCGTATGGTTCTGATGATAGAACAACGTAACAACTTGGACTTCCCGCTCGGTAACCATAGGTCACGACTGACCATGTAGGCTCTCAAGCCCAGATCTCTGTAAAATCATCAAGCTAGGTGGTTTTTGCCCCATGAATGCCAATAGCAACTTTGCTCCCTCCTAGACAATTGTTACTGTCTCTCTTCACAGCAACGACGTGTGAGATGTAACATGATGGTTCTCAGTACCAGGTATTTCGCGGATCTTAGACTCGACGAAGGGTGGATGTCATAACCGTCATGTACGGCTTAGGGGCACCTTCCTTCTGCCGTTCCTTCCCAAGTCTCCTCAGCGACTGATATCTACCTACCTCCATCCTTTACTCCTATCCTTGACTAAGTTCTCCCTTACAAAACAACCTGCCTAACCTCATCAGACTCTTTCGTCACACAGTCCAAATTTCTCTGCGCAGCTTTCCAACTCCCGCAAGACACAATTCCCTGGACCACGCTCTACATCCCAACTTTCTCGCTTCGCCCTCTGGTTCAAGCCCAACGTATACAGCACAACTTACTTGCCTGAGCAATTCATAAACTTTGGGCCCCAACTCCCTGACCTTTGCTAACTTCTTTTGCACACATCACCTTTCCTGATATTTCACAATTTTTCATCGTCTGGCTTGAGGCAGTAGCGTTTTCAAATCCTCCCCGGTCAACTCCATCCCAGTTTCTATCTCGCCCGTACCACTCACTACCACGGGACTCTCCTTCCTGCTGATTCCCACGATTTCCGCGAGAGCACCTGCCTCTTGTTGCGTGTGCAACTACCTGCTGTTCTTCCTTTAGTTCTTTCCAGACCCCCTACAGTATAAATTCCTTCTTCCTTGCTCTTCTTATCTTTCCAACCTCCACCTCTCCTCACTCGTAAGCATTATCTGCAGTTCTTTTCGATCAAGCCGATCTCTACTTCATCTTCACTAGAGAAACATACACTTTACCCAGCTGTATTCACCTTCACACCCACCCATACATTCAGTGGCGGTGATATTTCCAGCGCTTACTTATTGCAGCACCTTACCCTTCAACGAGACCCTTCTTGCAACCTTGCTTGCTCATTGGCCACCATGGCAGACGCACCTCAGCCCGTCGTCCTCCATGACACTGCCGAGCGTGTCAAGGCAAAGGAGGAAGCTCGTGAGAAAGGCATGAACCTGCTTCAGAAACTCAAAAAACTCCTGCATGACGATCCAGCCGGGCGGGGCCTAGAACGCTTGGAGGATTGGAATGGAAATCTAGGTAAAAATCCGGGTCACATCATTCCCCAACGCGTACGATGCCATGTTGATACTTACCATGGAGCAGATGTCCTGAAAGACAGCATCAAGTCGCGCGAGATTCTAGTTGGCGTTGTTGGGGAGACAGGACTCGGCAAAAGTTCCCTGATCAATGCACTCCTTGGGTGCCCAATTGTGCCCACCAGCAATTCCGAGGCTTGCACAGCGGCCGTCTGTATCTTTGGATGGAACTATGACATCACAGATGGGAAGAACTTCAGAGGAAATATTACTTTCAAGAGTTACGAGACTGTCGAAGCTGAACTCGACGCGCTCAAGGCCGAGCTGGCGGATCTTGAAGATACTCGCAAAGCCCACGGAGATGACCCAGACCCCGAATACAATGATCGATGCGCCCAGGCCACCAGGCAAGTCAAAAACGTTGCCAGCTGGTCTGGACTTACACAAGATCTGGTCCGAAAATCATCTCCGGAACAGATCATTCGAAGCTCGCCTGCCTTCTACACTGTTTTCAGAAATAGGAGAGGCGACATATCGGACAAAACCTTCAAGCCTCTCAAGGCTGTGTCGAGAGAGAATTTCATCGATCTTCTCACGCCCTATGTGGCCAGCTCGACGGGCAAGCTTTCGGGGACACAATACTGGCCTCTGGTTGAGCAGGTAGAGATCTTTCTCCGGTCTGAAATCCTCCGTCACGGAATCAAGCTCGTTGATCTGCCCGGTGTCATGGATGCCCTGGAATCGCGTGCCCAGATCGCGCGGGACTACTCCGAGCGCCTCGAGAAGAGAATCGTTGTGACGCCAGCAATAAGAGCTGCCGACAATAGAGCAGCTGCAGAGCTCCTCTTGTCAGAGCAAGAAACCTTGGTTTTGGACATGAACGACATGTTGAAGCCTGATTCGCTCTGTGTGGCCATCACCAAGATTGATGACATTGATTGCGATTCCGCAGAAAAGGAGTTTCCTACAGATGACATTCGCAGAATTTGCCGTGAACTCAAAGACCGCGAAGAACGCGAGGGAGATGACTCAGGCGAGGACGATGGTCATGGTCACCACGACGATGTCTATCAGACTGGTGAGAAACGACGAAGAGGCAACGATGCACTGACACGAAAGGTGAGACAGAGAAGCGAGTCGGTTAAGCCTGGATATGGCAATGACTACCCAGATGTACACACAGAAGAACTCAAATCTATGCTCAAGGCACTCTGCATCCAAGAGCGGAACGCCGAGTTGAAGCAGAAAGTCAAGGACAACCTCCTTGCAACTAGGAAGAAAAACAGGAAGTCCCGAGCGACCTCAGGCACCCTAACAGAGGTGTTTCCTGTTAGCAGCAAGGCATTCCGAAAATTCGAAAGGTCGCGCAAAAGACGCATCATTGAGGGATTTCCCAACCAGGAGTCGACCGGCATCCCGAACCTCAGATCTTGGCTTGACCAAGTTTCTCTCGATTACAGAGAGGAGTGGGTTGACAGCGATATTCATCATCTGCAAGTCCTGTTTGACGCGGCCGATGGTTGGAATCAAGATAATGAATTGGGCACCTCCAAGCTCACTAGTGGCGAGAAGATGAAGCTTGAGAATAGCATCTCTCGCCTAAGCAACACTCTTAAGGAAGTAAGTCGTACATCCTTGCTGGACGGCCACGTTACTTACCGCGACGATAGCAAATCAACCAGAAAGTTCGCGTCGCCATTCAAGGGAAACTTGCTGCTCTGAGACCTCTGCGAGATACTCCTCTGAAGAGAACGAGTGTAGCCAGGAAGATGACAAAAGAAGAGCCAAAGCTAGTCATGGCTGCCAAACTACTCGACCGAGCAGTTGAGGGTTGGGTGAAAAAGAATCCGCGGGCAAGCGTGACGTCGTTGTCCAGGCACGAGAAGACTCACTGGTCCACCTACAGGGCCTGTGTCAGAAGAAATGGAGGCCCATTCATACGTCCAGCAAGAAACGGACAGCCCAAGTCCACGATTCACTGGATGGACGATGTGTAAGTGTCGCATCACGACTTTTCCCACCATCCATGTTTCCTGACTCTAGACAGTTCCCACGCTTTCTGGCAAGCCCATTTTTCGAGCTGGGCCTTTCAATTCACGCGTAGAATTCCAGTCATTAAAGGCAGCATCCGAGGGTGCGGGCTGAAGGTCTTCACCACCTGGGTCCAGAAAATCTTGGAGGACGAAGAATTGCCGCAGTGTTTCAGAGATTTGTTGAAGGCAAATGTATTCAAGCTGGATCATCTCTTCGAGAAATACATTGCGGATGTCCGAGCGCGCGTCAACAAGTTCCAGGAGACATCCAGGGAGAAAAGAGGTATCCTGCAGGCAGCAATGGCAAGTCGCATGCGACCAGGTTTCGAAGCTGCCATCCAACACAAAGGTACATCCTGAACACTCATGGCTACATTGAGAAAGGACATGCTGCTTACACCATCCCAGGTAACGGATTCATGAAGATGCAAACGAAGGCAGTCCGTACACATGCCAGTGCCGTCGGCTACAACATGTTTGAGACGGTGCGCAACGACCTTGAGCTGGAACTTGTAGGCGATATCAAACAGCTCTCTACCGACGTTGCCAACTATTGGAAAGACGAGAAGAAGGGCTGTGGTACTCTTATCAAGAAGGAAATGACCCGCTTGTCCAAGCGACTTTGCGGGAGGCAAGTTAAACTGACGACATCGGAGGAAATCAGCGTCGAGACCAAGAATTCGCTTTCTGGCATTATTGGCGCTTGGCGGTCCGACTGGTACCGAGTCTTCATCCGTCTCCCGGCGCCGACGCATCCATTGGAGGAGTTCGAGAGCATGGATGCAGAGGAGGATCAACAGCCGTTTCTTCCGAACGTGAAAACTGAGACATTCGAGTAGAACGACTTTCTGGGGAAGTGATTTGGCGACAACTATAGGTCGCTGTTTCCGGTTTTTTTCTTTCTTTCTTTTTTTCTCCTGTGCTTTTGGTACCGGGTTTGCGTTCAATGGTCGACGCGTTTTGGAGCATCGAAAGAGGCAAGTTGGAGAGAATTAAGTTGGAGAGCATCTCGGGATGCTTTATGCGTTCAGGGTTCATATTGCTTTCAATCTAGAGCTATGAGATCGCTTGGGGTTGGAACCTCAATGACATAGTCGACTGAATTTGAGACAGCATTGCTTTTATATCAACTCGAGGTTTCAACGTGCAACCGACCTGATGCCTCCGTTTGATTTACAGTTGAGTTTTCCACACATGGTGCATCGTTGGGACGGGCTTATCTTTGACTCATCGCAAGCAAGTTGTACAGCATGTGAGGAGGGCAATGAAGAATGATTGATAGTCGATGACGCATAGGAGTAAGTATCTCCTGCAAAACTCGGCCTCTCTACATGGCAGCTCATGCTCCTCGCTTCTCTCTCCTTGCTCGTTTTCTTTCTGTGCCCCGGGGCAGAGAGCCCGTATCTCGGCTCTCTTGTACGTCCTTCTATCTCCATGTCTAAATGGTTTCTGGGCGACACCGGGTCAGTAAAGGCAAGCGAGACTAGAGCAAAAAAGCACAAGGCATAGGAGCCGCAGCACTGAAGGCGAGCCTCGATGCTGCCTTCAATATCGGAGGGGCGTCGAGGAAAGCGAGCCGCTCTGCTAAAAGGCCCTCCTCTCTCTTCGACTCATCCACGCTGGTTCCCTTGACTTGCCGCCGCCCCACTGCTTGAATACCGCCAAACCCTCGGCCTCCACACCGAGAGCCCCACGCACAAACAGGCGAATCCCACATGAGCCTCTCACCGCCCCGATGTCCCCAACAAGCGTCCTAGCGACGCTACGAGCAAATATCATGATATGCGCCGATGGTTTAGTGGTAAAATTCTCCGTTGCCATCAAGCAGCGTCGGGGAGCCGGGGGTTCGATTCCCCCTCGGCGCACTTTGTATCCCTCACTTCTCTTGCTTTTCCCCTCTTTTTCCTATTTACACAGAAGTGGGTTTAGTAGCCATGCAAGTATATACATACCCACACCGGTTTGTAGACGGCCGTCATTTCACACGCTTAGGACTTCTCGAATCTCGATACTACTAACCCAGAGCCAAACTAGCCCATCCGCGCAAGGATCACGAGGCCGTACTTCTCGTCGCCTCCCCGAGGCCTGGAACGTGCTGAAGGCGAAGTGGTTGTTTTTGAGGTGGGGCGGCTGGCCGGGTGTGCGTCGTGTCCGCGGAGATGGCAGCGAGCTCACGCTCGACCTCGGGGCGGCCGACGACCCGGGCGACACCCAAGACGGGATGTGGTGTCGATAGCAACACGCGGGAGCTCCTTGTACCAGTTTCTGACGCAGAGCCAGGTGCTCTGTATCTCTGTTTCTGACGTCTTTCGGCTGTTGGACAGTGGACTCGCTGTTGGGATTAGAGGGGGGTTACAGCGTCGGTTCGAGGGGTGGGCGTCGCTTGGCCTCGCGTATGTTAATGGCCGAGAGTGAGTTGGAATGCGATGCGGCTAGCAAAGGCGAGGCTTGGGCGCCACTTGGGTCACCTCTCTGCGTTGTAAGACTGACCGAGAAGCTGCCGTCGTCGCCGGCGGCGACGGCGCTGAAACCGGCCTGGCCCGGCCCGCTGACCGTGCTCGAGATGAGATGACCACGCCGACGACGCTCGTGGTCGAAACGCAGCGGCTCCCCCGGCGTCGGACTCCGGGACAGCAGTCCCGCCTCGTCAGGATGGTAGCCTGCAGCCCGCAGCTGTTGCCTCCTGCCCACGGCCCCCACTGCCTCGGCCGCGTTCCGAACCGCTCTGTCCCTCTGACCCAGTCCCCGCCTGTTGACGGGCGACGGTCTTGTTGGTGACGGCAAGCCAGCAGCCACCAAGTATTAATACCAGCCCGTCCGCTGTGAATGCCCACGGGCTCGCTAAACCCGTAAAAAAGAAACAGAAAAAAAAACCCCCACAATCAATGTCTTGCTCACAGCCTCCTCCTTCCCCCCCCTCACCTCCCCTTGTGGCTTTCTACCGAGACGTATTATTTGGAGTAACAATTAAAGACGGCCTCTCTGCACCGCGAGTCTCGGTATGTTGGTGGTGGCTAGCGAATCTCTCAAAAGCCAGGTCGGTCTGCGCCACCAGCTGATGCGAAACTGCGCTGAGAGGGGGCACGTGTAAGTCGGGAATAGGCCGGAATCGGAAACCGTCCCACAACCTGCCAGAGTTGCGGCTGAACCAGGTTGAGGCAACGTGATTTGGATAAATCTTATGCCTCTATGGTTGTGATCCATTCGATCGGGCTTTTTACGGCGCCATACGCCTCCTGGGATTGTCTGCCTTGTCCCGGTATCGGACCCTGACCATGGCGGTCCAAGTCAGACCAGACCACCCTTCATCGTGCTGTATTCCCGCCGTCGTGACGCAGACCCGACAACATCGTTAGACTGCAAGTCCAGAACATCCAGCCTATCCCACGTACCAGGTCAGCGCGTCTCCCCCCCAACCCCTAGTCCGAGGGGAGGAAGGAGGAAGGGGGCTACGTTGTGCTTCAAAACGAGAGGATGAAAGATGGGGGGTTCGTAAATGCCCTCCCTCCCCCCATCCAACAAAAGAACCGCCGTATCCGTATAGTGCGATGTGCTGTTATGGCGCCAGTAGTCGATACCCTCCTCCACAGTGCCTCGCCTCCCTCCGCCGATCCCCTTCAGCCCTAGCTGGCCGGGCGCCAAGTTCAATCAAGCTCACCAGAGAGTCCCCAGCCTCCGAGAGAAATGGGGTCATGTTGTCTCTCCTCGCGTGCTCCGGCGCTAACCCGGAAGGATCCGAGCAAACACACTCACACACTCACACACGTATGCAGTCCTCCCCCCCTCCGTCACATCACATTCGTAACGATTGGAGCGCGATGCGCCCCCCCCCCCACCCGAGAAACACAGATAAGAGGAAAAGGAAAGAAGTGGAAAGAAGAAAAAAGCTTATCGTCTGCGGAGCTCTTCCTTCTGCCCTCCTTTTCTTCTTTCGAAACGACAAACCCCGGCCGCGCGAGCTCGTTGGAATCTCGTGACATCCCGGGACGAATGTCGGGTGTGGCGCCCGGGTGAGACTTGTCTAGAGAGTCCCCCTCCCCCAAAGACCAGCCATCCATGACAATTAACCACATAGAATGCAAGAGGGGGGAGAGAATTAGAAATACGGTAATGACCAGAACTAGTAACGGTGAATGAACAACCGGGCCCGTCATCCCCCCCCCCCCCCCCCCCACCCTCTCCCCCCTGTCATCCGCATCCGCTCGACTAATTCGATCCCGCACGCCGCCCGGCGCCGGGCGGGAAAGCTCGTCATCCCAGGCCCAACTAACGCCAGTTCCACTCGTCCCACACACCCTCGCTCAACCCCCCACCTGGAATCAAGCATTCCCCTGGTGTAGTTGCAGCTCCGCGTTCCCACTGCCCATTTTGTGTTATACGTTAGGTGTTGTATGTATGTCTGTGCTGTGTGATTGATTTCGAGCTCACGCAGGTCATCGCGGGAACGAGCGGAACAATGATGGGAGGAGAGGCAAGGGGGCAGCGACGCTCTCTCGCCAGAGGAACAAGGATCGACAATCCTCCCGACCCAGACACACAAAGAGAGGGTCCCGGCAAGAAACAAAGTGGACAACGAGCCAAGCAAAGCACATGTCAAAATGGTAAAGGTCGGTTTCGCGCCCCCTCTCACCAAAAGCCGATTTCAAAGCCCGAATATAACGGAGGTCAGGGGCGGGGAGGCAGCAGCATCCCATGTCACTGGCGTAACGGGGGAAAAAAAAAAAGAAAAAAAAAAAAATCCAGAATCCGAGGATGAAGGGCGTCTATTCCGAACGTGTTCTAGTATTTGTTTGTTTGCTGGGGGGTTTTCCAAATCATGTGCGGGGATCCTGACTACTTTCCTCCTCGTCCCCATCGAGGAATCGGGGGCTGCTGGAAATCCTTCATTCTCCATTAAGATGCTGGCCGCCGGCGTCGTTGAGCGACGTTCCCGAGATTCGCGCTTTGGCGGGTCACTGGTGGGAAACCTGCCGAAAGGTGACTGATCAACCAGCACACGCACGATGATTCTTACGGTGGAAGCCAGCTGTGCGGAGACCAGCTTCACTGGCACTCGGCCCCGGTGCCTTATCGTGCGCAAACTCTCGAGAGCATGATCCCGCCCGCCGAACCCTCGGGGAAAATGGGACGCCCAATCCAACCCGCCGCCGGGGCAGGCCGAAACCGGGCTGACGGCCAGGCAGCCAGGCGACTAAGAGTTAGGCGACGTGCGACGGGGGACTGTGGTTATGTGTGGGGGGGCCTCGGCGCATCGACCCAAGTCGACTGAGTGACTGTTCATTTACACACACCCTGTTGACTTGCTCACCGCATGCGTCTACATGGCCCCCCTACTCGAGGAACCACAGCAAGGCCCCCAAAGCGATTGCTGACTGAAGTGATGGGAATCTGGCGAAGAGAAGTAAGCCGGGTGGGAGCCTCTAATCGCGTCCTGCCCAAGGCTCCCGAGACCATCCTCTTCCTCGTCCAGCTAGGCTCCGTACTCGTGCCTCGGCGTCGTTGCAGACCAGCCTATTCAGGTCACTCGGCTCGATTGGTTGGTTTCTCATCTCGTCAGATTGGGGTGGGTTTGGCGCTATGCATCCCTACCTACCCCGCAGTTTCTCCGTCCCTTCATCTCACCTCATCTCTCGGCCACCCACACCCACTCCGTACACACACCGCGGCATCAATGTCATCCTTTTCGGGATATCTATCGCGCTTTTGTGAAGTCGTTTCATCATCGTCTCTCCATTTCTCTCCTCTCTTGCTGTTGGCTTAGAGTCTCCACCCGTCCTCCCGCTGGTATCGTGGTATCGGCTTCGCCATCTGATCATCTCCGTTGCTGATTATACTGTACAATGTGTGTCATTCCGTGAAAAACGTGTGCTCGCTGTGCTGCCATCGGAATAAACTCCAAATACGCCAGCCATGGCATGTCCATGGCGTGATGCCCTAAACCCAAGTACTCCTAAATTATCCAAAATCCCTCTGCTTGGCCGCTTCGAGGTATCATTGATCCCATCCCACCAAACCCCTGTTAACCGCCTTTCGTTTACGTATCCCCAAGTGGTCTTGCGCGGTCGTCGCATCGTAGCATCCCATCGGATGAATTAAAATAAGAAGATAATGGTGTAATGCCAGGAACAAAGTGGCCCGTAGTGTTGTGAAGATGCCATGCTTCTTCCCGGACCCAGCCGTTCGTCGACGTAGTGCCACCGCCGGTATTCGCGCGTTTTGTGAAACATCATCGAGTAGCGCTTGCCTCTAGATGAGCGAGAACTTGGACGGCGCTGTGTGTCCCAGAGCTGCCGCCAATGCCGAGTTCGAGTCGGGAGCGTGTTCCGTGTAGTGCATGTCCTCTTCGAAATAGGGAAGTACCTTGATGCCGCAATGTTGCTGGAAGAAATGAATACCAACGTCGTACCGGTCTCTGCATCGCCTGTCCCACGGATCCACCTTGAGTGGGCTGTGATAGCAAAACGTGCTATGTTCAGCACCTCGCACGGGAAAGACAAGCCCTGCGCCCTTCATTGCCGCCCATAGGTCGAGGGCAGAAGCTCTCGTGTTGTCGCTGTTGGGCCAGATTGCCTGCATCAGCTGCACCGCGGCGTATCGCAGGGATAGGTCATCTGCGCTGCCCTGCCCATGTCGCCCTGCGATCTGCCGCCGCAGCGGCTGAAGCTCCGAGAGTAGCTTCTCGAGTCGTTCGGGATTGGCGTGGTTGTAGAAGAGGGCCAGGTCAATCCATGTCCGGGCGACATACGGGTGACGCCGGCCGTAAATGGCCTCGAGCTCTTCGGCGATAATGGGAATACAACACCAGACCAGCTCCGAGAGCGTAATCGGCCCATGCTTCTGTTGCACTTCGTACAACGTGGAAAAGGTTTGTCGTAGGGGATGCGAGCGTTCAAAGTTCGTCGACGAGTAGGCCGCGAGGTACTTGCACAGGGCAGTCATCATGCCCGCGTCGCGATGCACCATGCCCAGAAGCAGCTCCTTGATACCCTGGGGCGACAATTGCTTCAGGTCCATCTCCAGCCGCTTGAATGCCCTCATCAGGAGATGTCCTCCGGCGTCGTGCTCGCCCATCTCGAATTTCTTGTTGGCGTCGGCAAACATGTCGCTCGATCCGGCGCCCCAGAGCATAATCGACGTCCATCCAACCTGCCTGTCCGTCTCCACTTCGAATTGGCGGCAATGCAGAAACGCCTTCCTCATGTTCCCAACTATCGTCTCCTGCGCTCGGATCAGGTCTGGTGATCGCAGATAGCCCGGAGCGGGCGGCGGTGTCGGGGTACGACATCGCACATAGGACGGAAGCTGAGCTGGCGTTTCAAAGTCGACGAGATCGTACTCCGTAACTCCTTTCCTCTTGAGATACGTGCCCAGGTTAACCACCTTGCCATTCCGCACAAACTCGGACACCTTGCCTTCGGCATCACGCTGAAATTTCATCGACAAGAGCCTCTTCACTTCGTCCTCGGTATTATTCTTGACAAAGCCCCACTGCGAGAATCTCGTCTTGTACATCTTCGGCCTGCGACGGTAAGATGATATGTCTGTATGGAGAACCGGGCAGACTTACGTGGCTTGAAACCCGTACTGATCGGCCATGATTTGCATGACTTCTTTCAGAGGCCGTCGCTCTTCCAGATACAAATGCCTTATCGTCAGTTTGAACGATTCCCATGCTTCGGCAGGCACCTGCTCCCGTGACGGCCGACTACCCATAGCAGGCTTTGGTGTAGGAGCAGTGCTAGGTGCTCGAGCTCGGCCCTGCAACCCAGTTAGACTAGGGCGTTTCCAAAGGTGAAAAAGAAAAAAAGAAAAAAAAAGAATAGCATACAGGGAATGACGTGGGAGGCGGAGGACCAAAGGGTGTTTGCATCCCACTCGGAGTGCCAGGGATAAGGGTCGGTGCCGGCGTCGGTGCTGGGCTAAAGGTCGAGGTTACCGGGCTGAACGGTGCAGATACCGGGCTGAAAGCATCCGTATTCGGGGGTGGGCTGAAGGCATTTGCGTTTGGAGGGGGACTGAAGGTGTGTGCGGACGAGCTGAAAGCGCTTGTCGAGCTGAATGTATTGGTCGACTGGCCAAAGGCGTTGTTGAGTTGAGAGTCAAAAGGCTTGACTGATGTGCTGAATGTATTCGTCTGGAGATTAAAAGCAGTTGACTGGGATGCAAAGTTCTTGTTCGAGGCATTGAAATCATTCATCGGCAAGTTGTAGGTATTCGACTGAGAACTAAACGTCTTGGCCGTTGAGTTGTTAAAGGGGTCCAGTTGGCTAAAGTCTGCAGGCTGTTGTTGAGCCCGATGAACCTGGGGCGGCGGCGGTGGTGGTGGTGGTGGATTCGGGTTGGAAGGGGCAGCACGGGTGTTTCCATCACCGAACTTTGTGTCTGGTGTATATAATGGGATGCTAGAGGGCGCGCGGTTCAAGACTGGCTTTGTACTTCGGGGCACTGGAGGACGATATGATTCCTGGGCACGAAAGAAATTCGGCGTGGCGGGGCTGTAAGCGGCGGAACTGGCAATTCTACTCATACCATAAGATTTCATGTTTCCTGTACTGCCGTGCATGCTGCTGCTGCTGCTGCTGCTACTGCCGCCGCCGCCGCCAAAATGTGCCGACGGCGGGCTTGCAATGGACGGGGTTGCCACTGAACTGGCTGTGCTCGTGACTCTGTTACTGCTTGGCGGCGCTGCGCGAATCCCTTCAAATCGCGCAATCAAGTTGGACACTCCGGCGGGGGGCGGATCGAGCTCGTCGAGTTCCATTCCCTCGTTCTGTTGTTGTTGTTGCTGCTGCTGCTGCTGCGATGCGTGGCCCATCGAAGAGCCCGGGTTGAAGCGTGAATGTTGCGCGCCAGGCGAGGTCCAGTCCATGGACGACGAATCGAAGTCCCTCCGGACGGGCTCCTGCTGCAGCGGACATGTTGAAGGGTTGCCAAAGTTCTGGGATGTACCAAACCTAGCATATGGTTGACCGGAGGTGTTGAGAGTAAGGCCACGATGATGGTTGTTGGCATCGTATTCTGACCCAGAGGGAACACCGCGGGACTTGTCCCCAGGATGATGGAACATCTCGGCCGCGCCCGGCGTCCCCCGATGGAGCAGAAGTACGGCCCGCTGAGTAGATGTCAATACTCGGACGAGTCAAAGCTCCTCGGTAGGACAGGTGCCTCGTGTCGTCGTCGAGTACGATTCATCCAAGAAGCCCAGCACGTTGCCCTGGTGGCAAGCATCAATTGCCCTTTGGATGGAGATGGGTGGGCGCCACTGGGCCTTCAAATGAAAGACGAGAGCGTGGGAGGAGACCGAGCAAAAGTGCCCATGATCGTCGCCACATAAGAGAGAAAGTGTAATTTCTCCGGCTGCCTGGTTAAGAATAGAGCGAAAGAGAAAGCGTCATGGTTCCGTCCAGTATGGGCAGCGGATGGGTTCGAAAAGATTAAAGACTGAATAGAGAACCCGAGAGTTGTTGGCACGGGTCAGTTCAGTTCAGGTCAGGTCAGGCCAGGAACAAACAAGGTCGAACTGGGATAGGACGGGAAGCAATAGCTGGGCCGAACGGGCAGCAGTAGTGTCTCTCGTATAGGCCGCGGCAGAGAGAGGGAGGGAGAGATAGCGTGCGTGTGTGTGTGTGTGTGTGTGTGTGTGTGTGGGTGAGAGGGAGAGGCACATGGGGGGGGGGGGGGGGGATGGGGAATGGGGAGCCGTTCTTCCAGACCCGCTCCCTCGTTCCTTCATTGCTTCTGGCCTGCCCGGCTAGTGAGTGAGCGGTAGTAGGACTCCCGCTCTTTCAACGCGAAGCCTACTTTCCGTTGTTGAACGGGTATTGGTTGCGGCGGTCGCCAAGTTCCCCGGGTGGTGGAAGCTGCAGGCAAAAGTTCCTTCGCGTAAATTCCCCAAAAGGGAAAGCGAGCCTGGTGGCACAAGGGTAGAACAAGGCCGTTTCCCCGTCCCCTCGAGGCTCTCTCTTCATCTCAGCGATAAGAGGGCGCCGTCCTCGCGGGTGCCAGCGAGAGAGCCATAGCTGAGCCCGTGGAGCTGCGCGGTGGGAATGGGGATTGGGAAGGGGGGTAAAAAAGCAGCGTTACACGACCAATGGCTGTTCAGACTGTCTGTCAGGCTGTCCGGGCGTTTGTTAAACGAACGGGGGGACCATTCACAACGGCTCCTACTGCTCGGAGCGGGCGCTGACAGGCAATTCGCCCGAGAGAAACATGACGAGATTTGGGGGGAACACTCAATGTCGTGTATGGGGGTCTAAGCTTCGCTCCGTATCGAAGCTGGGTGCAAGGCGGTTCGTCCCTTTGGTAGACTTTGTGGGTACGAATGCTGGCTGGTACCGGGTGGGTGTGCTCCCTAACGCCTCGCCCTATTGCTGCGCGCGCAGCAGCAATACACAACGGGAGCACAGGCCGGGTGCGTGTCTTTCGACTCCAGCCCCAGGATCAGGGAGGGCCCCGGGAATTCGTCCAATGTGCCCCGAATGTCGACATTGGTGCCAAAGAGCCTACCGGCCTGTGGGAAAGCGACTGATGAGTGGGCGAGTAATTCCAATTTCCAGGGTGGCCAGGTGGGGGAACAGGCATCATGGTGCCACCACTGTTCTGGATTAAGAAGGTGAAAGAGCGTCCTCGTCCGCCCAAAAGACGCCAACGACCAATTCCTGACTCAGACCACCAATCACCATGCCTGGTTAGTAGTGTGCTATCAACTAGGTAGGCACTCCCCCTTTCGGCACGGCCGCGGTGAGAGTTAGTTGTGCCCACGCTGTCAGTCAAGGCGTGGGGTTCCAACCGAGCTCGCGGACACCACCCGTCTGCCAGTCCACAATGTTTTGTTGCTGAGGTTCAGAGATGTTCTCCGTCCACCGCAGGATAGCAGATGATGAGAGAGATGCCCTGCTCGCTGTTGACCCTCGCTTAGCCAAGCAACCAAACTAGCCATCTAGCAGGCAAAAGCTGGAGGTGCCGCCCACGGACGGGAGGCTAACACGCTTTAGAAGCTTGGTGCATGTTCTAACGGCCCCTTCCACCAAGCCAACTTGGTGCCGTCCGATAAGCCGCCTCGGGGCGCGGCCAATGACCATGTCAAGATACCAATCCGAGCTACGCCGCTAGAGTCTAACCCCTTTAGGCACCCTCAGTTGCCAGAGAGTTGCGATCGCGGATTCGTCCATTCAGCCACTTTCGATAGGCGATGGCGGCGGGCGTGGGCAAGAACCGGTTTGAGGGTGCGTTCGCGCGGGCTGACCGTAAGACAAAAGCGATCGCTGTCTATTAGGGACGCCACGATCCTGGGCCGAACGCTGGTCATTCGGACGACAGGCAATAGGATTGGGCGGCGGTCCGAGGGGCACTGCCGGCGCGGCGGTCAACATGGTTTCGGCCGGTTGCACCACAGGCCACATCCGTGTAGTGTTTGTTCTGTCTGTCAAGGCCGAGGTGTGGCCAAATGCCGACTTCCATTGTTCCAAACAGTGGGTTGGGTGGACACGCTCTTTTCCAGCTCCGGTATCCGTACAGTTTGTAATCAAGGCATTCGAACACAGTCGGCCATTGTAGGCTAGTCGCAACGACCTGATTAGCCTGTAGACAACAAGCAGATATCGAAAGCATGTCAGTAGGAGATCGAACGGCCAAGGCTCAGCCCAACCAGAAAATACGTAGCTCGCGCAAAATGCCCCTCCCGAAGGATTTGGAAATGGGTGCCGGCCAATCTCTTTCTTTCCTCCGGTTTTTCGACCCCAATATCCGCTCAGCCAAGAAGATCCCTGCGAGAGATAGCCCAAGCACAAGGACCAGCTGCGGATTCTCTGCCAACCAAAGGTGAAGTTTGGTCGACGTTGAATTATGTACCTATGTACGGATAGCAACGCGCATACAGGACTAGTCAGCGGTGCAAAGTAGCTGCAGTGGGTGGAGGGTTTGACATCTGCTGGGCACCGCAGGCCGACCTATTCAGAATAAGCATTCTCTCTCACGCATGACGTCGGACCGTAAGGGTTTCGGGTTTAGGGAATGCAGTTCAGCGCGAGTTCGGGGGGGCATGAAGTCCTGCCTAGAGCCGTGCTCCAGCAATGATGAGCCTGGGAATCGCCCATGTTTGGGCCCGTCTTCCAGGGCATGCAAGCCGAGTGGTTCCCATCTGAACAATAGCAAACCACGTCTCTCGGATACAAATGGGTTTCATCCGAACCAGCGTAGGCAACTCCTTCAGACCGGGATGCAACCATCTGCAACCGCGTCCAAGTACGCTTCTGATTGTCGATGGCACGCCTTTGGCCGATTCCAATGCATATGCCAGACTGCAAGTGTGGCAGCCAGAGTGTGACAACCATCAGTCGAAAACGGGCAACCAGTCATCCTTTCGAGGGATATCAAATGATGACAGCACTTGCTTCCGGGCTGAGGATGATATCTATGCTGTGCCATGATAAGTCAGAAGGTTTCCAACAGCGAAGCATCTCCCAAATGCTTGGACCCAGGTAGCCCTACCGATAAGGAATGACAGAGTTTCACCATGTTTCCTTTGGGAAGGTAGAGCAGGGTACTTTGGTCAAGTGTCCGTCAGTGCCAAAAACCTGCTAGCCGACGGTACGAGGCGGACACCCCAGCTTCACCGAGACTGGGCATGTGGAAGAGGTTTATGATCGGATGCTGCAGATACACCCTATCTGTAGCTGACGGGTATGCGCGGGGTGGTTGGCACTGCGGATCCTAGCCCTCTACCATGAATTGAGCGCTCGGCCCGGGGTCTGGCATATCTCTGACTTCTTTTGGCTTGATATTACTAGTTGGTTGTGACTTGTCGATCGAGATACCTAACGCACGATTCTTGGTTCAGAGAAAGGCCACCGGCATTGTGTTGGGAGTCGGGTGACTTCAACTGGGCAAGAGCGGCGGCGGCCTTGTTTGATTATCGAGTCGAAATGGGGAGAAGTGATCTTGATCAATTGTTTCGTGATGAAATCGTTAATGGCGTTAGACGGAGCAGGCCTGTATCGACTTGTTTCTTAGCTGTGGCCTTCGTCAGTGCAAAGGTAGGTACTCTGGTAAAATTTGTCGGTTCGATATCCCCCTTCGGTTAAAGAATCTGATATTCTTTCATGCAAGTCTGCCTCGCTACACCGTCCATCCCGAAGATCCACGGGGGTCGAGTCATCTCCAGATTGGGATCTTGCTCCGAGGATGGGGAGGTTATCGGCGAGAGGGCGTATCGAAGACAATGTCCGAATATTGCCAGTGATGTACCACTGAAGTAAGACTGATCGAATCTGCCCAGAGCAGGGTCCTCGTTTACACCTCGACGGACGATGTATGGAGAAAGGCATGTCATGATGGTGGGAAAGATGGCTTTGGGCCTTCATCCACGGCCCATGACGGACCGAGCATTGGAGAGATAAGAGAGCCCCCAATTCTTCTTGGAAGGCGCGATACAGACCGGGTACACCACTGAGGGAAGGAAGGTTCGACATCCCCGATGCGCGGGGATAGGAAGGAACACATACTTGCTCTCTCCACTTTCTTCCTTCCCACATTTCTCTTGCTGCCGTCCATGCCCGGGAGCCTAACCCACTTACTTCTTGTCACTCGCACAGTTTGGCACAAATGAGTTCTTACAGCAACAATGAATGTCGAGAGTCGACAGGACTCCGAGGTTGGAACGCCGTCACTATCGAATAATATTCATTAAATCTTACAAGTATGCGTCGCGGAGATACGCGTGTCATTGTCGCCGCCAGATACACACAGCCGCTACGTCTGCTGCCCTACATGCACTTCAGGTCGCTGCTCATGCCACTGAAACCAATCCGAGTTTGAACCTTTTATGCCCTCACTTGGAGAAACCGTCGCGGATGTCGACAAATACCATGTACCTATCCTTGGCCCAGCGCCGCGTTCGCTTACCAAAAACGACCATAGGCAGGCTCAGGCCCATGATGAGGAAGCTGAGAGCCCCGAGGGCGATGAAGCAGTTCTCCATGCCCGTATCGATCCAGTAGCTCGCCACGAACGTGAAGAGCATCGCGAGGGTGTTGTTGATGACGGCGGTGCCCACCATGCCCTCGAGTACCATTTCACTATGGGTAACTGTCAGCCGACACTTATTCCCTAGCGCTTGTTTGTCATTCACAAAGGGACAAAGGGAGAAGAACTTACGGGAAAGAGTCGGCGAGGTACGACATGCTCAGGTCTCCGGCGCAGCCGTACCCGAACCCGATGAAGCCCAGCCCGACGTACGGCAAGGGCCAGTCCCAACCGCGGGCGCTGCCAATGCCGAAGATCCACATGCCCGCCGGGAACACCACGGCGCACAGCGCCATCAGGTACAGCCGGAACTCGGCCTCCATGACGCCCCCGTTGCGCTTCGTCATCCACAGCATGAACCGGTCGCTGCCGTACCCGCCGTACACGCACCCCACCAGGCTTCCGATCAGCGTCGGCAGGTTCATGTTGCCCACCTGGGCGCCCGTGTAGTTCCACGGCGGGCCCTCCCAGGAGTCCTCCTGCACCGTCAGATAGAACGTCAGGCAGATATTCTGCAGGCCCCACTGCAACCCTGCGTACCACACCGCCGGGAACGTGAAGACGCGGAGCGTGTGCCAAAGCCGGACGATGTACTGCTTGAAGCCCGTGCCGCGCAGGTTGTGTGCCGGGGTGATGACGCGGATGCGCTCCCAGTACGTCTTGCGGCGGGGAAAGGCCATGCGTTCGTCGCCGAGGCCACCCAATCGGGGGGTGATGGCAGCGGCGGCAGGGGTGCGTCCCATGTCGACGGACTTTCCGTCCAGGGCGTTCGTGGACGTCTTTTCCGGGACCGGGACCGAGTCTTCTGCGGCGTAGCACTCCCCGGCGTTGGCGAGGTAGCGGTCCCGGTTAAACTCGGTCTCCTCGAGACCGAAGAAGATGAGGACTAGACTTACACCGCAGATGATGACACCCAGGTAGCCGATCCACCGCCAGCCAAGGCTGGAGGCTACATGTGCACCGACAAGAGGTCTGTACGCCATCAGCTTCCCGAATTCGGCACGCAAACAGCACTGAAACTCACCCGAGATATGTTCCAATGGCGGTTGCAAAGGTGTAAAGACCAAACACACTGCCGGTCTGGTGCTCAAACCAGATGTCGAGCAGAGACAGCTGCACCGTCGCCTCACCGACCGACTCGGCAGCGCCGACAAAGAGCTGGGACCACACGACGCCCGCGACGTTGGTGATGCGGGCGTACCAAACGAGGCCGGCGATGTTGACGATCATGGAGATGAGATAGCCTAGCCGCCGCCCGTACAAATGGACAAGCGGCGAGCTCAGCAGGGTCCAGTAGCCGATGGCGATGAAGAGCACGCCGGCGCCAGTGTTGAAGACGTCGTAGCTGATGCCGTACTCCTGGTGGACGCCGTCGGAGCCCGAGCTGGCGTTGTTGGAGGTGGCGGCCGTGAGGCCGACGATGTACAGAACCAGGAACGAGTGCCAGACCTTGCGCAGCAGCGACCAGCGCAGCGGGTCGTCGGGCGACGAAGTGGGCTGCGGTACGAGCACGACATCGCCATGCCTGAGCAGCGAGCCGTCGCCGGGCAGGTTGCTGCCGTGCTCGTCGTAGAGGCGCCGCGTGCCCGGGATGGTAACCTCCTCTGCGCCAACGGGCGGCGGCGGTTGTGGCGCTGTGGCGGCGGAGCCTACCGTGTGGGAGCCAAGATTTTGCTGGAGCATGGCGGGCAGCCCGTCTCCCTTGGCCGACCTCTCTGGTCAGGACTTTGTTCCCCTCTTGTGGGCTTTTTGATATTATTAGAACAAATTGACGCTTTGCCAGCGCCGTTACTGGTAGCAAGAGGAGAGGGAAAGCAGCATACACGCTGCTCATGCGATCGGGCACAGGTGGGAAGGGAAGATGTCTTAATTAATCGTTCGCAGGCCCGAAGTCACGATTGCAGATCAAAGATAACGATAAACCATCTTGTCTTTTTCGTCCCTATGAGAGTTCGTGTCCGGACTGTAACGGGGCTGCGGCCAACGTTGTCTCTGAGCGGCCAATCAGGCGAGCCATCTAGAGATAGGGATGTCGCAAACGGTCGCTGCGAGGATTCGCCGCCCAGCCCTTTAAGACATGTCACAGCAGGTTGATTCCCATAGGTATTTTTGCCCTTTTTCTTTTTTTGTTGAAACGAATACCGAGGAGCGCCGAGCCAATCTGACGAATAGTTCGTTTTCTCTTTGTTTGAAAGATTAGGGTGGGGAGTAACTTTTTGTCTTTCTTTCTTACCTCCAGATCCCAGCCAGTAACAGATGGGTATTAATGGTGACCTGTTTTTTTCTTTCTCTCTCCCGATTGCCGGGTTGCCGAGGCCACACTCGACGGGCTACACCGCATAACAACTCTTTTGCATCTTGTGACGGTGCTGGAATACGGCGCGCTCGCAATCGACATCTTTTAGCAATTCATCCCAAGCATGCCTAGCAACGCGGGGTGAGGCGCAGGTCCGTGTCGAAAGGAATCAGGAGTGGCATGATGGTGAACTTTTAGCGCTGAGGCCCCTTTTCCTCGTCCTTTTTTTTTTCCTTTCCCTTTCTTTCTTCCTCTTATTCATCTGCCCGTTGCCAGTGCTTTCGTCGCCTCTCTGGCTGCTCGTCCGTCCCAAGGAACGGAAGACATGTCAGCCTGACTGTTCGTCGTAGGGTCCGGATGGGGCTGAGCCCCCAACTCAGCCGCCGCCGAGACTAAAAGATGGTCGGGACTGATTATAGAGAGGTCCTTGGCGGGAGCAGCGGGACGAGCCTAAAGCCTATCCCGATGCCCAGAAGAAGAAAGCCTTGCCTCGAAAATGGCAGACGCAAAAAAAAAAGTATCTGAAAGAACAGAAGTCAGCAAACGACGAGAACGAGGGGCGGGACCACCCTGACGATGGGATGACTTGATTGCCCCAGACGAGGTGTGACGAGTTGCCTCGGGCGGGCGTGCTGACGGGCGTGTTTGGGTTGACGCTGCCCTGCCTGCGTAGGTAGATCGGGCGATCTCTGTTCGAGGGGAGGGAGTCGTGTCGCACCAAATAGGCACCGACAGAAGAGATGGGAAATGGCTCCCTTGGGAATCTCGCCCTTGTACGGTTACACTAATGCACTTACTTACGTAGCTGTGCAGGCCCCCAAGCCCTATAAGGCGCTGCCCGTGGGATGATCATGTTTGATGTTTCCTCGTTCCACAGGGTGGCGGGAGGTCGACCAGCCGGGGTGAGCGGGGGAGCCCTGCGCGTGAAGCTCTGGGCATTTGTCTCGGAGGTCAAAATCCGTTGCGGCTAGCAGGACAGAGGAGGTGACGTTGACAATTGTAACTAATAGTGCTCGGTAGTGTATTCGTAATGTAGTGTGCTTAGTGTACGAATAAGTGTACCGCCGGTAACCCGTGGGGCCGAACGGGGGACCGGACTGTCGGAGGGATTTCGAGAGGATCGCCGGTGAGCTCTTCCCGTCCGGGCATTTCTGAAAAAAAAAGATAAAAAGAAAAAAAGGTTAAAGAGGCTTTCATTGGCTGTGGCTGAGCTTTGCCTCCCCCACTTGGAGCAACTGGGTGGGGTGGGTATCCGCGCGTCACGTGGAGGTGACGTAAATTGAGTTTTTCTGGTACCGGGTGCACGTACCTTAGGTACTTGGGTACGTACTTTCGTATCTTGGTCAAACATTGGGAAATCCAGATGCTTCACTCCCGGGCCCAAGGCAAGTCTTGACTGGTTGAGCCCGTTGGGATGACCTGTGCCGTGCAGCTGCCAGTGCATCGGCAGTGCGAGAAAAGCATAATTAGTTGTCATGACATGCAGTACGGGTAGACTCGATCCGTGTGTGTCGTTAATGGCCGAGGCCCAGTGTTTAACGGCTGTACGTTGCCAACCCATTGGGGAGGGATACATCCTAAAGTACGGATAGTACGGGACCATCTTGAGCTCCTTGCTCCTCGCTCCAAAACGCGACCGAGATTCATCCCCCTCCAAATGTCCACTTCACACTCGCAAATGGCGACGACCCCTGGATTGCGACCCTGAATCCCACCTCCTTTCCCTCAGAACTGAGAGTGTCTCAAAACTCCGCGCGCCAAACCATCTGTCTCGCTGCCTTTTGATCCGGTTGCGAATCCTTCTCTTATTACTCTTGCAACAAAAAAATCCGTCGCCGCTTGCGTCTGCACCTCCGAGCTCCCCGCGCGAGTGTCTCCTGCGGAAGCTTACCACCCATCCACCGAGTGCGTGTGTGCGTGCGCACCACGTAAGCTCCCGAAGCGACAGCTTGCTCGAAATCTCACGACTTCGAGAGGAGAAAGAATACCATACTTTGGCCACAGCCGCAACCTATCGAGAGCCCCTTCCTCCGCCCTCTCCGAGGATTCCGTATCCATCACACACTCGTAAACATGGCGTCAACCGGCTCTGCCCCCAATGGCGGGACTCACGACCACGTCTTGCGGCCGAGGCCGAGGAAACCGCAGCACTCGCAGCTGACGAGGACCCAAAGCAACACCTCGGTCGGCGAGATGAACGGCTTGACGCCTCTATCAGAGCCTGGCCAGACGAGCGGCAACACCAGGTACGCAACCACCCCCCCCCCCCCCCCTCCATCCATCAGTACCAGTAGCAGCAGCAACATCGCTAACTCCAACGTCACCTCAGCGGCCGCTCGACGCCTGTCCCCCACGATGCCCTCCCCTCCGTCAAGAGCTTGTCCTCGGCGCGCAAGCAAGCCCGTGCTGAGCAGCGCCGCCGCATCTTTCCCACGATCGAGTTCGCCAGCCGCGTCTCCCACTTCGACCCCAACTCCGACTACCGCGACTTCCACGGCTTCTTCAACCTCTTCTGGATCGGCCTCGCCATCATGGCCATAACTACCATGCTGCGCAACATCAAGGATACGGGCTACCCCATGCGCGTCCAGATCTGGACCCTCTTCACCGTCAAGATCTGGCATCTGGCCATTGCCGACTTCCTCATGGTCGCCACCACCCTTGTCTCTTTGCCCCTCCACCGACTGTGGCGCAGAGCCCCCGACAACGGCGCCTTCACCTGGAAGAACGGCGGCATGGCCGTCCAGAGCGTCTATCAGGTCCTCTGGCTCGCCTTCTGGATCGCCGTCCCCTTCGTGCTCGACTGGACCTGGACCGCCCAGGTCTACCTGCTCCTGCACACCATGGTACTCCTCATGAAGACCCACAGCTGGGCCTTTTACAACGGCCACCTCAGCGAGACAGAGAAGCGCCTGCGCGCCCTCGACAACCCCTCGACCGCCTCCAAGGACCCCGTCTACCTCTACCCCACCCCCGACAACCCCATGGGCACCGTCAGCAGCCCCAAGACGCGCGACTTCAGCGGCAGAGCCGCCTCGGCCGCCAGCACCTCCGACGATGACTCCGCCAACGCCGACGAGATCGAGCAGCTCCGCGAGGACCTCGCGCAAGAGCTCACCTCCCCCATGGGCAACATCGCCTACCCTCGCAACCTGACGTGGTCCAACTACTTTGACTACCTCCTCTGCCCCACGCTCTGCTACGAGCTCGAGTACCCCCGAACCGCCCGTATCGACTGGCAGAACCTCATCTCCAAGATCATCGCCGTCTTCGGCTGTATCTCCCTCCTCACCGTCATCTCTGAGGAGTTCATCCTGCCCATCCTCACCGACGCCTCCCTCCGCCTCAACGCTACCCCCCCACCCCCCATGTCCGAGTCCCTCCTTATTCTTGCTGAGAGCATCTCCTGGCTCCTCTTCCCCTTCATGCTTACCTTCCTCCTCGTCTTCCTCGTCATCTTCGAGTACGCCCTTGGCGCCTTCGCCGAGATCACCCACTTCGCTGACCGCCACTTCTACTCGGACTGGTGGAACTCGACCGACTGGATGGAGTTCTCGCGCGAGTGGAACATACCCGTCTACAGCTTCCTGCGCCGCCACGTCTACAGCGCCAGCCGCCCCTACATCGGCCGCGTCCCCGCCACCGTCATCACATTCCTCATCTCCGCCGTCGGCCACGAGATCGTCATGGCCTGCATCACCAAGAAGCTCCGCGGCTACGGCTTCATCTGCCAGATGCTGCAGCTGCCCATCGTCGTCCTGCAGCGCACCAAGCTCGTCCGCGGTAAGAAGACGCTGAACAACGTGTGCTTCTGGTGCTCCATGGTCATGGGGTTGAGTATGGTGAGTTTTTGACTGTCTTACGACTAAACTCCGGAGCCTACGATTTACTAACATTGGTGTTCTAGATTTGCGCTCTTTATGTCTTGGTCTAGGCTTGTCCAGCATTTGCATCAGCGTTAGAATGCATAAGGCATTTTTTGCATTGTAGGGGGACCTGAGCCTGAAGTCATTTTCCCGGAAAAGAGATGGATTGGTTGGCTGGCTGATGGCTTTCTACACACTTTTATCAACCTGCTTCTGTATCATTACCGCAAACACACACACACACACACACACACACACATACACACATACACACGGGGGCGGCGTCCCCCTTAGACGTACACACATCTTCCTGGCGTTTTCTAGATAGGTCTTATACCCCCCTTATTTACATGCCCCATGTGGCAGATCTCGCACGACCTACTGCCGTTTCTTGAGTTCTATTTTCGACGAAATGGACCAGTTTAACAACTCTGCCTTGCGACCCTTGCTCTTAACACGGCACAATCGGAAGGAGCCTCTAACTTTGAGCACCAACGTGCCGCAGTCGCTGCAGCCAAGTCCTGACCAACGCGACCTAACACCCACCAACCAGATCTCATTCATTCCGACATGCTGACGCACATCCACGTGAGCCCTGTAGCCGCGCCTCAGCCTTCTTCGACCATTTCCCCGCAACCTCCAGGCGCAACCGACCACGAAGAACTCCTGCCTACGCCCATGGTCCTCGTCTAGCACGACACGCGTCCGACTCCGCGCTGGTGCCATGGCTGAAACGACCTTCAACGCGGGCATCAGCGCCCGGAACGCCATCGCTGCGCCGTACGCCGCGCCCGGCGGCACGAACAACTTTTACTTCGCCAACGACGGCCCCGACCCGTCCCGCAAGCCCTTCTCCAACGTCCCCTTCCCACCAGATCCAGACTTCGTCGAGCGGCCTCGAATCACCGAGTGGCTGCGCGACAAATGCGGACGGCCGGCCGGCCGCGCCGCTCTTGTGGGATTGGGCGGCATCGGGTACGTGCAGTCGCGTGTCTTTTACGCCCTAAGTCGCGCGTCTTCTAACAGTTGGCAGGAAATCACAACTGGCCGTCAGCTACGCCCACGAGGTCCGGCAGGGCGCGCCGGACACGTACGTCTTCTGGGTGCACGCAGGTACCAGAGAACGGTTCGAAGAGGCGTATCACGCCATCGCGAACGGGCTGCAGCTGCCCAATCGGACCGGTCCTGATGCCGACGTCGTCCGGCTAGTGTATGATTGGCTGTGTGCCGAAGAGAACGGGAAGTGGTTGATGATTGTCGACAACGCCGACGACGTCAACGTTTTCTATCCGAAGCCGAATGCCGTGCAGAGCGGCTCCATGGCCTCCACAACACGTCAGCCGCTTGCGTCCTTTCTGCCGCAGAGCATCAACGGAAAGATCCTGGTAACGTCACGCAGCAGGGACGTCGCCGAGCGGCTGACGGGCAGTAGCTGGAACGTCCTGTCCATCAACGCCATGGACGAAGATCAGGCACACCAGCTACTCCGAAACAAACTCCAAGAGGCCCATGACGAAGAAGTGGCGGCTGAATTGCTTCAGGCCCTCGAGTACATGCCCCTGGCCATCACACAGGCAGCCGCGTACATCCTCCGACGGGCACCTAGGATGTCTCCGTCTACGTATCTGGCCGATTTCCGGAAAAGCGAGAAGAAGAAGGCGAGCCTGCTTCACAGGAACATGGGTGACCTCCGACGAGACCCAAGCGCCTCGAACTCGATCGTTACGACATGGCAGATGACATTCGACAGCATCCGTCAAGAAAGACAGTCGGCAGCCGACTTGCTTGCCTTCCTGAGCTTCTTCAACCCACAAGGGATCCCGGAGTGGATACTTCTGAGCTACCATCGTAGCAAGGGGGATATAAGCAAAACCGAGACTATCATAAATAATGATTCACTAAGGAGCCGGGACGACCGGGAAGTTGACAGCCGCTATGGCAGCGAAGCCGACAGCGACCATGACAGTAAAAGTGTCAGAAACGACAGCAGTGAAGACGACAGCAGTGAAGACGACAGCAGTGAAGACGACAGCGAGGTCGACGAGTTTGAGGACGATCTCAACATGCTCCGCGAATTCTCGCTGGTAACAACCACCACGCAGGAGGGCGTGTTTGAGATGCACCCACTGGTACGGCTCTGCACACAAATCTGGCTCTCCACGACTGAAAACGTACGGAAGTGGAGACGGATATTTCTGCATGTCATGTCACGAGAGTACCCAACTGGAGCATTTGAAACTTGGGCAAGATGTCAGGAATTGAGCTTTCATATTCAATCAGTTGTCAACGACAAGCCTGAGAATAAGGATGATCTCACAGATTTTCCACAACTTTTATATCGCATGGGGTTGTACAAAACAATGATGGGTAAGTACAAAGAGGCAGAGCAGTTAATTCAGCAGGCTTTGAAAGCATTTGAGAAGGCATTTGGCAAAGAGCATGTTGAAACGCTTTGGAGTGTTGACTGTCTTGCTATAGTGTTACAGCACCAGGGAAGACTTGAAGAGGCAGAGCTGATGATTCGACGGGCTCTAGAAGGCTTTGAGAAGGCATTTGGCAAAGAGCATATTGAAACGCTTAGGATTGTTGACAATCTTTCTGCAGTGCTGTACTCCCAGGGAAAACTAGAAGAGGCAGAGCAAATGTTTCGACAGGTGATAGAAGTCAAGGAGAAGGCGTTGGGCAAAGGGCATCGCGAAACGCTTCACAGCGTCTGGTGGCTGGCTTATGTCTACGAACAGCAATCCCGCCTCGAAGAAGCTTATGAGCTATATCAAAGGGCTTCAAATGGGTATAAAGTCTTTGAGCCAGACGATCCTGTTTTGAAGAAGCTCAAGAAGTCGATTCTCTCCTTTGAGTCTAGTATTACTCGTCGAGAAGGATGTTGGATTAGGAACCAATGAGCTAGGATGTAGTCTAACCAAACACTGTTCAACCATTTCGGGCTTTATTGCACTACTCTTCAGATGATATGTCCATATGCAACACAGCTATAAGAACAACCCCTGGTGGGGTTTTCGGATCAACTCTCTACATCCATACGAGGACCTGTTTCTGGAGGGCCCACTGGTACAAGCGGTGAGGCGAAATGATCAACCGAAAGAAATCAAGATGGAAACGCAGCTAGCTACCACATATGAATTGGATCATGGTGCTATACAGAGAGACTGGCCAGTTTGATAGGAACAAAAACCCACTGTCCTAACCAGGATTCCCACTCTAGCCCGACTTCTGGCGTCATTCTACATCCAAAACCGTGCTGTCTGTATTAGTCGGAAGAAGTCTGAGGATAAAGGGGGACTCTTTCGACTTCCAGTCTGCTGCTGATGATTGAAGCCCAAAACTTCTGCTTATCAGGCCAGGGTGTGGCGGTCGGGAAAATGTAGCCCAAACAGACACACACACGCACACACCATCGTCGGGCGCGAGCAAAAGAAGGCGTTCTTGGCAGCCTGCGTGGTATAGCATCATCGCTGATGCCCTCTCGTTCTCCATAACGGGGCGGTGAACAGTTTATAGGGGGGGGCGGGGGGCGGTGGGAGACGCACGGCGCGTGATAGAGGGTGCCGGGCAGGGCGAATCCATCTTGGGCGGAGATTCTTGACTTTTTGTTAAAAGGTTGGCGGGGACTGTTCTGCTGCGAGGGGCCATATTTCATAGCCGACAACTCTGGTTACTGTCAGCGTCTGTCTCTAACTGTTGTTCAACTTGGGTATGCCGGGGATTCAGATCTCGTGCAGTAACATACTTCCTCGCTCTCACCATCCCGGAAAAGCCATAGCCCTACCCATCCCCATCACGAAACCACGGCACGAATGCCCAGGTCCCGTAGTCTTCAGAGGGCATGACAGCCTCAGTGAGCCTCTCGCGGGGAGTTGTCTCCTTCTTTTCCGGCTATACCCCACACAGTAGATGACGGCCGGCCAAAAAGGGTGGGAGACGCCCCCTCGCCCTGATTCCAGGGATTCAACTCACATCGAGTTCTGTTCGATAACGTCCGCTCCTCAGCTCCCTCCCCTCCGCCTGCTTTACGAGACCTCGAACTAAAGCCCCCGTCGCAGCCAGATGACCGTGTGAAAGACACTCCTCGACAAACCCTGCTCTTCGTCCCAAAGTAGGCCACAAGCCGACAGCGGGATCAGAGGTTCGTTCCCAGTTGTTCCCACAGAGTCCTCTTTCGCCCTCAATAGCCAGCTTGCCTAGAGAGACAACTGGTCGCACACTACAAAGTCTCGCTCGCAACGCACTCATCACTCACACACCTCTTTGGAACTCAGGACACCCGTCACGGTTTCCGACGGAACCCGGGACGGGGGCTCGACATCAGCGAGCCCACCTCACTAGCGAATGCGGTCTCAACTGACACTCGTCACCAGTCGCCGACGTGATGGACAGTCCAACCCAGGTAATGTCAAGAATGAGTTCCATTCGACAGTTAAAAAAATCTAACTATAAAACCCCCCTCTTCCATGCCAAAAGACACAACCCCTGACCACTAGGCATCCACGCCTAGTTAGGGGGAAAGCATGTGTTACCACCACCACTCCCCCCTCTTCTTCTCATCTTGTTTCTTTCGTAGTGATATCTTGAGCGTTCGCGACCAAAAAAGTGAGCGTGGTATCTTCCCTTTCCTTTCTTCTGTAACTCCTTGTGTAGCGAACGACGGAAATATGTGTTGACCAAAACAACTGAATCGAGTCTCGAGTTCGTTAGGTTAAGTTTTAAAAAGAATAAAAATAAAGCCAGATAAGACGCGTAGTAAGAAAAAAAAAAGACGTATCGCCATTCCTATGCATGCATGTGTATCGTCAGACTCCAGCGTACAACTTCTGTGAGAAACCTAGGACATCCCAATAGGTTCCCGTTGCGTGGACGCCGTCGGCTGCCTGGTCTGAGAAAACGGGTCTTGGCCGGGTCAGGTGGAACAGAGCCGGTATCACCCAGCTCTCGGCGGAGGCCTCACCATGAGGCACATTGCCCATTTCGACAGCTCTGTCGCGCCCCAGACCCGTCCTTCCCAGGCAACCGTCGCCGCCCAGAACGTCTCGCTTCATAAATGCCAGTCAGTTAGCCGTCTCAAGCGGCATCAGCATCTCATATATGCCTCCCCGAGCGCCAAAGTGCGGGCTCGTCAACCGCAGCCCTCCCAAAGAATTGATATCAAATAAGACAGGTCGGTCCTCGTTACTGTATGCTTTTCGCGTCTTTATGTCGTCCCCATCATACCAGCACGAATCAAAGAAAAAGAAAAAGAAAAAAAAAACCCAGATGAAAACAGTGAGAAAAAGAGAGAGAAAAAATCAAACTTGATGCGAAAACCGAATCCAGCAGCGCCGAGCGCGACGGAAAGAGGACAGACATCGACGCATTCCAGCAGGACGATACGTCTCCCCTCGCAGAGACGGCATTATGGGAACACGTGGCCAAAGCAGTGCAAGTTACCGGACCGCGTTCGCTAAGCATAAGCAGTGTACTCCTCACGGTACCGGTGCGGGATATTGCTGTACTGCACGTCCTCGTATCTTGCCGTCTTGACCTTGGGAAAGTACGTAGAACTCGAGTAGCTTGCTTCCCTAGATGGCATAGGAGGGCGTTCGTAGTAGGTAGTCTTGCTGTGCTTCCTCGAGGAAGGGGGGGAATCATCGCGGTACATCGCTGCGTACGAAGTTTCAAGCGGAACTGCGACTGTACGGCCGTCGCTGACTGTGTACCGAGTTCTCTGGCCGTATTCCGCCGGCATCGGGTCAGGAGAGTGGGTCTTATGACGGCTACTCCTGTGGCGGCGGCGGTCATCCTCGGATTCCGAGTCTTCGCTCACAGCCTGCGGCTGCAGTCTCGAACGACCGCGACCTCGCAGATCAGCATCGGCAGGCACATGTGAGAAAGTCTGTGCTCTGACGGGGCCGGGGGGCGGGCGGCTGAATGAGCTCTCGTTCAAGGTAGCTGACCTGCTGAGGTACTTTGGCGGCGAGGTGGACGCGGGATACGCCGTCGTCGAAGCGAAATGAGCCATGTGGCGGCTACTAGGCGAGGCGTCCACGACATTGGGCTGCGGGGGCAGGGGCGCCTCCTTGGTCGGTGACGATTTCTTGTGGCTCGACTTGTCGCGCGTCTTGGTCTCCGAGGAGCGCCTCGACTTTGACCTGCGACTTGTGTCCTCTTCCTGGGGGATAGGAGGAGGAGGGGGGGCGGCGAAGGATGAACCGGCTGGCGGTGGGGTAGGAACAGGAGGCCGGACGTCGTACGTCTGCGAGCGGCTTATACCTGGGTGAACGGACTTGCGGGACTCGTCCATGTATTTGGCGGCGTTCATCATGGTCTCGGCGTATTTGTACTGGATGTCGGTCTGAGCAAGCGGCATGGGCGGCACGGGCGGCACTGGCAGCTCTTCCCGAGGCGGAACAACGTCTCGCGGAACGGAACGGGACCGCTTGTCCTCCTTCTTCTCCTTGGTGCTGCTCGACTTCTTCTTGTCGACCTTGGCGACATACGTCGCGTCGTCTTCGAAGGGCTCGCTGTAGATGGGCTTATGTCTCCGCGACTTCTCCTCGGCATCACGTCTTCGCTCCTTCTCGCGCTCCTTGTCAGCCTTTTCCTGACGCTTACGTTCCTGTCGTCGGGCCTCCTTTTCTTCGGCGGCCCGTTTGGCGGCCTTTTCGGCGACCTTCTTCTCCGCGAGTCTCTCCCTCTCTCTTTCGAGACGTTCTCTATCGCGGACGGCGGCGGCACGCGCTAGCTCCTCGCGTTCTCGGTCTTTCTCTTCTCTGCGTCTGCGTTCTCGGAGGACGTCGTCGTCTTGTCGAGACGGCTTCTCGTAGCTGGTGGCCCGGCGGGCGCGGGGCTCCTCGAAGATGGAATTTGATCGGCTGTGGATCTCCTCGTCCCACGACCGAGAGTTGTATTGGGAGTACATCTTGGTGTTGGGCGACGAGCGGTAGGACGTCGTCTTGAAGGTGTCGGGGCGGGGCTCGGCGGTGCGTACCTCATAAGTCCTGGGGGCGCGGGGAGCGGAGGTGTTGGCGGCCATGCCCTTGGCCATCTCCTTGCGGAGCTCGGCGAGCTTGACATTGTCATCGTACTTGGCTCGTTCGTTCTCGTTGCTCAGCAGCTCGTAGGCCTGCTGGACCTTTTGAAACTCGTCCTGCTTTTGGGCCTTGAGCGTCGGGTCCTGGACCTTGTCGGGGTGGCACTTGAGGACAAGCTTCCTGTGGGCGCTTCGGATCTCGGGGAGCTGTGCATCTTTGGAGACGCCTAAAATCTTGTACGGGTCGGGTGGTAACGAGGACATGATGGGCTGGGCGTCTGTCTGTGGTGTCTTGTTGTTTGGGGGGCTCGAGAATCCAGTTCGACGGCGGTCAGGGGGGGTTGTGAGCGATCTATGAGGCAAGGGCTGCTGCGATGATGGAAAGACTGCAAGGCGTCGCTCGCAGTCCGGGTCGATGGATGTCTGGGCGAAGGACGAGGCTATTGTTGCATTGAGGCGGTGATTATCAAGGAGGCTCGAGGCTGGGCAGGCTTGTTTATGCAGAGTGGTTGCAGCAGCAGGCTGGCACGATAGCGTCTGCTGGAATTGTGGGCGGCAGTACCTGTTGGAAGGATGGCAATCTGACGGGTGTGGAATGGAATCCGAGGGATGGAATGCGGGAAGGGAGCGGCAATTCGGAAGACGTGCGGAAGTAGTAAGGTATAGATAGTAAGGCAGTGAATAGTATGTAGGATGAATCGAAGACGCGGAAAGTGAAGTAGCGTGTGGGGGGTGAGGCGAGTTGAGGATAGGAGTGAGAGGCAAAACACGGTATTCGGCGTAGGTTGATGAAGTGGTGGCGTAATGTATGTAGAGTGAGAGTGAATTGAGTGATAGAGGCGAAAAGGCGGAAGAGGAAGATGGATGCGAATGGCGAAGGAGGGTCAGAAAGCCAGGAGTATCTGTGGACGGTAAGGCGGAGAGGACGGACGGGCGACGACGATCGTGGGTCGTGGCCTCCTTTCTCTGGGTGGTCCGGTCGAGGTGCAGCAACGCAACGCAACCCAGTTTCCAAGTGGAGTTGTTTCGTGGGTTGATGTTCGCAAGTCGCGTTGGACGGACAGCTCAAGCGACGAGATGGGATGGGGAGAGAAGCAGGAGGAGGAGGAAGAGGAGGATCAGATATGATGAGGATCCGAGAAACCGGGGGGGCAGGAGGAAGAGGACGAGTGAATGCCGTCCCGTCGATTAACCATGAAGCGGCCTTGTCACTTTTGGGCCGTTGAAGAGGGCGAGTGACTTTGCGCGGGCTGGTGTGCGAGCGAGTGGTGCGTGAGTAAGTGAGTGAGTGTTCCAAGTACTTCTCAGTGTACAAGGTGGTTCCTCCCAGGCCCAGGTCGTGGGGTGGATCCTGTGCTGGGGATTATGGATTGACGGATGGATCGAGTGGATATGGTCGAGATCAGGTCAGTAGTCGAATGCGTCCCGTCAGTCGTGAGCGATCCGGCGCGAGGAGTTTGTGGCTTCAGTGGAGCGGAAAGAAGCGTGGACGACAGAGCCCCCGAGGGGGGGGGGGACTGGCAAGTACCTAGGTACCCGAGTACTCAGGTGCTTGTAATCGTGTGCACCTAGGTATTCATGTAATCAAGTATCCAAGTACCCAAGTACCCAGGTATCGAAGTGTCTGGGTACCTACATAGTAGGTGTTCAGGTGCCCAAGTACCCAAGTACGCACCAACCGTTCTCCCCCAATGAACGGACCAGGTCGACAGACCCATTAGCAGATGGCCGTCACGGTCTCGGTTGGGGTCTTGGATCTCGCCATGGCCAGACTGATCGGGAATGTGACGATGAAATCTGGTTTACGTTCCCTCCTTCTCTCTTGGTCACCTACGTATCTCTGTGATGTCGTATACAATACAGGGCAAGCATTCCCGCACGCATTCCGGATGCCCTGTGTTTCTCTGACAGGCGTGACTCTCGACAGACAAAACGGGGGGACTGACCAGGCGCTGGAGGTGTGGCAGGACGGACGATGAGGTCACGGGCTTGCTTTGGATGGGGAAAGAGGGGGGTCTGGACCTGGCCCGTTTCTGGTTACACGGAAGGACAGGGTCTGCAGGAGAGCGACACTGGACGGGCCACTTGGAAAACGGGTGATGGGCACTAGCGCAGACGTAACGCACGGTAGACTGAGGTGTGGGTCAGCCTCAGTTTTTCCCTCCTTCCGTTTCGACCCAGAAAAACGGATCGGCAGTCAGACAGGCAGGCAGGCAGGTGCCGCCCCCATCCCTTTCAGTTACCTTCTTGCCCTCTTCGCCTTTCAGTGGCTGTCCGTCCGTCCGTCCGTCCGTCTGTCTGTCTGTCTGTCTGTCTGTCTGTCTGTCTGTCTGTCTGTCTGTCTGTCTGTCTGTCTGTCTGTCTGTCTGTCTGTCTGTCTGTCTGTCTGTCTGTCTGTCTGTCTGTCTGTCTGTCTGTCTGTCTGTCAACTGTCAGTCTGTCAGTCTGTTTCTGTCACCATTCGAACTGACGAGTCACTCCCCAGTGTATTGGATTTCGTCTGATTTTAGAAGTCCAACTGCCAGTCTATCCGCTTCTAGCGGTGCGGTTAACCCCTCTGGCGCCACGAATCCCGGGGCTGCTGTTGGTGTAAACGGACAAGTCAATCAGGCGTTGCGTTGCAGCACCAACTAATGATACAGAGACGCAGCTGATGGGCCGCCTTTCTTTCTTTAACGGTGCTCGGGCAGCACAAACGGGGAGTGGGCAGAGCTTGTAACCAGGTGAGACGGTCCTGGCCTTGGCTGATGATGACGATGGTACCGAGCAGTGTACTTAATTGCGTGTACTGTTGGTAGGGACGAGGGCCCGGAGCTGACTGGCGGGCTGGCCAGGGCGGCGTGAACCACGATGTGCTCCTCTGGCGGATAGCGTTTTAGGTCGGTGACTTGTCGTAACCTTTTTTATTATTCTTATTCTTATTCTTATTATTATTATTATTATTATTATCATCATCATCATGCTGTGCAAGAGAGCACCTCGGTGCGACGGCTCTGCTTCCGCCGTTGGAGAGTTGTCGAAAAACCTCAGACATGATCCGGTCTTTTACTTTCTTGCGTTTCCACAGGAGCGTCAGAATTAAGACTTGTTCGACGTGCCCTCCTGTATCCTCAACCCCCCCCTACTGCGTAGGAACAATCCGGTGCAATCGTCGTACCCGTCTTGTCAGCGGCGTCCCTCTGCACAACCGTCGCTCAGGTCCGTTCCCGCCTGTCAGGCGTCGACGGCCCCCCCCCACTGTCTGTGGCCTTCTCTGTGCTTCCACAGCCTCGGACATGGCCTGCTCCTTTCTGTCCGACCCGCGCAGCCCGTGTCCCAAACGGGCAGAGCACAGCAGCTCGCTGTGGCTTGCTGCACCCGCCCGGGATAGGAGCAGGCGGAGACGGGTGGATTAGACACCATATGACAGAACCCCGGCCGAGCTGAGGTAAGATGCGCAGCACCCTGACTGACGTATGCGAGGGCCCCTGAGACTCTGGCCGTCAACACTATATCCGGGGGGGTCTCGGGGGCTTCTCATGCCTGCCGGCGTACCTTGACTGACGCTCGCCTTGTCAGGGAGATCTCTTTTATCGTCCTGGCCCTCGGACGAAAAGCACCGGCAGCAGCACAGCGAGTGTGGATACCGGGAAGCCTGGAAAGGTCGAAGAGCAAAGGCGTGGAACGCTTTAGGCGATGAGCGACAGGGACAGCACATGGGCACCCGCCGTAACAAAGGCCGATCGGGCGTGGCGGTCACGGATACGGTGAAGGGGGGGAAGGCCTGTGGGGGTTTGACGAGGATCGCGAACCCACGCCTACGATGTACCTCACCCCGCGCGTTGCGGTGTCAACGGTACAGGCCAGATCCGCCAAGTGCCGTATCGCGGCAGGGTTTCGCCCACGCGTTGAGGGGCAATCAGGAAGGCGATAGGATGGAGAGTCACCCGATCAACCCGGACGAACTTGTCGACGACGACGACGACGACGACTTCAAAGCTGCGCCCCGCCTGGGCAAGAAGAAGAAGAAGAGGAATAAGGCAAGTACGGGGCGAAGATGACGATGGATGGATCAGCCTGAATCATTCTGGTCTTCAGGGTCTCCCGGACGTACTATTAGCGGGGGATCGTCCTCGACGAGAGTCAACAAAGTTTCTTCTTCTTGACGGAGGGCGGAGGGGCGAAAAAGCGCAACTGCGCCCCCCCGCCTCCCGGCTTTGCCATTGCATTATCTCTCTCGTGTTGCCGGGTCCGTCCCTGACAGCCGAGTGCGATGTTGTGTGGTTGTGCCACCGAAGACGGAAAGAAATGTGGAACAAAAATTCAAATAAAAAAAAATCATTGCAATCCCCGTTTAATGGACGGGAATTGATCAATTGGAGTCATTTGCTCGCCTCGTCAATTGGGCAGCGGCGACACCAGCACAGGGAAGCAAGCACTACAGACAGATACAGGCAAAGGGGAGTTGATGTGGCCGAGGACAATTGGTGGCAGTTGGCGGCTTTGTACATAAAGTCGTGAATACTTTGCCTCGTGAGGGGGTGGGGGCGAGAGCCACGTACTGGATACAAGAGTACGTGGGAGATGGGGAAAGGCAGAAAGGCAGAAAGGCAGAACAGAGAGGGTACTCTGTACTTTGCCCCGTTCATCTTTTTTCTCGCAGTGGCAACAGCGCTTCCCGCCGCTAGCACAAGGTGGCACCTGGCACCGTCCGGGCTGCGGCAAGTTCAAACGTTCCTCCGTTTTTGCAAGCAGTAACCTTGATAGGTTCCCCCAGCGTTTTCCCTTCTCCCCTCTCCCGAGGATAGCCCGGCCAAGGCAGGTAGGGTACCTGGGTACTGTTCGTACAAACATGTTAGTAGAGACCTGGGATGCTTGGCCAGCAGGCGTCTGCAGTGTGCCACGACGAGTGCATTTCTATACCAACACATGTGCCAACATACGCTGTAGCTGAACCAAGTATCAAGTAAGCACGCTAAACCGTCATCTGTCAGAGTCTAGAGGAAGCTTGATTGATAGTGCACTACGCCGTTGACGACGAACCACCACGAACCACCACGAGCTGTGCTGTGCTGTGCTGTGCTGTTCTGTTCTGTACTGCGCCGCACTGCACTACACGATACACAATCACATACAGGTCGCTTCGTTCTTTGGCTCCTCGGCGAGCGCGACGATCAGGTCGGGGAAGCTCGGAGTCAGCACTGCGTATGAATCAGCATTGTCTGACCCTCTCTCTCCATTCCCGGTCATGCTCTCGTCATTAGTGCACTCGGTATGTGTGCCGCCCCCTTATGTGTTGCAGTACAGTACGGAGTACACGGGAAGCTGATATGGCATAACCAAACCACTGCCCGGGTGCGCCGTATTTGGCAGCGGACAAGCATGATTTCAAACGCATCCATCAGCCGTTGCTGAGGTAATGCCCAGAACCGGTAGGGCTCGACTCTCGTCCATTCCACTTTGGATGGCATTCCCCCTCCCTCGAGTGCGGCCACTGGCGCGGGAGGGACATGTGGCGGTGAGGAGCATCGTGTTTGACGACCGTTTGTGGTGGAAGCGGGACGCTCCTCCCTCGTCGTCACTTACATACACTAGATAGATAGTATCTGCTATGTATCGAAGATTAGGTAAGAAAGGTACAAAGATACAGAGATGCAAAGCCACAAAGGTATCCGTACATGCTCGTGCTTAGCTAAGTCGTCGGCACATGTCCGTGCTTCTGCGAGAACGGCCCCAGCTGTCTGATCTGTCACCGTCTCCCCGCTAGCCCAACCCAACCACCTCTACCCACACACACACACGCACTTCCCACGGAACCCTGCCTGCCAGCCAGCCCAAACCGTTTCTCCCATTCGATATGTCATGGCATTTCTTGTTTGCCAATTCGATGCCCAATCCGTTGCCCTTCTGCAATGCATCAACACAGAAATGACGATGTGCTACCCTCTGGAGCCCAACGAACAGGGTTGACGATGATGACAATCACCATCATAAATGACCAACTGCGCCGTGTTTGTCGCCTGGCCTGGCCTGGCCTCGTCCATTGATATCAGATCTACTGGCGACAGCCAAAGACACGTCGCCAGCAGAGTCATGGGTGCGCCGTGGCCCGGGTCGATATTCCATACAAGGCTAGCCAGAAACCAGCTGTACCCATCAACTATTATTTGGCCCTCCCGCCGGGAACGCTCGCAACCAGATTGATGGATGGCCACAAGGCCCAAGCCCATAGCCGACGACAACGACGCATGGCCGTTGTCCTCATACGCCACTGAAGGTGGGGGCGGCGGCGGCAAAGGCCAGCGATGGCACTCGACTGGCCGGCTAGCTGCTTTATGGTCTAGCCGCAGTACCCAGAAAAGACGCTTGGAAGGACGACAGAGGGCAAACTGGTGTTCGGCCGTCGTGTGTGTGTGTGTCTGGCTCGCTCGTATCAACCCGGGACAACGTCATTTTAACTAACTGAGAGATGACCGTGTCTAGCTCGAGCATCGTCGTCGACCGTAGCCCTACGACGGATTGCTCCATCTTCCAAGACCTCTTCACACCCTTTTGCTCGGCGTCGGCCTTGTCTCACTCAACCAGCCAGCTTTGCCTCGGAGACTCCTTTCACAGGCTTTTTTTCGGCCGTCGCTCGAGTACCTTGTGTGTGCGTTCCTAGTGCACTCTTGCAGCGCAACCCAGCCATAACCGTCAAAGCATCGTTGCATCTGCCCTGCATCTCCCGGCGACAGTGACAGCCCGCAACCACTCAGCAGCTTGGCCGCACCACTTGGCTGCTACTCGTCAGTGGTCAATGGAGGCCGCCGACTTTTCGACTCATGGTTCCCACTGTGGAGTCGGCTTGATGTCCGCGAGAGCATTGTTCGCTACCGTCACCGGCAAACCTGCAAGGGCTCCGAATTCGCCCTCTCGCCGCCCCTCCGCCGTCGTGTCATCCAATATTAACAACAAACGGCAGCGACACAGGCAGAGGTCGGCGGCTTTTCAGGGTCGCAGTCGGCCACTGGCGGCCACGGCTGCTAAGTGCCTGCATGACACCATCCCCAATCCCAGACAGGCCTATTGCATCCTCCATCACACAATATCACAAACCATCCGATTTCCAGCACTATTCGACCATCGGGGGCATGTGCCTTGCCGTGCCATCTTCTCTCTGACGCGCCATCGCATCCCACGATCTGTTGCTCGTGATGGGGGTCATCGTCACGGCACGGGGTCGCGTGTCGGCGACCACCAGGAAGATCGGAAGCAGGAACGAATCCTCAGTATCACAGCCCCGATACCGAGACAGAGGCGCACCCTTCTGGACGTCCATCCCGGAGAATGGCAGATGGTAGGCCATCGGCATGTGTCAAAACCGGGACGCATCCCGTCGTCCCTCCCCACGTGAAATGCCTCTTCCGCTTGCAGCACTTTTTCGGAGTGAAGAAGGTGGTAGGCATCGGTCCTTGATTGGACCAGGAAACTGTGACCGAAAGACAAGACCGCCTCCCGCGTCAACAAATCAGATGAAGACATGGCAGCCCCTTCTGTCAGCCAGTCACGCAGAGGCTTAGCTGCAACTTAGTCGCAGCGAGTAGGAGCCTGTCGACGGGAGATTATCCTCCACCAGATGCCGCATTGTGAGCTAGAGTGTATTCACAACATGTTATCCGAGATATCCTAGGCTTCAGGGCATGGCTTACGGGAAGTCAAGTAACTCGAACGCCATTGCATGTCAACTCGTTCACGATAAACCCTGGAGAACTTCAACTTACCCCTCAGAAGCATCACCCAACGCTCGACACTGCCATTCCCTACTGGCTCTTGGCAGCCGGCTGGTGGTGAATGGGTTTCACGTTTTAGCGGTCAGCGCCGCCTGAACCAATGGCTTGATGGGAACCGAATCGTCCCGTCTCGTCCTGTCTCGTGCGCGAGCGGGTCCAGGTCCGTCTTCTCCACCACGGATGATCACCTGGCGGGTGCCGCAATTGTGTGGATATCCGACCAAGTTTAACAGATGCTGTTAAGGCGTTGCCTTGCGAGACCGCAAGGATGGTGTAGCGTCCTATCGAAGCGGTCTCCAATGGTCTTTACCGACGCCTCTCCTGTCTCTCAGCTATCGGCCGATCACAGTGATCTTTGTCTGTATTTTGGTATGCGTTACAGCAGCTCGATCGGATTGGTGGGGGGGGGCCGGTGATCGACCGTAAGCTATGCAGCTGGACTCTTTCACAGTCGGACCGTCACCTCGTTTCGACGTGAGAACAGCATGACGGCAGAGGGCGAGGTGAGACTGACAAGCGAGCGGCCAACGGCTCCGCGTCCTCGACAGTTCCTACGTGTCTTAGATTGTGACTGGGTCAGAGCTTAAGCAGAGATCACCCCGTTCCCTTTGCCATTGCCGAAACTCTTCAGGGAAACCCCCTCTTACGCTCCCGTGAAATCTTCAGGAGAAAACCGCTCAACTTCCGCCACTGCAGCGGGGACTGCCCAGCAATCGCTTCCACGTACATCGTACTATGTATGTATCCATGACTCCGAGGTCAGGTCAAGGATCCATCCGATAGCCTATTAACGATAAGATTGGCGAAGAGACTGTCGGTCATTTGGAGGGAGGTATTTTCCCCCCTCCCCCCGTTTGTCACCGCAGAGCGGGTACCGCGCCAACAAGCTCCCGTTCACGGTTCGGGTCTCCAATGGGAGCCGCCGTTTGTCGCCGCCGTCCTGGAACGGAGTGCCATCCCATCTTTTTTGGCACCGAAATCCAGGCGCTGCCGTTACACGGTCGACGGGTCCAACATTCATATCCTCTGATGGGGTCGTCGACGGCCTGTTGCGGTCTCTGAAGCAAAGTCGGTGATCGTTCCAAGGAATCGGCTTGGAGAAGAGAGGGATTTTCGTCAAGGAATTGTACGTGGGCTTTGGCCGTCTCCTCGCCAGTGCGCATCATTCTTGATGCTCGGGCTATGCTAAAGGTCTACTTTTAGCTGGGACATGGCTGTCTCTGGTGGCGGTGAAGTGTTCCTGGCAACCTTAGGCAAGGCCGGGCCAGCTCTCCTCTCGAGCTTCCATCCATGTGCTAAGCTTGCTCTTTAATCGAGAATTTTTATTTTTATTTTTATTTTATGTTTTTTACCCCTCACCATCGCCGCCTCGTGCCGAGCTGGAAGCTCTCTGCTCTCTGCTCTCTGCCAGGAGGGAAATCAGGTGTCATTTCGAAAGCATCAACTCAACAACCTGGAATCTCGATGGCAAGCAACCCCATCACCCGGCCATCCATCATACCGTCCGGCTGACTTGTCAGGAGAGGAAACGGGTCTCAGGATGTGGATTGCAAACCCCCACCTAGCAGCAAATCGAACCCCGCGATTCCCATCCCTCCCATCACATCACACACCATCCCATCCGCGCACAGCCGCCGCATCTGAGTCTGGGCTCTCTCCCCTCCCCTCCTCTCTCTCTCTGGCCCCCTTCCCCTCCCTTTTCCAGTGTCTCGCCTGTCTCTGAAGTCCCCGCCCACGCGCTCATTGGACGCTCGACAAGCGCCCAAGCTGCACGTCTTCGCTTTGGGGGTGCTGCACCTCCGTTTGCCGCAGTCGAGCGCCGGGCTGAAGCGCTGCAGCTTATGTCTTGGTGCGCCCATCTCCTGCCGCTTTGAAGGCTGCGTCCTGGTTGCACACATGCAGTCCTCGTGCCAATAGCCGTGAATGAGAGCGAATGAGGGCGAGCTGCCAGACCTGGATCGTACCAAACATTCGAGAGAGAGAGCCTGCCTGCCCTCCTCCATGGCGTAGATTACATAACAACCCCAGCCAGCCAACCGGCTCTCCGCCGCGTGCTGTATGGCTGACAGGATGTAGGAGGCATACCCGAGTTTTTCTGGTTGGTGTAGCGCCCGTACTACTCACAAGCGTCCGCCGATCCCCTGCTTGGTTTCTGGAAGCTTATCCTATCCAAACGTCTCAATTTTTTTCTCAGACGGGCTCTCTCGCAGCCATGGTGATGGGAAACGGCATGCGTGCCTGGGCAATCCGGCATGCGGGGTGCTCTCGGGGGCGGGGGCGGGGGCGGTCGTCCATTGGCCGTCGTGCGGCGTGGAACATGCGGCATTAGGCATCCGGAACGCGGGTAGATGGCCAAACGGGCGGCCAGGCGGGTGAGGAGCACAGTCTTCCCGGGGGCCACAACCCATTTCTCCATGTTCTCTTGGATTGGTCTGGAGATGGGATTTGGTCATTTTTGTTTCATACATCGCTGGGTGTCTGTAGGTTTCCACGTGTGACAATTGGGGGGGGGGGGGGGGGGGCCGAGTCGAGCAGGACCGCGGTAGACGCCCCCCGCCCCCAGATCACCCCAGGCCTGAAATGGCAAACAATGGAAATGATATCGTATAAGCACGCGAAGTAGCGATGGAGCTGGAGGAAGAGAGAAGAAAGGCGAAGGGGGAGCGGCCGCCGAGTACAGGATCGAGAATGCAGGTCAGAGGCGCGGGAGGCCCAGGCACCTCTCCCCTCCCCTCCCCCCTTTTTTCCATTCCCCTCTCGCGTTCCCCTATTCCCGCCGTTCTCCCATGCAGTTATTCGCGAATCAGGCGTCCAGTTGTTTCTTGCGGCAGAGTCAGTCCGATAGGCGGGTGAATGAGCGGATGTGTTGCAGCAGGCGATTGGACAGAGACGCGGAGGGGAGATGCAATGCGGGCGGTTGCGGATTGGTCGAGAAATGGATAGACGCGGGTGCGCCGACGCCGCCGCCGCACGACGCACCACCCAGGGCCTGGCAACTGACTGCACTGGATCATGGCCATGATGGGGATGACGAGGAGGAGGAGGAGAATGGCCACTGGGTAAGCCGGGGGGGTGGCGGACGTCCTACCCCGTCCGAAACCTCGTTCGTGCTCCCGACGCCTGGGTCGTACGGCGAAGTCCTGTGTCGTGCGTGCTCCGTGTGCTGCGGTTCCGGCTTATCGTGGCCGGCAAGGCTGGGCGGGCTTTAGTTGCCGTCTCACATCAGCGCAGCGTAGAAGGGGGTTTTTTTTTTCTTACCCCTTCTATGAGAACGGTTATTTTTTATAACCCCTCCAAGACTTTTCTCTTGTTCTAGTAGTTCTAGAGAGGTTATGTGGTTTCCGGGGGTTAGATAGAGCTGAAGACGGCGCGGATGTCGTCTCTCACAGCAGCCGTGGGGCGTCCCTCTGATATCTGCGATACGAGCCTTTTTTTTTTTTTTTTTTTGGAAGGGGGGAAAGGGTTACCTCGCAGGATGGGAGGTGTTCGAAGATGACTTTGTTCTAGTAGAGTCGTTAGGGGATCCCCGATGGAGAGGGTGTCGTATAGCCCCCCCCCTCCCGTTGTATTTCGACACGCTCTAGTGAGAAGCGTGAGGGGGGCGGTAAGGCCAGCCTCGTCGACTGGCTTCGGTGTGCGGGTGAGACATCCCTCTCCCCTTCCCTTTCCCTTCCCCCTCACAAGCCTCCATGCCGCTGTGCCTGATTCCGAGCTGGCATGCGTCAAAGTGCAAGAACAGGCACCCTGGACGGCCTCGCGCGTGCGTCAAAGTGCAAGAAAGACGGCAGACAGAGCGCCTACCGGTCAAAACCCAGTCTCGGGGGTTAGTAGGTCCCCTTTCCCCCCGCTTTGCGAGGTGGCTAGGAGGGGATTGTCATGATCTTTGGCCGGGCTGGGGGACTTTTCTCCTTGGGGGAAGTTGGCACCGGGACGAAGCATAGACATAAATATATATGTACGAGTGGTGCGGTTAAAGGTGTAAAACGAAGAAAGGGGTAACCGGAGGTCATCGGCCTATGGCATGGAAAAGAAGAAACAAACCTGACGATGTGCCAGAGTTCGTGTTTCCTTGCACGCCGAGCGCGGGTTTTTGTTTTGTTTTCTTTTTTTTGGACGTCTGAGGAACGGGACGATGATGTTCTGTCTAGTGCTGACTGGCGGAGGGGAAGAGGGTCCTTGAGATGTCGCGACATCTGGGGATGTGTGCGAATAAGAGGCGTTCACGAGAGAGGGTGCGGTTGACACGGGAGGATGGAGGACGGGCAGGGGGGAGGGTGGGAGAGGGTAGTTTTCTTCGGTGGCTGTGAGAGGCAGCCGTGGGTTTGTATATAGGCCTGATGGGATTGTGTCTTGTGGTTTACAGGCGAGAAAGATGGGAAAGGGGGAATGGGGTGTTGAGGATGTCGTGTCTGGGCGGTGGGAAAGACGGAGGCGGATGGATATACAGTCGACTATCGACGAGGTACTCGGAGGGGTGGTTTGTGAGGTTTCGGAGACGACTACAATGGTAGGTAGTGCTGAGTTTGAACCGCTTGAACGGATCATTGTCCCCTCACCCGTTTCCTTCGCCACGAAGCGTTTCACCGGGGGGGGGGGGTCTTCTAATACACAACGGAGAACGGAGCTTAGATGATGTGATAAGTGAGACCGAATGTACAGTTGCCCACGGAAAATTCGTCGAGCCACTCAGAGGTTATCACGGTGATGGCCTTGGGTTCACGGGCACGGATGGTCACCCCTACGGTGTCGTCTATCGTGTATGAGATAGATATATGTATATATATATATACATATATATACGTATGTATGTGTCTCGATAGCTAGGAAGAGGGACCTGGTTAGACGTTTCTGACATAGACACGCACATCTGCTAAGTCCCTTCTCCTTCCACACCTTTAAGAGCCAGAGACACTTTTCCTCCCCCCCGTCTCGAGACCGGCCCCCCTATCGGTGGCGCCTTGCGTCACGGCGAGTCTGGTTGTAGCAGTGATGACCTCGCACATGTCCGTCCTCGAAATCAACGTCATTGATAATTAGGGGGGGGGTGAGGATTGACGCCTCGTTTTCTTGCATGAGACTTGGGCCAACGCCTGAAGTATGCAAACCAAACGGACTGGAATTTCACGAAAGGATTTACTACCTAGGGGATGCGTAGGGAGATCTGCTCGGTGCTGGGCTGACCCTCATGTCGCTGTGATTAGCCTTGCACGTTTGACCCCTCCGAGACTCCTTCACCAAGATTCAGAATGGGCACACGGTAGAATAGCCAGACGGCCTGCACAACCCTCCGAGGCTACCCTGAACCATCGCCTTGCCTTCTCGGTTGAGAAGGCCTGCCAACTACGGAGTCGTTGCGGTAGTGCCTTCCTTGAATCGAACCACTGGGCCATGAGGCGGCCAGGATGTTAAAGAATCTCACTAGTCCGACCTCAGACCCACGACAAGTTATCGCCGAGAGGAGCGTCATTCGACAATGCAAGCGACGTCGATATTGACGCTTGCGCATGTTGCCTGCTTTTAAACCGCCTCAGGGCTTTGTGCCATGCTGCCTCACCCGTCTTCCGTGTACACGAGTCGAGGCATGCCGTCGCGCGTCCACTCCCACACCGGCAGGTCCAGATCCACGACGATGGGCTTGTTGACCGTCTTGCCGCCGACATGGGGGTAGCTCTTGGCCATGATTGCGCAGTTGACTACGCACGTCTCCCGCCGGCCCAGCCGTCCGGCCAGCGCCGCGGCATCGCTCCGTGACGAGGTCGGGTCTCCCCCGAGTCCCCGCGTGCCGAGCCCGGGTTGCGCCGTGCTTTCGGAGGTCTTGCTCGGAGCAGACGGACCGGGGGCCGCGGTCGCCCCCACGCCGGGCGAACGGCTATTCGCCGTATGCGAGCCGTCGTTGCGTAATGGGTTACCGCCCTTCGCCGTCAGGTTTACGAGGGACTGCTTGTTCCCGTGCCCCGGGTCTTCCCAGCCCTCGACGCCTTCCTCCTTGAAGGCGGTGTTGCCGCACTCGAGGTCCCAACGCACCCGTGCCATCCCGCGGCCTTCGTGGACGTGTCCGCAGACGGCGAGCCGTGGCCTGACCCGCCACAGCGCGCGTCTCAGCGCCTCACACCCCGCGGCCCGCCGGACGCGAGACTCGTCACAGTGGGTGTGTGGCGGTGTGTGCGTCACCACGACGTCTGCGTCAAGCGGGATGTCATCCCATAACGTGGGCAGGTCGGCAGTGGCGCCGACGCCGCCGTGCTGAGGCGCGTCGTAGCCAAAGGCCCACAGGCCGTTGCGCGGCGAGTACGGTGATGCGAAGACGGAGAAGCAAGTATGCGGACCCGCGGGCGAGGCGAGACGGACCGTTGCTGATTCGTGGTTGAGGTACGTGATGGTGGGAGAGCCTGCCAAGAGTGCCGCACAGGCCCGGGGAGACTGTGGCTCTTGGTTGTGGAAGTTGTTCCCGTGCTGGGCGTAGAAGGCCGGGTCCAGAGTCAAGTCATGGTTGCCTGGCCGGGGCAGGCATGTGTCAACTCGGGTAGATGAAGGATGAAACGAGCGAGCTGGCAGAAGGACGGATGTTACCTGCGATGACAATTTTGGTTTCAAAATCGGCCTTCTCAAGCCATTGGACGGCCCGCGATAACTAGAATCAGAGTCAGTTCAGACATGCCTTGAGACATTTCGCAAGCGTCAATCAGACGCCTCTTGGACGCCTCTTGGGCGTGCCGTGCCAGGCCCCGTGTTTGTTTGTCCAGGGACGCAAACGTTCCAGAGATAAGCTTCTCATCTCTGGCCGAACGCCTCCCATACAGACCCCGAACGACCGGCCGGGGGTTGGACAGGGAAGGACCTGACACCGGGCCGTGGGACAGAGCATGCACAGCACAGCATAGCACATGACAGATAACCCAACCCGCGCACGCACCTCGGAGTAGCTGCCCTGGTTCGTCAGGTCCCCGGCGTGGATCAGCACGTCGCCTTTCGGCAGCTTGACGGCAGTGTTGTGGGTGTCGGAGACGCAGACGAAGCGTGTCCTCCGCACAACCGGGTGACGTCGATGGGGCGGCGGCGGCAGCGGCGGCGGCCTGGAGATGCCAGAGTGATCCATGACCCCGACGTTAGTCACAGATGGGGAAATGTGCGGACGCGCAGACGTGCGGGCTGCGAGTGGGGTGGTGTGACGGGAAGATGGCGAGCAAGATCAGTATGGCAGTTCAGAGACCGTGCGTCGTCGTCGGCGTCGTCGTGACGAGGTATTGCCAGCGGAGCCTAAGCGGGGTTTCGGCTCAGGAGATAGATGGAGTAGGGATTTGGGAGATTGTGAAGGGGGCGGGTAACACGATATGGCTTGTGCGGACGGACTGCACAGGGCAGGGTCTAGCAATGTAGCGGATACAAGGCCCGGGAAAGCATGCGGAAAGCGTGAAGCGTGTCGATGTTTGGGGGCTGAGGGTGTCGACAAGCTCATTCGAGAGTGAGTGGCTGTGGCGTCAGGTTTGTGAGGGTGCTTCACTTGAAACGGCTTGTGATTATCGGCACTGGACGCCTTGAGGCCGTGCGTTGTTCGTCATTTCAGTTTGTCGTCGTCTGTCAGGCTGTCTCGCGGAGTGTGGCGTGCCAATCCGCCCGTCCGTCTGTATGTAGGTGTATGTCTTGTAGGAATCTCCCCGAGCTGTCAATCCGTCAAAACCACCGATGCCGATGGCGATGTCGATGTCGTTGCGATGGGGTCATGTGATTCATGTTAGGAAGCTCCGATGATGGGTTAGTCAGGTCTGAGGTCAGCAAGGTACCTATTCTACATCGTAGGTTCCTCCTCCCGGGGATGACGGAAGCTCCTTCCTTGGGTTCCAGATTGTTCGGAAATTAGGAGGAAGCGACGATCTGGAAAGACCTCCCCACCAAAAGGAGGAAGGAGGGTGGAGAGCTGGTCCTTCCAGAAGGCATATTGTGCGATATTATGAGAGATGAATGAAACCGGCACATATGATGCAAGATACGTCTCCTCCCTCCTCCTTTCCTCCTCCCTCGGTGTGTCCGCCTCTTACCTACCTACCGGCCGGCCATGGCGAAGTTCCAGATCAGTTGGGTCGACAGACAAGCAAGGCCAATGGGGAATGGAGTGTTCGGACGTGGGGCCGAAGACAATGCCAAGTACAAAAATATTCGTACAGACCAGGCCACAGGTACACCTGGTACAGTGCTTACTTGTGTACTGCTATGGCCGTCTCGCGAGATCCGACCCCCCAGCGCGTAAGCTGCCGCCATTGGTCGGGATGGCGGTGAAAGGGGTGCAATCCTCGTCGAGCCCGCCGTCTCGCTGCCGGCATGAATCTTGGTTCCGGACGCGGCGAACCGCGGACCGAGGCGAGGAGCACGAAATCATCTACCTAGGGGTGCGACGTGTAAATCGTTGGAAGGGGTGAAGGGGACCGAGGCGAGACGAGACACGGGAGGTCCATCCGTCTAGGTCGGACGCGGAGACAAAACGACATGTCTGTCTCTCTCTTTTTGTTTTCATCCAGGTACGCTACCGGTAGGTGGGCGAAGAGAAGAAAAAGGAAGAACGAACCGTCCGTTCCATGCTGCGGGAGACATGCGCAAGCGGCCGATATGAAAAGAAATAGAGGGTGTAAGCCACAATCCCCAAGTCGAAACCATTGGGTTCTCAAACGTCCCTTGGACGAGCATGTTGAATGTTCCGAGGGGGGCCGCCTTCAGCGGCCCAGTCCGATGCTCCAACAGTGGCCGCCGATATCTTGGCTGTCGCCGGCATCGGACAGAGCGAAATGTTCGTTGACGTTTTGGCGACTGGGGAATGGATGCTTGCTTTCTTGAATGAGATTCGACGATGAACCAAAAAAAAAACCCCCTTCTATTTCCAAGAAAACAAAAATAAAATCATCAAATAACCAAAGGCGCAGATCTTATTCCCAGCTGTCGGTTCCCAGGATTGATTGATTGCGCATGGGAGGGCCCAGAAGAATCGTAAATGATGAGTGCCCGGGGGGGTGGCAGGGCAGGAACGGCCAGGCCTAGAAGGCGTTAGTCAGCACAGTGCGTTGTGTGCCTTTTTTCTGTGATTCCTTGTTGCTGCGCTTACATAATCCACGCATACGGCACAGCGCAAGCAGCACAGAGCACACACAACACGGGGGCACAACAGCACAATCAATCTGTTTGTGCCTAATGATGCTTCTCATTTCATCCACGATGCGCGGTGCCGAATTGCTCAGTCTTTACTTTATACAATAGTCCAATCTCATAATGTTGTCTTGTTCTTTTCCCTTGACTGGACAGCTGATCTCCCCTACCGGCATATGAACAAGAATCAAAAAAAAAAAAAAAATCAAGGCGAGTCTGACTGACATGGACCGCCCGATCCGGTCAACGGGATCTTGGTTAAACAAGCTGGGGACGGGGGTGTTGTACCTTGGGTCTGGATGACGTTGAATTTGGGTCTCCCGGGTGAAGCTGCCTGGGCTTGGATGCTGGATGGGATGAAATATCTGGGGATATATCAGTTTATGCTAAGCCTGTCTGCTGCCAATGGCATCCCGCTCTGCATTTCGTCCATCATTGTGTGCCTGCGCCACCTTAAGAGGGACCTCAGTCCATGTCCATGCATAATGTAGTGTATTGCATAGTATAGTATCCGGACGAACAGGTACGGATAACACCCAAAGGTGATGTGCAGATACACGCCTATAGTAGCAGTAGGTAGTTGATATTCTCCTAGTCTACGCCGTCCGTCCCTTCCGCCGTGGGCCCCGGCCGGTGCGACCCATGGTTCCCCAACGCTCTCGCCCAATCACGGGCCAATCCTCACCCGCAATTGTGAGCGAACCTCGCCCCGACAGGACAGGAATCCCCTTTTTCCGACAGAAATGCGCGCATAGCCTCGTGCGGCTCCGTTGCCGGCACTTGGTTGGTGCGTCGAATTGTGGGCAAGAGGGGGGCGGTGACGACGGGAATAGCCTCAGAGGGAGAGATCGGATGCTACTCACCTGTGGTACACTAGATGGGCAGAGGGGCAGTGGTCCGAGCGTAGTTGATGCACTGTACAGGCCATAGTCCATAGTACCATACATATGTAGATAGATAGGGACGGGACAGGAGCACACGGCATTTCGTCCGTCTGTCTGGGTCTAGATTGGATGCTACCTACCGTAGTACACTGCAGAAGCGGGTGACTTGGACCTCCCTCTGTCTCTCCGCCCTGCATGCGCCATGCCCGCCATGCACGCCACGCCCGCCAGGCTTTCTTGTTCTTGTATGGCGGCCCGTTCTGTCTCTCGTCGTACTATTCTCCCCCCACGATGCAGCCGGCGTTGGACGAAACCAGATCGAGGTAGAGGAGGAATGGGCCCGCTCGTTGCACGGGGACTCTGCAGTCGGCCGGCCAGTCATCTGTGGGAGAAGACGGAAGAGACATATCTGACTGACAGCAGTCACTGACCTGTTTGTTGTTGGGCAGGATATGCATGTCTCGTGCTGTGCGGCTGTGATGGGTACGGTGCAGAGCAAGGCTCTGGTTGGTGTTGGACCACGCAGTACGGATAGTGTTTCTCCAATCAGAGAGTCACGAGCCCGCCCGACGCAATCGTCCAGCTGTCTGCAAACACCAATCGGGTTTTGCGTTTTGCTGCGGCTGTCGCCCCCGCCGGCCCCCACTGATGCGTCCAACGTATTTTTATTTTATTTTTACCTGTACTCTGCATACTTCCCAATCAAGCATGGAATGAACGAAGGATATGCTTTCCTTCTCATGCGCTTGCTTTCTCTGGCTCCTCGCGTGTGGGTGTGCATGAGCGAAGAAAACGTCCGAGCAAGATTCGCCGTGGCTCGGCCCCAGCATAGCATGCTTAGTGGTAAAAGAAAAGATATTTATTTTATTTTAAAAAAAAGGGTGGAAGAAAAAAACAAGGGGGGGGATTAAAGAACATAAAAAAAAAATATAGCAGGCGTCCCATGCGTAGCGCCATGCGCCGTTGGGACAAAGATTGTCAACAAATGCTACTCTGCTCCCGGTAGCATATCTTCTCAATCTTACTGCTACCTGCCTCGCTCTGCTGGACAAATGAGGGGCGGAGGTGGCCCAGATGCTCTGGCTCCTTTTTTTTTTCCCTTGCTATTCACCGCGTTCCTTCCTATCAATGGTCGAGGTTTCTCAAAAGAGGGAATCTGCACCTTGCCTATGTGGGTCTTCAACCCTTGCCCTGGTATGGGTCGGTCCAATCAGTGATCTCAAACCGGGTATTTACCGGCTAGTCTCTATTCGTATTAGCGTCTTTGTCTCTGTAAGAGTGAGTACGTACTCCTCCTGCAGTGGGAGGAACACTTGCTTCTGAAAGGAGCAACCAGCACCAGCACCAGCACCAGCATCAGAGCAAAGGCAACAGTGGCCCACCCTCTCCTGCCCCCCATCCCATCCCACAACTCTCCTCCCCTCGTGTATTCGCACTGTACTTTGTACACTATCTTAGTACGGCTATGCAGCTCACCTCCCAGCTGCTACTCCACCCGTCCACACTCATCTCTCTCTCTCTCTCTTTCTCTTTTACTCTCGCCAATTCATTGAGGTCCCATCTTTGTCCTTTTTGTCTTGGTTTGTCTCGCTCTCTAGCTACCTATCTCCCTCTCCCTCTCTCCCTCTCTCTCTCTCTCTCTTTTTCTGGTCGTGCTGCTCTGCGTTGCAGCTAGACACTGGCACTGTGGGAATCCTCGCCTGATAAGCGTCCACGAGCAAAGACAAGGACGCAATAATACGCAGAGAGGAGAGACGGCAGCTTTGTCGACACACACGCATCACTGCAACCACCACCACCACCACCACCACCGCCGCATATGGCCTCCCGCTGAAGCTTCTTACTATTCCAATTTCGTTTTCACAATTTTCCGCTTTCCCTCACTGCGAAACCACGTTCCTTGACGCCATTCCTCCGACCCCGTCCTCCGGTCGGTTTCTTGTCACAGAACCATTTTCATTTCCTTTGTTTCGACCTTCAGCCCGACCCGGTCCCTGATCGTCCAGGCCTTCACACCGTCGCCTTTCGTCGACGCCTCCTAATACGCCGCCTCTACCGGTCGACTAACCACCCTGCCATCCCAACCGCGCTAGCTCGATAGCCGACGACCCAATTGCAATTTCCCACCCTCGCCCGCCGAACTGGTCTTCGTTTCCTCGATACCATCGACGCGCCGTCATTCATCACATTACATCTTCTTTGAATTATCCAACACCACATCGACTGCACTCGAACGCCTTCCCCAGTCCACACACGATACCCTGGAGACTGCTGGTCCCCCAGCTCTCCAGCCGTCGCGATGGCCGCTCTGTCCGCCGCGCCGGCGACCGCCAACACCATCACGCCTCCTAGCAGCAGTCACGGCAATGGCAGCCAGAGTGCTTGGAATAATTACGCGAGGGGTGATGCGGAGGTGAGTTTGCTTCCTGCCGCTGCTAATTATCGCCATTGGCCCCATGCTTGCGCTTGCATTCCATGCATGTGAGAGCACATGCTGACTGACGCCTTCTCCTGCAGAATCTGCAGAAAAAATCTCTCGACACGACCGACCAGACGAACCGAACACCCCTGGCACAGAACGGCAACTCGGCCAACGTTCTCGAATACGGCTTTGAGCCCCTGCCACCCCCACGGAAAAGGGCATCCAACGACAACATTTCCCTGACCAAGAGCAACAGGTCCTGGGACAGGACGAACCGTCGTGACCACGACACATCCAAGTCCGGGCTAACCAGCGCCGACGATGTGTTTGGGACCAAGAGCGGAGTGGCCGAGAAGCGGTCCACCAACGAACTGGCGGGCGCCACCGATGACGACAAATGGATTCACCGGGACAAGCTTGCCAAGATTGAGAGTCAGGAGCTCCAGGCCGCCGGTATCATCTTGCCCAAGATGCGTTCGAGCAGCAGACCCCCCCGCAGGGGTCGGAGCGAGGAGAAGCTCAATGGGAGCTCCAGGAGGACCGCGTCTGCCGCCCCGGACGAGGAAATTCCACTCCCGAGATCGAGGAAAAGCTCCGTGTCGCCTGAGTCCAGAGTGCCCGACGAAAGGATGCCCGAGGAGGCGAATAGCTGGGATCTGCGGCGGCCTGAAGAAATCGAAAGCGACGAGCCCTATTGGGTATCTGCCGCCGACAAGAAAAGCGGCTCCAAAATCCCCGTCGCCAAGGCCAGCCCGGCCCCCATCCCCGAGTTCTACCTGGAGAGGAACGCGCCTTCGGGACGGAGACGCAGCGGTGCTAGCGAACTCGAGACGATAGCTTACCCCAAACCGCGCCCGAGAAGCGGCAGCGCTAACACGCTCGGCGCCAGCTCTACCCTGCAGCCGGCGAAGCGCAGTGTGACTGATGTGTCTCCCCGGAAAACCAGCGGCGGCACCTCCTCGGCCACTGGCAGGAAGCCATCAGCACAGGTCAAGGCTGGTGGGAAGAACAAGACGCGCGGTGGCAAGGACTCGACGGGCAGCGTGTCCGGAAACAGATCGAGGCCTGGCGAGATCTCGCCCGGTAACAAGAGACCGGAGGGTGATCCACCATGGATGATTGGATCCTACCGCCCTGATCCACGTCTTCCTCCCGAAGAACAACTGCTCCCCACCGTCGCCAAGCGTCTGCAACAGGAACAATGGGAAAGGGAGGGCAAGTATGGCAGCGTCTACGACAGGGAATTTCGTCCCCTCACCACCGACGGCCTGCTCAAACCGCCCGAAGCTGGATCAAGCACCGCGCCTGCCGATGAAGAGACGCGGGAGCGAGATGAGTGGCCCCTCAAGGGAGAAGCGCCCAAGAGCCCCACGTCGCCAAGCATCAAGCAGAGCAACTCGTACTCAACCATGCCCAAGATCTCAGACAAACCAACGACCAGTCCCTTACCGAGCCCTCGCGGCCCTATGAGCCCGTCGATGCCGCCTCAGATGCCCGCCGAAACCCGTGCCGTCACTCGTGTACCCGACCAGTCTTCTGCTGCTGACATGCCCGTGGGCGGCGAAAAGAAGAAGAAGAGTGAAGGCTGCGGCTGCTGCATTGTCATGTGAGAGAGGGGCCTTTGCCCTTGGGGGCTGACTGTACTCTCTTGGCCATCAGTGCCATATATTCTTGTCTACATTACTCAACATACCCCCCGCCCCTTCAACCGTGAGGCGAGGCCTCCGACGACGTTATGAGTCTCTTAATTCCATTCAGAGCACAGGCCACTCTATTAGATGTATTTATCGGCCTATTTTCACCCGACTACTGCACTGTCTCCGAAGACGATTACCTCGAGAGCGCACCACGGATCAAGTTTTCCTTTGTACCCTCCCGAGTCACCCCTCACCGCGCCTTTTCCTGGTCAGCAGATCCCCATCTGGCGTGTGTCAGTTTACGAGGTGAAGACCATGGCGACGCGCCGGGCAACGAGGGATATTGCAAGCTGTTTTACCAAAGAAGCGGAGAGCGTTGTTCGAATATCCCAACTGACGGGTTGCCCGTACGGCAGAGCCGTGATTCGCAAACCCGATGCAAGGCAGGAGCAGGCCTATTAGACCCCTTGTCTTGTTTCGATTATCAAAATGTATAATCGTAGCGATACTTAAAAAACTGTCTTGAACACATACACAAACTCGCCTGTTTCCTTTTTTCTCTTTTCTGTCCTTTTGCCAATGATTTCCTGCAAGCAAGAGGAGGGAGGTTTTATACCGCCTGGCGTTTTCTTCTGGGACTCATATCCATGCTTGGCGTTGGTTTGCCCTTTGTTGTTTCTTCTTTTTTTTTTTCTTTATCCCCACGCAGTCTCTTGATTCAAAAACTTTCAGGTGTTGATGGGCGTTTCCTGCCTTGTTTTTTTTACGTTCAGGGCCGAACCCATGTGGAGGAAGTCTTTTCTGTCTTGTTACGTTTCTTCGGCGAAGGACGTCTTGGAGGTGAATAGAGGGTGCCCAAGATGAAGAGGGATGATGGACCGCGCGAGTGGCATAAGGAGGAAGGGAGCAGGCAGTCGGCGACGAGAGAGAGGAACGAAACCCGAGGAGAGAGAAGATAGGTTTCGGGGGAGGGGGTCAAGCCACCGGCGCGGGTTATACATAATTGATACCCATCCGCATTCCGCGCGGCGGCCGCGCCTCTTCGGAAAGGGGGTTGAGAGGAAGGGAGGGGAGATGCCAGAGGTTTAGAATTAAAAGAACGTCAAAGTCCAATTTTTGCTGGTCTCAACCGTCGGTGATGTTATTGGGTGGCTGTTCAAGAGAGGCGAGCATTATCGTCGTCTCGGTGATGCGATGCCTACCATGCATATTGTGTTTCACTGCGAGTTGTCGATCAGACGTGAGTGATGATTGAGCGCGCTTGTTCTATTCCTCGGGCACTTCTTCTGCCTCGTACGGTACATAGTACTACTTGCCGCCCAGCTTCCACCAAACTCGGATGGGTTGCGGACGAACCCAAAATCAACCAAGCATAATCTCCTTGAGCTTGAGGCCGCGGAACGCCTCCTTGAAGACCTTGCCCACGCCGACCCTCTCCCACCGCTCGTCCCTCCTCTCGATGAGCAGCACGTAAAACAGGTCCCACTCGCTCTGGTCCCGCTCCTTGGGCACGTAGTACGTCCACTCGCGGCACTCGGCCGCGGTGAAGCTCTTGGCCTCGGACACGGCGATGAACTCCTGCCGCGCCGGCTTCCCGTCCGCCCACGCGGCGTCCAGCACGATCGAGCCGCACCAGTCGCCGCCCTCGTCCGCGATGTGATGCCGCACCTGGCCCGCCCCGAGGGCGGTGCCCGTGCTCGCCGCCGCCGTCGCCCCTCTCTGCTGATGTTGCTGCTGCTGCTGCTCGCCGCCGCTGTCGTGGATGTACAGCCACGCGTGCCACGTGCGGAACTGCAGGATCGGCAGCAGCGGGTGCTCGGCGGTCTCGGGCCGCGCGTCGAAGGGCGCCTTGACGACGCGGTAGGGGTAGTCACGCAGGGTGATGCTGAAGTCTTCGTCGTTGTCGCGGCCGCCGTCGAAGAACATGTCGAAGAATTCGGCGTTG